TAGCAACAGCTAGCATTATCCGTACTTGTTATCGCTGCCTGCCTTTTTTATTTCAATTTTTATTTTATTTTTTTTATAAAACAAAGATACAAAAGTAAAACACAGATATCTTTAAAGCAGAAAGAAAAAAACACACAGATATCTTTAACTCTGTATGAACTATTTCCTATGCTGCTTCCTGCCTGCCTCTTTTTTTTTCTTCTTTTTTTTTCTGTTAGCATAAAGTCATCTGGAATTTGCAAACCTGTGTCCAGCTTCAACATCAAGTTGATGTTGAGCATTCACAGAATCATCATCATATCGTATCATAGCGTATGATTTGATTTGCAGACCTGTCACCAGTTTTGAACTTTTAAAATGTTGCCAGCTAGCAAGGTCACCTCCATATTTTCAACGCGTCATACTCTAAGCCTAAAGTTGCCCTACCAAAAGCTTATATATATATCAGTCCCCTTCTATTGAGGGATCCCTCAAATAATTTTATTTGAGGGATACCCTTTAGGGTACCCTACAATTTCTTTTCCAACGATCCAAACTATATACTTTTTAGGTCTTCATTCATAGATCATCCTGACAAAAAATTAGACAAATCGGAAACCGTTTCGACATCCAATTGTGTCTTACAAAATCAATGAACACGGTGCTTCAAGAAAGTACTAAAATTTCAATAACTCAATTGAGTGGTCAAATGATATCGGATTCAAGTGATTTTTTGTAGAGATGATCTTTGAATGAGTATCTACAAAATAGACGGTTTAGATTAGTGAAATACAATCCATAGTGAGGCCTACAAGGGGTGTCCCTCAAATAAGCTTATTTGAGGGATCCCTCAATGGAAGCTCTCTGATATATATATATATATATAAAGGGCTTCAGAACTTAAAATTATATCATCAAACAGCAACATCACTCACCCTCTCTTTTTCTTTCTGAATCAATACTCACTACGTGATATCAAAATGTCTTCTTGTTCTGAGGTCTCAATGGTGCTTGCTGTTTCTTTGTTTGTAACTTCTCTGATGGCCATGACGGCCTCAGCTGGGAATTTCTATCAAGACTTTGACATCACATTCGGAGACGAACGGGCTAAGATACTCAACGGAGGACAGCTTCTCACACTTAACCTTGACAAGTTTTCTGGGTCTGGTTTCAAGTCCAAGAATGAGTACTTACTTGGAAGAATTGACATGCAGATCAAGCTGGTCTCTGGCAACTCAGCTGGCACTGTCACTGCATACTATGTAAGTTAACTAGTTTCAATCATACCCTTGTTCTTCAATTATTATATTATTTTCAATAGATTTCCATAATTTCTTTGCTAATTTATGCAATGAAACACATGAATATATGCAGTTATCTTCTCAAGGGCCAACCCATGATGAGATTGACTTTGAATTTTTGGGAAACTTATCTGGAGACCCCTACACTCTGCATACCAATGTGTTCAGCCAAGGAAAAGGAAACAGAGAACAACAATTCCATCTCTGGTTTGATCCCACAAAGGCCTTCCACACCTACTCCATTGTCTGGAACAGCCAGCGGATTATGTAAGTATACTTAACACTTACAAGTTACCACCTTATGTGAAACCTCTTTTAGTTTACTTTTACAACATCAATTATTAATAAGAAACTTTCTAATACATTTGCAACTGCAGATTCTTGGTGGACAACATTCCAATCAGAGTGTTCCACAACTTGGAAACAATTGGAGTTCCATTTCCCAAAAACCAACCCATGAGGATTTACTCAAGCCTCTGGAATGCAGATGACTGGGCAACAAGAGGTGGCCTTGTGAAGACTGACTGGACGCAAGCTCCTTTCACTGCCTCTTACAGAAACTTCAAGGTCTCTACTACTACATCTACATCTACTAACTCCTTAACAGAGCAGAGTGCATGGCAGACTCAAGGGCTTGATGCTGCAGGCCGAAACCGGCTTCGATGGGTGCAACAAAAGTTCATGATCTACAACTACTGCTCTGACCTCAAACGCTTCCCCCAAGGCCTCCCAGCCGAATGCAGACGATCAAGGTTCTAGAAATCGAGATCATGCCACATGATCACGTATTCTCTGTTCTATTGTGCATGCAGCCTTATAATTCTTTTGTTTAATTAGTTCATTTTAAGAAATATTATTCTTTGTTCCTTGTGCAAATAAAAGATTTTGTGACATTATGGTCTCATGGTTTTTGTATTCTTCCATTGTAATCTGAATTGAGATTTAGAATAAAGTACTTCATTATTAAATGATAATAGTTGAAGTTTCTCCAAACAATAATATCGTAGTGTTTTCTTGGTTCATCTTCATTACCAGGTTTGCATTATCAAAATTAGCCTTCTTGTTTATAAAAATTACACAACATAAGAACTTGTGGTTTGAAACTGAGTATTTCTGAGAGAAGTGGGCACCCTTTCGGTAAGGAGCTCTGGATTGGCCCATATAGAATTCTGTTTGCTGCCTCAAGGCTCTGTTGTGCTGTCAGCTTGGTCAAAGTATGGGTGACTATCGTGTTTTATGGGGTTCATGTCATGTCCTGTGAAAATTAGCTTAATGGGTAAAACACACAAAAATAATGGGTAAAACACGACTCATTTCACTCATTAAGACTAAAAACTCGATTTTCAACCCGTGCATGCGAAAAATAACCTGTTTCACTTGTTACAAATTATAAAATATTTCGTAATAGTAAATTGAGCTTAGAGCATCTATAATGAGCTCCTTAAATCACCTCATTAGACAAATTTCTGGGAGGAATTGGAAAGATACAACTTCAACCATGCTCCCTATCTACTTCCTAAAATAGGGAAACTTCTAGGAGCTCCTAAATCTGACAAGAGAGAAAAGACTTCTAATGGCTCCCTATAATTTAATAATAAACTGCCAAAATGCCCCCTAAACTTGTACCTAATTATCGCTTTACCCACTTGCCTTTTTTTTAGCAAATTAAGGACTCGAATTAAATTTTATTATCAATTCCCCTCTATTGTCTAAATCTCAACGTAATTTGCCGTTAAATATGAGGGCAAATTGGTAATTTTAAATGTTGAAATAATATATATATAATTATTTTAATAAACAGAGGGGCCCACCCACTTCATCTTTTTCCCTTTTGTTGTAATTCAAGATACAGATTACAAAGGGGAGGGGGAGAGCTCGAATGGAAGAGGGAGAGAGAAAGAGATGGAGAAAAGGGAGGATGAAAATGTTACATACTTATTGTCTACCTATTTTTAAATACATAATATCATTTTACCTATTTTTTTAATACATAATATCATCTAATTAACGTACTTTATTTTTCTATGAGCATTGTGCCTATTAGAATATATATTAAACAAATACATATATATATATATATAATTGTATTAGGTAAATATATATAATTGGAGGGTGTAAGTATTAAAAAAAAATTCATTTATCCGACCTATAGGAGGTTAGAGCATCTACAATGATGCTCTCTATTTCTTAATTAAAATTTAGCTAAAAATATAAGAAAGCTATTTTAGGAGCTCTCTAAAAAATTTCAACTCCAACCATACTCCGTAATTTGAAGAGTCATAAATACTATAACTCTTTTTTGATTGGTCCATCTCTATTAAAAAAAATAGTTAGCATTAAATAAATGTTTGAAATACTCATTAAATAAAGCAACATTTAATTATAGTGAGTCACTAGGAGTTATTTCTCTCTCCTCAGATTTAGGAGCTCCTATAGAGGACTCCTTATTTTAGGAGGTGGATATGGAGCATGGTTGAAGTTGTATTTTTACGATTCCTCCCTAAAATTTGTCTAAGGAGGTGGTTTAGAGAGCCCATTGTGGATGCTCTTAGGAGGGAGTATTTGAACTAATTTGATTTTAGGCCATTATTACAGGAGTGGAAACATAAATGTGTAGTGAGAGGTATTATTCATTTGCATAAAATTAGGGGATGAGAAAAGTCAGCCACCAAATAAAGATCTACTGGCAAGATTTGTAAATAAATCAACTTACATAAACACATTGTCATCCAATTTTTAAAAGGGAGTTTTATTTAAAAATTGTATTATTGGTGGGTTATAGTCTATGGTATTTGAGTTACAAGAGCCTATTTTAGCATGACCCAATTTTTAAATAATGCATATTCAAAATTGAATATATTTTAGAAAGGTGCTTCTCCATTACAGAGTCTCACAATGCAGATCCATTATGAAGTCCCACTTTCCCATGATGAGGAAGAAGAAAACTGGTGGAGAGAGAAAAAAGAAAGAGAGGGAGAGGAGAGAGGAGAGAAGAGAGAAGGAAAAGAAAGAAAAAGAAAGAGAGAAGGAAAAGAAAGAAAAAAATAAAGAGAGGAGAAATATAAACCGTTCAAATCATCGTACAGTCAAAAGCAGAATTTCGTAACAAATCCGCATTGCGGGACTTCGTAATGGAAAAGCAAAAATTAAGTCATAACAAGTAGAAACGAGTTTCGGGAATAATTGACCCACTATTTTCAACATGGCCCGATAAATTTTATATCAAACATTGAAGTTTTCGTACATATTCATGTCATGTGAACTCATGCTTATGTGAAAGAGACGGATTTTAAAATAAAAAAAAAAAAAAGAGGTAGGAAGCTGCATGTAGCGGCGGATCCAGGAATTTTTCAGCAGAGGTGCAATTTTAAAAAAGCTCCCAAAAACAAAAACAAAAAAAAAAAAAAACAATCCTTATAATTTAAACAATACTAATGTTATTCATAATACATTAAAAAAATATCATTACAATTACCCTACAATTGTTGCCGACGAGATTTCATATCTTGAAAACGTCGCATTATATTTATATTACTAATACAAGAAAAAACATCTTTCTCAATGTAAACAACCAAGCTATCACTCAACCATTGATTCCCTATTTTGTTACGCAATGGTGTTTTCACAATATTCATAGCTGAAAAAGCTCTCTCAACTGAAGCTGTTGCAACGGGTAAAACTAAAGCCAATGTAAGAAGTAAATATACATAGTTGTATATTCTACTCCTTTCCTGTATTCACCAATTTTTCTGCCAGATCAGTAATTCCTTTCAATGATGAAAACACAGTGCTGCTCTGCATATCAACAATATAAAGCCCAAGTTGATCTTCAAGCTTCATGAGGTCTCGGTCATTAAATTCTTGAGGGTAAAATTGAGCAAAACGAAGTATTTGTTGTTTGTCAAAAGCTGCAAAATTATAAGCCGGACTCAAACATGCCATACAAAGAAGCAAATCAGTATTTACCTCAGTGAAGCGATTATTCAATTCCACTAGTTGCTTATCAATGATAGTAAGAAATAGGTCCACACGATAATAATGGCGGTTTGTGATTTTCTGAGCTTTACGACGTGATCTCCCTTGTGGTACAAATAAATCATCCATGTTAGGAACATCAATATCATTGTTGCCACAAAATATTGATACTTTGCCAAGCAGATCATCAAAGTCATCATCCCTCATGGATTGTAGCTTTTGCTTACATCTTTGGACCAACATCATTGCATTCACAATATCTTGATCTTTCTTTTGTAATGCCTTTGACAAATCATTTGTGATTCCCAATATAAATCTCATCAAATATAGGTGAAACACAAAGTCAAAAGTTTGTATTTCTTTCAATAACCTATTTGCTTCACCTAAATTATCTTGGTTGACATCATCAACAATCCATTCAAGCACCTTCACCACGGGGATGAAACATAGTATTAATACTCAGTAAAGTATCATAATGTGAGTTCCAACGTGTATCACAAGGACGTTTGAGAGTAGTCTCTTGATTTAACCCTTGCCCTGTTTCAAGATCATCAATTTCAAGAGCTTTCATAATATCTTTTTGTTGTTGCTCTCTAAGTGCATCACGACGCTTACACGATGCTCCAATAATGTTAAACACTACTAGCTGTTGTGAAGAAAGTAGCAATGTTTTCATTTCCCTTTGCCACGGCTACAAGAGCTAGTTGTAGTTGATGTGCAAAACAATGGACATAATATGCTTGAGGATATTCTCTCAAAATCCGTGTTTTAAGACCATTGAGCTCACCTATCATATTACTAGCACCATCATACCCCTGTCCTCGTAGCCTGGACATGCTCAAATTTGTTGAAGAAATCAACTGCTCAATTGCCTCTTTCAATTTGCTATTAGTCGTATCAGAGACATATTGGACACCCACAAACCTTTCAATAACTTGCCCTTTTTTGTTCACATAACGCAACACCACAGCCATTTGCTCTCTTATTGAAACATCACGTGATTCATCTACCAATATAGAAAAGAATGCATCGTCTATATCCCTAATAATTGCATCAATGGTTTCAGCGGCACAAGAATTGACAAGGTCTTTTTGAATTTTAGGAGCAATATACTTGAGATTCCCTGGAGCATTCTCAAACACAACGGCACGAACTTTCTCATCATGATCGGCAATAAATTGCAAAAGCTCCACATAATTACCCTTATTGCTAGATGTTTCGCTTTTATCATGGCCACGAAAAGGAAGACCTTATGGAATCAAGTGCGGCAGTTAATAGAATGCGATAATTAACACGAGCTTGGTCTGTCTGCTTGATCACAATGGTTTCAACGTGTTGCTTCTGATTCATTAAATCTGTACAATGTTGTGTAGCTTTATTGTGAAGACTTCCAACTTGTCCAACATGGTCCCTAAAATTCTCAGGTCCCTTCCTCCAATTTTTAAACCCTTTCTCAGTGAAGACATCGCTTCCAGTCTTTCCTTATTTATCAAAGTTGCATTTAAAAAGATAACAATGAAGACAAAATGCAGCATCTTTCTCTTTACTATACTCCAACCAAACAAATGAATCAAACCATTTCACAAGAAAACGTCGATTACTCTCCCCCATAAATGTTTGAGGCATGTCGTTTTGGCTTTTAGGCTGACAAAGACCCCTTTGCAGATAGGCTCTTCGGATTTGTTCTCGAAAATTGGGATTATAATAAGTCATTGGAGGTCTAAGGCCAGAGTCTGCAGGAAGATTAGCCAATATTTCATCCAACTAAGTATGCAGATTATTTGAAGGTTGATTTGAACTAGTCGGATTATTTGAAGGAGGGTTGGAACTAGCCAGATTATTTGAAGGAGGGTTGGAACTAGACAGATGATTCGAAGAAGGATTTGAACTACCCGGATTATTTGAAAGAGGATTTAAACTCTTTCTCTGAAAGTACCGTTCAAATAACTGTACAATTGAAACAAAATAAGGGTTTTATATCTATTACTATGACTAATTGACTATAATTTATCAATTAAATAAATAAATAATTATCAAATTATCAATTACATAAACAAATAAAAATTAATTATACCTCGAATAACGTGTCACGTAGCCTCTTCCTCCTCGAGTTTGCTACTGATTTTACTAATATAGAGAGAGCTAAATAAGAAAAAAAAATTATTAAAAAAAGAATAAACAAAATTGGCGTTTGGTCAAGAAAAAAAAATACATTCGACTTACTTTGGATTGGCGTACTCAAGAAGAAAAAAAAACGCAGGATTCTTGTGATGCACAGACGCTTTGATGAAATTGGGTGATGTTATTGGTCTTTTATAAAGAGAATTCCCAATTCTACTTAATTAAGGAATTCCCAATTCTATTTAATTAAGGAATTCCAAAACCCAATTGAATAAAGAGAACTTCCTATTAAAACCAAATTAAGTAAGGAAATAGAAGCTCTTTTGAAAAGCCCATAAAAAGCCCATGTCAAACAGCAGCAGTTTTCCCGTTTTTTTCTTCTTTTTTTTTAATTTCAAAACCTTGGTCCAAAACGACGTCATTTTGGCCAGGTTTTTCAACCAAAAAAAAAAGGCTGCGCATTTTAAAAAGCATGGTCCAAAACGACGTCGTTTTGGCCAGGCTTCGTTAAATAAAAAAGGAAGCCTCGCGCGCTGCTCGCAGCACCAGCAGCTCCCCAGCCCAGTGGTTTGCGCATTTCATCGAACACATTGTGTGCATTGCTGGTCTGAAGCAGAGGTGCAACTCCAGCGTCTGTAATGGATATTTCCGGCAACCAGAGGTGCAGGCGCACCTCCTTGCGCTTGCACAGGTCCGCCACTGTCTGTGAATTGATGTAAATGTAACCATTGCGGGGACGACCTGATAAGAGCATCTCCAAGGGAGATGTTAAATACCAAACATCAAATTTAAATTTGATGGCTGATGTGGTAATTTGACATCTTACACAGCTTTACACTCCATCCGATATGTCAAATTAAATTATTATTTTATTACATTTTAGTGTTGATTCATTTTTAATTAAAAATAAAAGAAAAGAAAAAAAAAATATTCATTTGACATCTTGCTTTTGGGATGTCAAAAATAACATCTCAACCTCCAGCATTCATTCCACATCAGCTTTGACACATCAGTTGGAGTAATGTGAGATGTTATTTCTAGCTATTAAATATCTATGTGGTATGTTTGACACATCGGTTGGGAATGCTCTAATAACGTGCCTGTCTGCTTTGGATTAATTAAGTCATACGCGTGGCGTGGTATGTGATTCGGAAACCTTATGTCGTTATTGGTTGATTAAACCCATTGGATTTGAAGGTAAAGTCTGAGAAGGAAAAATCAGAAGTGTACAAATAGTTTTGTAATGGGCTCATTGGATTTGAGTTGAAACTGGAAGAGAGAGGTTGGTGGAATGGGGAAGGCAAGATCAGTTTGTCTTTCACTGTGAGTTAGGCCTTTGAGGACCTAGACATGAACGGCCTTTTACTTTCGAGCTTGTTGCCAGCTATCAAAATGTCAATTATAATGAAGCTGGATAATAGCTGTAAAGTCTCATTTCCATATCCACCCAACCTACTCATTATTTTCCTATTAAATGACAAAGAAGATACACCTAGCCTTGCTTTCTTATTCCAGGCCAATTATAGTGTATGTCAAGTAGAAAAGTTATCATGCGTGACATACAGTGATTGATCATGAATATCTACGTTTGAAGTGGTAATGTGGGTGCTTCAGGAAGTAATGAACTAAAGAACCTAAAAAAGACATCACTACACTTCGTTTCTGGTTTGAAACTCATGACACTGATCTATTATTAGTAAGAAATTACTTTTGACAAAATCCCATTTTTATTGTTGTGGAAGAGTTTTCAATTTTTTGGTGTTATGGGGGCCTGAGGCCCAAGAATAAGAACAGCCGCCACCAAAGTAAATAGCCCTGACAAATCTTTTAATAGAGAAGTCCTGAGACAATAAAACCATGACTTTATGTTTTGGGCCAAGTTTACAAAGCTTGTCAGCAACAACATGAGATGAGACAACTTAACATGGCCAGCCCAAACAACATGGAAATATAGTTGGGGGCTGGCTTGAGGGGTTCAATCCCACCATCAAACTATTTGAAATGTTTAAATTTATTAGTTTTCTCGTATATGTTGATAGCGGGATTCAACCCCTCAAATAAGCTGCTCACTCTAAACTCCTCATTATAGTCTTTTCGTGACTTGAGGCACCAAACATCATCTCAAATTTTATGTTCACTAATTTTTTGGGAAGATGCTAACGGATCAGTAGTTCAGTGGTAAGAGCATTTGCTAGCATATCAATAATTACAGGTTTGAATCACAATGACACCTTCCATTCCCCCGTCTAAACTTTGATAACCAAATTTTTTTTTAAATTATGGGAAAGTAACATGAAAATTTATGTGATTTGTCACATCATCATCAACAGTATGGTTGATTTATATTTATACTGCATGTTTATTAATAAATATCCCAAATTGATCGTTCATATATACAAATTGTAAAAGACATTGAGGCCCCCCAAAGATCTATCAAAGACTATTAATTAAACCTCTCATGCTCCTACAATAATGCACAAGTCAAGTTAGTAGTGGTGGAGCACAATTTGCACTCTCCTTATATTTATTTTTCTGAAGTGCTGCTATTTTCACCCACTTATTCTATTTTTCCACCCATCTTATCTTCCCACTAACCATATAAATTTGAAAAAACATAATTATATTTTTCCACCCACCATTATTCCTAAAATACTCTATATGGTGCATCCCACCATTGTTTTTGTAAATCATCCATAATCAATGTATGAATTTAAATACAAAACACAAGTTTGGGAGTTGTCTGTGTAGATAGAAATTGAGGAATTGAAACTAACTTCAAATTTGGGAAGGGTTGAAAACCTTAAACATTGCATCACAAATCCAATGGCTGGTAACAAATTTGTTTCCTTGTATTTCAATTTCTTTGTACTTTAGTTTTACTTTTTCTTTTTTTTTGGTGGGTGTTAGTGCTCGCATGGTTTTCCTTTCTGGAAGCCTAGCTTTGTACAATCTGTTTGTCCTCTTTGTTAATGAAAGCCCACTTTGATCAAAACAAAAAATCCAATAGCAAGTAACAAGAACTTGCAGAGAGAGAGAGAGAGAGGTCAATAAGGAGAGGGTGGGGGTGGGTGGTGGTGAAGAGATGGTAGGGTGCTAGGGTTTGGAGAGGGCTGTTCGAAGAGAGAGATGGGAGAAGAGAGAGAAAAAAAAGAGATGGATTAGAGAAGAAGGTGAGGTCTGGGGATGATTTTTTATTTTTATGAAAAACTGGAGATGAATTTTTAATTTTAAAGCTTTTCCCTTTGTTAAAGTTTTTTTTTGTAAAATATTTACATTTTACATTTTACATTTAATTTCCTTATTTTAACTTCACATTAAATTTAAATTTTTTTTTCTAAGTCCTTAGAAGTCATTTTATAAAGGGGTAAATTTGTCTTTAAAATTTTAAAGATAAAGTGAGTATGGAAATAGGACAAGAGGTGGAAATAGCAGCATTATTTTTCTGCCACTATATTTCTGCTAGGGTTAGGCAATTAAACCGCCAATCCGAAAAACCGGCCGAACCAAACCAATCGGGTTGGTTTGGTCCGGTTATTTATTTATTAATTATTTAATATCGGGTTCAAACTGGATCGAACCGATCAATTCAGTTTGGTTTACGGTTTGATATTTTAAATGGATCGGTTTACCTAAACTGGACCGTTACTGTTGGTAAGCCAAATATTACAAAATCATTTTGCAACAAAGGGGTTCGAATCGAACCCCACACCTCCATGTAAGAATCATTCTTGCTTTCCATTGGAGCAAACAACCTTGTTGTGTAATCTTTCCATAAATATAGTATATAATTAGTTATTCCGAATAATAAATATTATAAAAAAATGTGAGAGCATGCAAGTGGACTGTGGACATTAGGGGTGGGCATCTTAAACCGAAATACCGAAACCGTACCCTAATCGCACCGTACCATACCGATTTCATACCGTTTCATTTGGTATGGGGAGATATTCGGTACCGTACCGTACCGTACCAATAAAATATGGTATAGTAGCGGTATCAAGATTTTGATACTGGTCAATACCGTACCGTACAAAATAGTATAACTTTATGTTTTTGTCATTTATGTTTGGATTGTGTTTGTATTTTTGTAAGCCATAAAGCATAATTTTAACTATTTTGGTTTGTAAGCCATAATGCATGAGTTTTAACCATTTGGGTTTGATGAATTTGTTGATGGATAAATATTGATTTGGTTGATTTGGATATTGAATATGTTGATTAGGATTTGGATATTGAATATATTGATTAGGATTTGTATATTGAATATGTTGAATCTTTGAATTTGTAACTTAGGCATCACTTATTTTGGTGTTGAATATTGAATTGGTTCCTTTTTTAGTTGTATCATTTTGGTATCGAAATGATACCGATACCGTACCGATACCAATTTGGCACGGTACGGTACGGTACCAATTTGGCACGGTACGGTACGGTACCAGTTTTGGCAAACCATAATCCCATACCGTACCATACCAATTTAAATTTTCAGTATCGGTAGCGGTACGGGCTGAATACCGTACCGTGCCCACCCCTAGTGGACATGATACATGCACTGCATTTGCGTCAAAACCAATGTTCTTTTTCTTCCTTTTGTATTCTTTTTCTTTTCCCCATATCTCACCTCTTCCAAAGCCTTCATTTTTTATTTTTTATTCCCATCTTCTTCTTCATTCCGTCACTTTCCATCTCTCCCTCTCTCTTTCTTTTTTTCCTCTTCCTTCCTCTGTCAGTCTCTGCAATTTTTTCCTCCTCCCATATCTGTCTTTTTTATATATTTTTTCCATGCTCTCTCTTCTTTCTATTATTTTCCATCGCTCTCTCTTCTCATCATTCTTCTCCTTCTTCTCCCCGCTATCTCTGTCTTCTTTTTCTATTTTTCTTCCCTTCTTCTTCTTCCTCTACCCCCTGTCTCAATCTCTCCCTCTTATCTATTTTTTCCCAACTTCTTCTTACTCTCTTTCTCTCTCTTCGGCCTAAACCCGAAACCGAACCAAACCAAATCACAAACTCCAGTTAACCGGAATGATCGGTTTCTTTGGTTATGGTTCGGTGTACGGTTTCCAAAATAACTAACCCGAAGCCTTCGGTTCAATGTTCGAGTTGAGCTCAAAACTGAACCAACCCAAACCGAGCCCAGCCCTAATTTCTGCCAACTAGCTAAAAAAGCTTGACCAGAGGTCAAGATAGAACCTATCAACAAGCTGGGCTGCGATGAATGACTCTTTATTATTGGACTTTTCCCTTCAAGTACTAAGGTTGGTTTCAACATTTATCACAAAAAAAAAACAGATGAAATGAACGGCTGAGATTGCTTCCGTATGAACCCAACCAGTGATGATTTTCTATCTGATGAACCGCCAGACACAAGTTACATTGGTTGGAAAAATATTTGCCTACAAAAACAAAAAACAAAAAACAAAACAGCAAAGAAACAAAAAAACAAAAAAAATGCAATAAAGCACAAATCTAGCAAAGAAAGTGATTTGTGTAGCCTTTTCAACACGGCAAAACAAAAGGAAAATCTAGCCAATGGGTCCATGTTTCAAACTTTTTGTTCATCTGTTGGTGGGTAGATAGTAGAATTGGTCATGACTGAATTCTTATTGACTGTTGAAGAAGGTATATATATTTGCTCAAACGTAAGTAAGGCGCTGCTCATTTCTATATGACCATAATAATGAAACAATTGAAACGCAGATTGATTGACTTGGTCCGTTGCGGCTGACAAAGCTACAAATGGCATCTAACTCTGTTCATGCACGGTTTTCTGGTCCAATCTTATTGCATGGTCTGTTCATACATGGTTTTCTCCAAATGTGACAAAATTTTACTTGCGGACTGTATGTGACAAAATAGAATAGAAAATTCACAAATGACCAAAACCATGGGGTAGAATAGAAAATTCAACTCCACTCTCTCTCTCTCTCTCTCTCTCTCTCTCTCTCTCTCTCCTTTATTTAAAGTTCAAATTCTTGGTGCAATACATTATCTAGAACTTGTCTGCAAATTGGTTTTGTACAGCCATGGATGCCAAAACCAAACAAAGTTTGGTGCTTTTGCTTTGCTTATGCCTACATCTCAAAACCCATGTTTGCCTTGCAGCTGACACCATTGCTGCAAACCAATCTCTCTCTGGTGATCAAACCATTGTCTCTGCAGGAAAGGTTTTTGAGCTGGGTTTCTTCAAACCAGGTAATTCTTCAAACTACTACATAGGCATGTGGTACTCTAAACAACTAGTATCTTTGGAGACCATAGTTTGGGTGGCAAATAGGGAAACACCAGTTTCTGATAGATTTTCTTCAGTCTTGAGGATCTCAGATGATAATTTAGTTCTCTTTAATGAGTCCAACACTCCAATTTGGTCCACAAATTTAGCCTCCACCACCACCTCAGGTTCTACAGAAGCAGTTCTTTTAGATAGTGGAAACCTTGTCTTAAGAACGGCTGGGTCTAATGCTAATACAGCAGAGCCTTTGTGGCAAAGCTTTGATCATCCAACTCATACATGGCTACCAGGAGCTAGAATTGGATTCAACGCTGTCACCACTTCATGGAAGAGTTCAGAGGATCCTGCACCAGGTCTTTTCAGTCTTCAGCTTGATCCCAATGGAAGTAATGCATATCTCATATTTTGGAATAGGTCTAGACAGTATTGGAGCAGTGGAGCATGGGATGCAAAGTCACGTATTTTCAGCGGGGTTCCTGAGATGAGGCGTAACTATATCGCAATTTCCTATATCTTCAATTTCAGTTTTGTTACAAACAAAAACGGAGGTTATTTCACCTATTCTATTAATGATCCTAAGATAATATCTCGAACCGTAATGCATACCTCAGGGCAGATTCAGCAACTCTCATGGTTGCAGAATTCCAGCAAGTGGAATTTGTTTTGGACCCAACCAAGTACGCAATGTGAAGTTTATAATTTATGCGGGGCATTCGGCAGTTGCAACGAGGTAAGCCCGGTCTCCTGTAATTGTTTGACAGATTTTGAGCCAAAGTTGCAGAGGGATTGGAATTTGCAGGCTTATTCTGGTGGGTGTAAAAGAAAAACCCCTCTGCATTGTGAGAATGCTACTAGTGCTGACGGGAAGCAAGACCAATTTAAGAAAATGGCTGCGATGTCATTGCCTGAAAATGAGCAGTCTGTGAAGGTTGAGACTATTGCGGGATGTGAATCAATCTGCTTAAATAATTGCTCTTGCACTGCTTATGCTTATAATAGCAGTGGATGTTCAATTTGGATCGGAGAACTCTTCAATCTGCAACAACTCACCTCAAGTGATAGTCAGGGAATAACTTTGTATCTCAGACTTGCAGCTTCCGAGTTTAAGAGTCCTAAAAGCAATAAGGGATTGATTGTTGGTGTTGTGGCAGGCTCAGCTGCTGGAATAGCAATTCTCTTAGGCCTTATTGTGGTTGTAATCTTGAGACAAAGGAAGAGAGTGACTGGAACGGGAAAAGCAGTAGAGGGTTCATTGTTGGCCTTTGGGTACAGAGATCTGCAAGACGCAACAAAGAACTTCTCAGAAAAATTGGGGGGAGGAGGCTTTGGTTTTGTTTTCAAAGGGACCCTGCCTGATTCATCTGTCATAGCAGTAAAGAAGCTTGAAAGTGTCAGCCAAGGAGAGAAGCAATTCAGAACTGAAGTGAGCACAATAGGGACAATTCAACATGTCAATCTTGTCCGGCTTCGCGGGTTCTGCTCCGAAGGTACAAAAAGGATGTTGGTCTATGATTACATGCCGAATGGATCATTGGATTCTCACCTTTTCCATGATAAGCGTCCAAATGTTTTGGATTGGAAAACAAGGTACCAAATTGCTCTGGGGACCGCAAGAGGGTTGGCTTATCTTCATGAGAAATGCAGAGATTGCATCATACATTGTGACATAAAGCCAGAAAACATTCTTTTAGATACTGAACTTGGTCCAAAAGTGGCAGACTTTGGCCTTGCAAAGCTTGTCGGAAGAGATTTCAGCAGGGTCCTGACAACCATGAGAGGGACAAGAGGCTATCTTGCACCAGAGTGGATTTCAGGAGTGGCAATAACAGTGAAAGCTGATGTTTACAGCTATGGAATGATGCTGTTTGAATTCGTGTCGGGACTACGAAACTCTGAGCAATCTGAAGATGGCAAAGTTAGATTCTTCCCAAGTTGGGCTGCTAACCAGATAAGCACTGCAGAAACTGATATGCTGAGCCTATTAGACCCCAGGCTAGATGGAAATGCTGATGTACAAGAGCTCACAAGGATTTGTAGGGTTGCTTGCTGGTGTGTTCAAGATGATGAGGCTCATAGGCCATCAATGGGCCAGGTGGTGCAAATCCTTGAGGGAGTTTCAGATGTCAACTTGCCACCAATACCAAGGTCTCTCCATGTCCTTGGAGACGACCAGGAGCACATAATCTTCTTCACTGAGTCATCCTCAAGCCAGAGTTCACATCAAAGGAGCAATAACAATTCAACAGCTTCCTCTCAGACCAAGAGCACCACATCTTCAACCATCTCCAAGAGATCTGAAGAAGAGCATCAAATAAACACTTGATGTGCCTTTTCCATTTGGTCACTTGGTTTGGGCCTTCTAAGTAATTGTGATATGTATTATATATTTTATATAGCTTCTTTTGATTTGGTATGATAATTGTATTATTGTTTATATATATATATATATATATATATATATATAGGCTTAATTATGTACATGCCCCCTGTGCTTTCCAACTTATCTCAGATTACCACCTGTGGTGGAAAACGTCTCAAAGTACCCCCCAACGTGCAAAAAACTGTCTCACGTTACCCTTTCCGTCAGTTTTTTTGAAGTTCCGTTACGAACGTTACTGTTCATCTCCCCCAAAATTCCAGAACAGCAGCTCCTCCCATTTGTTACTGTTCATCGCACCAGTTTTTGGGCTGCCATCGCCTCCTCCGGCCACCCCAAGCGACGACATGGATATCAAAAGAACCAGCACGTTGTCCTCTACCACCCTCACATCTCAGCCGCTGCCAACCGTCGTCTGGATCACCGAAAAAAGCAAGAAATTGGCCGGTTTTTACCCAAAATCTCCATTGCTCGTTCGGGCGATTCCGAGCACCATTTTCTTCGATCCAGGTATGATTTTTCAACCTCTCGAGTTGTTCTTGCTGCTAGTTGTGTTGGTTAGGAGAAATTTCTGAGTTTTGGAGGGTAAATAAGCGATGAACAGTAACAAAGGGGAGGGGCTACTGTTCTGGAATTTTGGGGGAGATGAACAGTAACATTCGTAACGGAACTTCAAAAAAACTGACGGAAAGGGTAACGTGAGACAGTTTTTTGCACGTTGGGGGGTACTTTGAGACGTTTTCCACCACAGGTGGTAATCTGAGATAAGTTGGAAAGCACAGGGGGCATGTACATAATTAAGCCATATATATATTCCAAGAGCCTTGCTTCAGAACAAAGTCTTTGGAGATAAAATTGCTGTTTCTATTTGAAAACCTTCATTTGCACAAATGAAAATTGGACCGAAAACTATAAATGAACCCTCGTCGAGTGAGTTTCAATTGAACCACATAAATAGACGATTTAATGACTAGACTAAAATGTAATCAAAATGAGAGTTTTTCACTCTTGATATATGCTCTTATTTGGTGAGATTAAATATTGAAGGTTGCCCTTCTTGAAAGAGATTAGAGAAAAATTAAGGAAGTTTGATAAAAGAATTGCAAGATTGTGGCATCATTCTTTATTCATCTACATAAAATGGATAGAGCAAAAACGACAGCGTAGCAAACAGATGGCAAACATACAAAGCCAAACTCATGTACAGTGGTGCACCCCCATCACACCATAAGACAACCGGTGCTTAAAACCTTAATCAACCGATAAACCCCCAGAAAGAACCCAACTAATTTTTGCTTTTCAAATTCGTTCTCGTGACGCGCCTTCTTCTTTCTCTCTCAGGTACTCTCTCTGCAACTATTATGTTTTTCTTTTTCATTACAAATATAATCGACAGAAAATAGTTTTCCTTCAGTCTTCTGTGGCTCTTGTTGTATTTCTCCCTTTACTTTCTATGAATTTTACTGAAAAAGATTGGATTTTTCCTTGCAAAAGAGACCACATATAAATTGGGTATGTTCAAGTTTCTTGAGGATGGAATGAACCCTTCTTTTTCTTTTGTGTGCCCTCTTGGTGTGTGATTAGATTCGTCTAAAGAATATGAACGGAAAGGCGATGAACCAAAAAGGGGAAATTTTTATGTACGGATAATCCTATATCTTTATGTACGGATAATCCAGATGGAAAGATTTATGAGAAGAAGAAGTAGAAGAAAGGGAAGTTAGCTAAGAAGTCTGATCTCCCATGTGATGGTGACAAGAAACTTCCCATCTGCTCCCACGATGGCTTCCTGATCATACCCAGAACTGTTCATCAGTTGGTATTCAGAATTCTAATAACTGTTCAAAGATGAGCAACCATGGGTCTGATGAAGTAAGAAGTGATAGTTTTCTTGAGGATCTTCAGGTCAGCCAACGCTCTGCTGTACTTCAATGCAGCAAGGTCGAACTTGAAGATTCGAATGGCAGTGTTTGTGAAGATAACAAGACTGGTATTGGCAGAGCCTGCGCCCACGATGGAAAAGAAAATAGATTTTTTGTAAAGAAGTGGCAGAAGAGGCAGCGTACTGCTAGGGATCAACAAAGGCACTGGGTCAAGGAACAACCAAGTTACAGATATCCAGCTGTAGAGAATAGTGTCTGGGTTGAGAGCATGGTAATAGTTTGGAAGCTAAGAGCAGCTCCAGCGCTGCTATCAAACTGGGCAAAAGGCCCCCCGGGCAAGCCCAATACAGCTCCAGCGCACCACTTGCAGTCCGGGCAAGTTCTGGGTCCCACCAGCCCGGGCAAGCCCAAGGGCAGATTTTGCCTGGGCTTCAGCCCGAGGGTGCTGACGTCAACGAGCAAAAAAAAATCTAAAAAATTATAAAAAATTCAATTTTTTTTTAAAAAAAACCCAAAAAATTATGGATGTTTTCCATATAAATACATAACAATTTTATTCACTTTCCTTATAAATACATAACAATTTTATATTTTGTTGCATATATATATTTTTTTCTTGCCCTTGACTTGCCTTAGACTTTGCCCTCATAGGTGGAACCACAAATGCAAAGGCTGACACTATTTACGTGAATAGTTGCAGCCCTTGCTTGCCCTTGTCTTAGACTTAGCCCTTGTGGGTGGAGATGCTCTAATGCATTGGTTTTTTCTGGACACAACAGTGGTGCTTATGGGAGAACGCCCCGGAGAGTATTGGGTGAAGCACCACAATGGGTTGCTTCTCAACAGAGGTTGAACTGCAATGGTAAAAAAGGACTTGGAAATTGTAGAGCAAACTTCTTTGGGTTACATGATGTAAGTTTGTTTCATATTTAAAAAAGAATTTTCACAGGTTCCTTTTGGCATGCACTATTACAAAAATAGAGATACAGCCAAAAGAATGTTTTACAATGATCATCATGTTGCAAGTCATGGATATTAACTCTGAGGAGGAAACGGGGTCGTTGGGGAGGTTGGGGTCGACAGAGTGAAACTGGTCATGATTAAATATGTGATGGCAGAGTATAGCTAAGCTTGTGAAGCATTTAAGTTGGTGATGTTGGAGCCACCCCCTACAACATATGCACGGAACAAACGAATAAGAATATCTCATATGCGCCTTGGGTGGGTGCTAATGTTTGTCAAGCGTTTATTCAATTTAATTTTTATTTGTAGCTACCTAGGATTATGTCCACATATGTATCAAATACGATAACATATGCCCAATAAAAATAATAGAATTTCTAAGGTAACTCTTTGGAAAGAGGTTACTTTAAAGAGAAAGTCCGGTAAAAGTGTTGATAGGATTTTTAGTACATGTGCAAACAGAGTTAAAATCACGTAAAATACTTGCAAGAATACAAGGCTATTGTAGTATAGATGCTCATGCAAGGTCGTTTTCCACAAGGACTATTTAGCAATTTATGTGAAAACAATTTCCAATTTACTACATAAAATTAAAAGTAGAGAAAGATGAATATGAACTTGTGTGACACTAAAAACAAATACGATTGGAAGAAAGAGTTTTGAATATCAATGTATGAAAGCACTAGAGTTTCACCGTCACCTAGCAATCCTATGAATTTTTACCAATTACTTATGATTTTTGCATGCCACTTTGAAGGTTAGGTTTTCCTAATTTATATTCTACTTGGAACCTCCAACATAGAACGTATATCTAACATGCAACCCGTCCGGACGTTCGAATCAAATCTAAACATGAAAGACTCATTAAGTTTTGTGAAAATCCTTTGAAAAATCATGCAACTCTTAAGAGCGTGATGTTCGCCTTAAGTGAACTTACAATTATTAATCACAAGAAGCTAGCATCAATTTCAGGGAACCTTCCGACCAAAATTGCATCTAATTACTTTTCTAAAGATCCTAATGGTGATCAGACATTAAGACAATTAGATAGTTTAAAACAGTGATTAACAATTCAAAGCATGCATGCACTCAATCATAAGCAATTAAATAAAAATCACATATTCATGCTAAGGCTCAAGGCTTCACCCTAGCAAAAGAGATTTAGTTACGCATGCTCATAATTGAAATCCAAGAAAATATCATTCGAGTGAATAAGAAAGAAAACACATGAAAGTCGCGAAAATCTAAAACCCTAGCAATTGCTCCAAAAGCCAAAAAGAAGTTCTAAAAGGAAGTCCTTCAAATTTATGTGAAAATGAGCTTAAATACCTCCTAAAACCTAGCTACCCAATCCCCACAAGGAAACTAAGTTAAAATAAAAAAAGACTAGGAAATAAAGTCTTAATTGGATTAGGAGAATCTGCCCACAATATGCTCAGCCACGTTTTGGTCTCAAATCTTCTCCAAATCTGGCCCAAGATAGCTCGTTTTAAAGATACAAATATTCTAAACACTTCTCTAGAAGGCCACGAACCCATCCGAGGTCATCATGGGCTCCAAAAATGCAATACAAGCCCAAAACGTCATTATTCCAACACTGCACATCACTCCTTCATTTATTCACCAGGAAATCATCGCTTGGTGGAAAAGTCTGATATTTTGATACGATCAAGCTAAGTGACTCACGTACGTCCTCCAACTAGAATTACTCCAAAATTCGTCCATTTGATTATGTTTTGCTCTAGAGGAAGTCGAAAGACCTATATTGGAAATATAATTCAAAGTATCAAAATTTTTCCATAATATTAACCAAAATATACTAAGAATAAGGTTAAATATATAATATAAAATCGACTCATCAAGTGTCCCTTAAATTTTCATTGTGGGACAAACACTTTTAACAATAGAATTATTGTGGAGTTGGATGATACTACAAAATAGGGCTCGGTGTTTTGTGAGATTGGTCATGCCATGCGATCATGAGGCCCAACTGAAGATTTTCTCATAGTTTAAAATAGAGTAAAATTCATTTTTAGGAAAATTATGAAATATTTCTCTAATTGGTTTCAAATGACAACTTAAAACTTTTTGAACTCATATGAATATTACTCAAGAATCGGTGATAAATTTGATTTTCAAACAAGAAATCATTATAAATCCAAAACTTGAAGTTAAAATCTTCAAAATTCTTTGAAACTCAATTTCAATATCTTAAAAATTCTTAATAAAAAAGGTTAAATTGAAATTTTGGTCCTAACTTTTACCCAAATCACAACGCGTGCACATTGTCTATTAAATGCCTCACAACCTATACTCACACAAATGCCCTGTTTCCTATGATGCTTCCTGCCTTTGTCTTTTTCAAAATTTCTAGCGATTTTTTTGTTCCCAAGCATCTGCAAACCTGTCACCAGCTTAAAACACAAGTTGGGCTTTGCAAGCAGTCAAGAGACCACCGCACCCAAATAAAGCTGTCAAAGAATCACATACACGCCATACCTAATTTCTAAACAAGCTGCCAGTTCTTTTGAACCAAAAACCAAAACCCATGTTCCAAGTTTTGAACTTTATTATATACTTGCCAGCTTTATCAACGCGGCTACTTGATTCTACCCTAAGCCCCACAACACATGTATATAAAGGAGCTTCACAACTCAAATCATACCATCAAACACAAAACATTCTCAACTCAGCACTCATTTCTCTTTGAAGCTAATTCTTCTCTTGCTAGCTCTGTCCACAACCTCACTAAATTAAAATGTCTTCTTGTTCTGAGGTCTCAATGGTGCTTGTTGTTTCTTTGTTTGTAACTTCTCTGATGGCCATGACTGCCTCAGCTGGTAATTTCTATCAAGACTTTGACATCACATTCGGAGGCGAACGGGCTAAGATACTCAACGGAGGACAGCTTCTCACTCTTAACCTTGACAAGTTTTCTGGGTCTGGTTTCAAATCCAAGAATGAGTACTTGTTTGGAAGAATTGATATGCAGATCAAGTTGGTCTCTGGCAACTCAGCTGGCACTGTCACTGCATACTATGTAAGTTTTAAGTTTTAACTCCTATGATCAATCCCTACCCTCTTCCATTGTGATTAAGATATAATACTTCAGTCTTAATTTGTCCTTAAATTTTCTTTTTTTATACACTTGAATTATTGCATTGCTAATTTATGAAATGAAACAACATGAATATATGCAGTTATCTTCTGAAGGTCCAACTCATGATGAGATTGACTTCGAGTTTTTGGGCAACTTATCTGGAGACCCCTACACTCTCCATACCAATGTGTTCAGCCAAGGAAAAGGAAACAGAGAACAACAATTCCAACTTTGGTTTGATCCTACAAAAGCCTTCCACACCTACTCCATTGTCTGGAACTCTCAGCGCATCATGTAAGTGTAACTTTATATGCATTTCTCATTATAGTATAAGTAAGCTCTTTTAATTTACAACAGAGTTTAGTTAAAAACTCTCTAACACAAAATGGTATTGGTTGATGTGCAGATTCTTGGTAGACAACATTCCAATCAGAGTGTTCCACAACTTGGAAACAATTGGAGTTCCATTCCCCAAAAGCCAACCCATGAGGATTTACTCAAGCCTCTGGAATGCTGATGACTGGGCAACAAGAGGTGGCCTTGTGAAGACTGACTGGACACAAGCTCCTTTCACTGCCTCTTACAGAAACTTCAAGGTCTCCACTACTGCATCTACATCTACTAACTCCTTAACAGAGCAGAGTGCATGGCAGACTCAAGGGCTTGATGCTGCAGGCCGAAACCGGATTCGATGGGTGCAACAAAAGTTCATGGTCTACAACTACTGTTCTGACCTCAAACGCTTCCCACAAGGCCTCCCAGTTGAATGCAGACGATCAAGGTTCTAGACATCCAGATCATGCCACATCATCACATATTCTCTGTTCTAATGTGCAGCCTTACAATTCTTTTGTGTAATTAGTTCATTTTATGAAATATTCTTTCATTCCTTATAGTCCCATCCCATGATTTTGTATTCTTTCATTGTAAGTTGAATTGGGATTTCAGAATAAAGTATTCATCATTATTATATGATAATAGTAAAGTATTCATTACTACACAACATAACAAATGATGGTTTGAATTGAACCTCAGTATTTCTTGAGAGGAGTTGGTAGCCCTGGATTGGCTCATACGGAACTCTGTTATGCTGCCAATGCTATGAGAATTGAAGCCGACTTCTGCTACTAATGTCATCTTCTCAGTCAAAGACTCAAAGTCAGGAGAAAAACAGAAGGGTCACAAGGCTTCTTGTTTTTTTTTTGAGAGAACCTCGACGGAACGAGTAACAAGGCTACTTGTTTATTGACAAAGAAAAAAACAACCAAAAAAAAAGCTTCTCATTTTCAGTCAACTGAATAAAACGTAATTATTATAATTCCCTTAAAAAAAACAAAAGAGAAGAAAAGAAGTGGCCAGCATTGTCTGGGCTCTAACATTGTACCACGGACTTTTGGGCTTGTCGCTAACTGAAACTCACCAAGTCTGCCAATTGGATCCATTAAAAATGCACATTGTATTATCCCTGAAAATAAGATTTAAAATAGAAAATTGGAAATGCAGTCGACCTCATCAGCTCCATTGCCCAAGTGCTCTTACCCTCTCCCAAACCACTTCCACTTCCACCATCGACATCCTAAGAAAAAACTCAACTTCCTAACCCTACCCCAAAAAACCCAAACCCACTTCACAAACCACTGTGCCCTTTACATCTCTCACACAAACAGTTGCAGCAAAGAGCACCAAAACAAAACCCAGAAGCACAACAGCAGCAATCCCGACCCTTATCAGAACGATGCATTATTTCTACAACTGAACTCCTCCTCTGGCACCGAAAGCTCCAATAATCAAAGCCCAGAAGCCCCTAGCCGAGAACAAGGACAAGATCAAAGAGAGAGCGAAGACGATTATCCCAAGGGACTTTCCACAAACATGTGGTGGGCAGACGTGAAAGGAGCGTTGGGACAAAGGTTCAACTTTGGAGCCATTGCTCGTTCAGCCAGGGTACTCACAAAAGACAAGCACTTGGCACTGCCTCACGTCTCTGTGCCTGATATAAGGTACATTGATTGGCCTGAGTTGCATAGAAGGGGCTTCAAGGGTGTTGTGTTTGACAAGGATAACACTTTAACTGTGCCTTATTCTTTGACGCTCTGGGGTCTTCTTGGGTCTTCATTGGAGCAGTGTAAATCTGTTTTCGGACCCGATATTGCGGTGTTCAGTAACTCGGCTGGTAATATTTTGCAGAACCCAGTTGGAAAATTTTGCTGTTTTTATTGTTGGTTATGGATTTTTGTCAAAGTAATGATCTTGGTTTGATGGTTAGGGCTTTATGAGTATGACCATGATGGTTCAAAAGCTAGGGAGCTTGAAGGGGCTATTGGAATAAAAGTCATAAGGCATAGTAAGTGTTTGTTTTTCAATATAAGCATTAATTCTACTGCAAATGTTTTGAATTTGTCATATATATATGTGTGTGTGTATATATATATCAAAACTCCATTTTTGTAAATTACAAGTTTTCTTAAGAAGTGCGGAGTTTATGTGGCATTGATGTGGGTATTTTATCTTTATGTTATAGAAGTGAAGAAACCAGCTGGAACAGCTGAAGAGATCGAGAAGCATTTTGGTTGTAAAGCATCACACCTTATTATGGTAGATAAGAATTCATGGACCTTGTGAGTTGTTTTATTTGATGTTTTTCTGGATTCTTATGAATGGTGACTTATGGGGCATTTTTGTGTGTGGTAGGTGGGTGATCGGCCCTTAACTGATATCGTTTATGGGAATCAAAATGGCTTTCTGACTATTTTAACTGAACCGTTGAGTCTTGCCGAGGAGCCATTCATTGTTAGGCAGGTTGGTTTTCAATTCTTCTCAATTTCTTTTTATGTACTGCAAGTGAATATTGTGTTCCTTGCTCTATTCCAAACAAAGTGACAAAAAGAAAGAGTAAAATTAGACGTATAAAAGATGTTATTATATCTGGTTAGGCTGTTGGTGCAAATGGTTGTCTATTCCCAAATTGGTTAAACGAAGAGTCAGTCCAATAAAACATAATTTGTGAAATGCCTAGTTTGTGGTGTCAGTAATTATTCTCTGTTTGTCCTTGTGATTTGGTAAAGTTCAGATCCTCTTTTGAGTTGTCTTGTAGGGTGGGGGATGGTGGAAAAACCCAAGTTTTAGCAAACCAAATATAAAGAAGAAAAGAAGGGAAAATCAAACTAAACCATAAAAAACTTCCAAAGTAAAGAGGACCATCCAAGTGTGTAAAATATGCATTGAACTCATTACTAGAATTTCTCACCCTCTCAAAAGTTTGACTTTTAGGCTCTGCTTAAGTTCAACGAAACAAGCATAAATGAGCTGCTCCCAGATTTCCAAACTTGTCATGCGTCATTCTTTCCTATGTTGTGGCTATTTGAAAGTGACTTGAAAACTTAGCTGTGCTGTTTCTGGGGTTTTTGCCCCCCTTCATTATAAAAAAAAACAAGTGACTTGAAAACAGCGCATGCAAAAAGATATCAGATAACAGAAAAGCATTCCTCTTGGTAAGAAAGGTATTGTGAGGGCAAAGGCCTTCAAAGCTACGTCGAAGGATTTCATCTAATATTGCTTTTGCCTGAAATACATTCCAACCAAGTTTTCTGCCTTCTCCTTTTGAAACTTATAATCTCACAAACTTCAAAAACACCATAGGAAGTTTCAATTCCCAATCATGACATGTGAACCCCTCTGAAATATGGTTTCAGCAGTCGCCATCATAGTAAAAAAATTAGACTGTTGAGTTGTTTTGGATTAGGTGTGGGACCTTGTGCAGAGACGATGCAAAAGAAATGATTTTTTTTCCCTTTCATAATTTACACTTATTTTTCAGTTGGATATTTTGGACCGTATCAACCCTGTAATTTGTGCTCTTATATTGCCTGCAGTTAAAAGGTCCAAATTTCTGTGATTTGTCTCTGATAATTTGCTGGTAACAATTGCAGGTGAGGAAACTAGAAACATCCCTTGTGAACCGTTGGTTTAGGAAAGGGTTAAAGCCCACCAGTCATAGGCTGTTGCCAGACGGTACGCAGTGTGTGAAACATCCACCACCCCTATAAGAATTATTGTTGATATAGTCAAAAACAAAAATTATTGTATCTGTCCCAGTGATTTCATTAGTTTTACCATTTTTTCAATTCAAAGCAATGAGAGAAATTTCTGTCCCCTTTCCCCCCGTTCAATTGAGCAATATTTTTACACAAGCTGGCTTCATAAAAGGAAAAAAAAAGAGAATGAAAGATGAAAGAACAAGGGAAGGTCAAAAAATTTCAAGCTGCTCCATTAAACCTTTAACGAAGATCACTATCGTCTTTTTTATACGAAGTTCGATTAATGAATCTTGACTGACAAGCAACACAGAAGTTTGTGGCAGTAGATTTGTATGCCTAAAGTACATTTCTCAAATTTCAGGAGTTGAACTTGGAATGATCCCTAGAAGTTGATATGGCTCAGCAATATGTACTGATATTGATAATGACTTTCAAGAAAATGTCTAGAGTTTTCCGTAGGAGAAGTCAATGCATGGGTATACTCAGCATGGATGGCTCATTTGGGGTTCAATAATTTCATCGATAAATTAAGACCCTTTTGATTATGAAATCGAATATATTATACTCGTTGAAGTTTTATTTATTTTATTTTATATCAAACACTCATTGAAGTTTATAGTAAACACAAATGGGTTAATTTAGCCACCTAAAATTGAGTACTATTGGTTTAAAAAAAACAAAAAAACAAAAACAGAATTAAAATTAAAATAAAAAACAAGGCAACGCTCATGCCATACCATCTTGTCAGCCGGGTATCCAAGTGTCTAGACTGAAGCTGGTTCCCTAACATCTATACATTGCCAGACCAGAAACTCTGAGTTATGATGCACTTCAAGTAGTACATTTTGCTTCATCACTTCTGTATTGTGTAATTTAGTAAGAACAAAAATGGGGGAGCTGCACATGGGTCGAGAGGTTTTTTATATAGACTGGCATCGCCACTTCCATCCCTCTCTCCCCACAGGCATGATTTTCCCACACCAAAATATAAAAGAAGGTAACAACAGCAGCCATGATAGGAGTCGCCGGGGGGAGTGGCACATGATAGTGTCGGTCCAACTCTATGAATTGGAGATGTTGAAGGTTTATCCCTAATTAGCACAATGCTATTCATAGTCTAATAAGTTATCCATCTTTGAGCTGTATGAAATAACAAAACAGAGTCTTAGAGCTTAAAACCATGGTGTCTCCAGTAGAAAAACAGATATATTTGTTCATGCTTGTCGTCGTGACCCTTGTTTCGGTTTCTTCCTTCAAAGTAGCTACTTCTGCATCTCTTACAGCTCCATCATCAAGATCACCAGAAGGACAAGAAGCAGAGGCTCTTCTAAAATGGAGGGATAGCCTTGACAACCAAAACCAATCTCTCATGTCTTCATGGTTAGGAAAAAGTCCTTGCAACTGGACTGGAATTGCTTGCAATGAATTCAGAAGCATCACTAATATTAGCCTTAGCAGCATTGGATTAAGAGGTACTCTCTATGCTTTTGGCTTTTCATCTTTCCCTTCTCTCCTAAGCCTTAATCTCTACCAAAACTCTTTCTATGGTAGCATTCCCTCCAGTTTGGGCAACCTTTCTAAGCTCATCTACCTTGATTTGTCTTTTAATCAACTCTTTGGAAGAATCCCATCTGAGATAGGCCTTATGACAAGTCTTCACGAGCTTTATCTAGATGATAATGCCATAAATGGATCCATTCCTGAAGAAATGGGATCACTCAGCTCACTCAAAGTGCTGGGTTTGAGTGGAAACAGCCTCACAGGTCCAATTCCAGGCTCCATTTGGAATATGGGCAACTTGTCCTTACTATATCTCTTCAAAAATGAACTTACTGGAACTGTGCCACAAGAAGTATGAAATTAATCTCCAATCTCTAAACCAGCTCCACTTGCAATTTAACAACCTAACTGGCCCAATTCCTGCATCCATAGGAAACCTTGTCAACTTAACTATTTTAGCACTTCTTGAGAATAATTTCTATGGATCCATCCCTCCAACTTTAGGAAACTTGACCAAGCTCACCTTATTAGATGTGCAGCAAAACCAATTGAGTGGCCCCATCCCACCAGAAATAGGAAAGCTCAAACTGCTATTCAAACTAGGATTGTTTGTAAACAATCTCAATGGCTCCATTCCTGGAGAATTCAAGAATCTTACAAATTTGCAAAATTTAGGGGTATCTAGCAACATGTTGTCAGGCTATCTTCCTCAAGACATTTGCACTGGTGGATTACTTGTAAATTTTACAGCAAATGACAATTATTTCATTGGCTCCGTTCCGAAAAGCTTCAGAAACTGCTCCAGTTTATACAGAGTGAGGCTTGACAGAAACCAGTTGTCAGGAAACATATCCGAAGACCTTGGAGTTTATCCACACTTAAACTACATTGATTTGAGCTATAATAATTTCTATGGGGAACTTTCTCAGAAGTGGGGTCTGTGCCAAAGTCTACAAAGCTTGAAAATCTCCAACAACAGAATTTCCGGAAGAATACCTCCCTTACTTGGTGAGTCGCTTCAGCTACGAGTACTTGACCTCTCCTCGAATTATCTAGTTGGGGCTATCCCAAAGGAATTGGGGAGGTTAGCGTCACTGTTCGACCTTAACCTGGGTGGAAATAAACTTTCAGACAGTGTTCCATTGGAAATTGGAAGACTATCCAATCTAGAGCAACTTAACTTGGCAGCAAACAATCTCAGGGGATACATTCCCAAGCAATTATATGGGTGTTTAAAGTTATTGAACTTGAATTTGAGCACAAATGGATTGAATGAGAAACTTCCTTCTGAGATTGGCAGCTTAGAATCTCTTCAGGTTCTTGATCTTAGTCATAATTTACTGAGAGGAGAGATACCACCACAGTTTGGAGAATTGGAAAACTTAGAAGCACTGAATCTCTCTCACAATGAGCTCTCTGGCTCCTTCCCATCCACTTTTGATAATATGTTGCACCTGACTGCTATTGACATATCCTACAACCAATTGGAGGGTCCTCTTCCCAACATCAAAGCCTTCAACGAGGCTCCAATCGAAGCTTTAGAGAGTAACAAAGGCTTGTGTGGAAATGCCACAGGTCTGAAGGCATTCCAATCTACAATAAGAAACAGGAAAAAGAATAAAAACATCATTTTGATTGCAGCCCTCATTTTAGGAACTCTGTTTCTTGGGTTCATTATGGTTGGGTTTCTCTACATTCGTCGTCACCAGACTGTAAGGGAAGCACATGAAATGCCAAGGGGAGCACAAACTGAAGATCTATTTGATATATGGAGCTATGATGGGAAACTGGTATATGAGGACATAATTGATGCTACAGAGGAATTTGATTCTAAGCATTGTGTAGGAGCAGGGGGGCATGCAAGTGTTTATAAAGCAATGCTACAAACAGGCCAGATTGTTGCAGTGAAGAAACTTCACACACTACAGGATGGTGGGAATAGCAAATATAAAGGCTTTCGAGGGTGAGATTCGTGCACTCTCAGAAATCCGCCATCGCAACATTGTGAAGCTCTATGGTTTTTGTGCACATCGATGCCACTCATTCTTGGTTTACTAGTTCCTAGAAGGAGGTAGCTTAGAAGGGGTACTAAGGAATGACAGAGAAGCGACTATGTTTGAATGGACTGCAAGGATAAACCTTGTCAAAAGTGTGGCTGACGCTTTATCCTATATGCACCATGATTGCTTGCCTCCAATCGTTCATCGAGACATATCAAGCAAGAATATCTTGCTGGATTTAGAGCTTGTTGCTTACATCTCTGATTTTGGCACAGCTAGAATCTTGAAGCCCGACTCTTCCAACTGGACTTCATTTGCAGGCACATTTGGATACACTGCTCCAGGTAGTTATTTCCAGTATGTATAGCTTTGTCACTGTCCATATTACTAACAAAGCACACATATATATATACACACACACACGCACACGTGTGTGTGTGTGTGTGTGGCTGGCTTCATCTTTGAATATTATGTTAGCAAATAAGAGATGAATTTGTCTCATAGTTAACTTCATGCATTGAATAATATGAATATTGCCATTCTCATGATATTAAATTGGTTTTTGGGTTTGCAGAGTTTGCATATACAATGGAAGTGAATGAGAAATGTGATGTTTATAGCTTTGGAGTGTTAGCTTTAGAAGTGATCATGGGAAAGCATCCAGGAGATCTCCTGATCTCCGTTCTCTCCTCGACAACATCGACTGCGCTTGATACACCGCTGAGGGACGTTCTGGACCAAAGGCTTTCACCTCCTAAAGATCAAGTTGCAGGGAAAGTGATGTTTGTTGTGAAGCTTGCGTTTTCATGCTTGCAAACCAAACCACAATGTCGGCCAACCATGCAACAGGTTTCCCAGGAGCTATCAATTCCAAAGGTACCTTTACCATTCACATTTGACAAAGTTGCCTTGGAACAGCTGGTTAGCCATGCTTGAAAGGCCAAAGTTGTTATGGCATAATAAAAAATCTATTGGGATTAAATTTGGTATTGTTGATATGTTCAGAAATAAAAAATAAAAATGAAAAAATCTTTTAGTTGTCTGAGTGATTTTGATGGTTTTACCATTTCTTAATTCAAAGCAATGAGAGAAAAATGTTATCTTTCTCCCCCCCGGTAAATCGAGTAATATCTTAACACAATTTGGCAGTAGATATGATCATAGTATGAATGCCTTAAGTAAATTTTTCAAACCTCATGTGTTGTACTTAAGTATGGTTAAGAGGAGATATTGATAGGGCAAATATGTACAAATATACTGATATTGATAGATAAGTACTTTCAAGAAAATGTCTAAAGTTCCATAAGAATGTGTATACTTGTCATCACTTCTGTACTGCACATGTGTCGAGATGTTTTTATATAGATTGGACTGGAACTGCTTGCAATGAATTCAGAAGCGTTGTTAATATTAGCCTTAGCCGCATTGGTTTAAGAGGTACTCTCCATGCTTTTGGCTTTTCATCTTTCCCTTCTCTCCTAAGCCTTGATCTCTACCACAACTCTTTCTATGGCAACATTCCCTCCAGCTTGGCCAACCTTTCTAAGCTCATCTACTTTGATTTATCTGCAAATCAACTCTTTGGAAGAATCCCATCTGAGATAGGCCTCATGACAAGTCTTCACATACTTCGTCTCGATGATAATGCCATAAACGGATCCATTCCTGAAGAAATAGGATCACTCAGCTCACTCAAAGAGCTGGATTTGAGTAAAAACAGCCTCACAGGTCCAATCCCAGCATCCATTTGGAACATGAGCAACTTGTCCTTAGTATACCTGTTCAAATATGAACTTACTGGAACTGTCCCACAAGAAGTAGGAAATTAATCTCCAATCTCTTAACCAGCTCCACTTGCATTTTAACAACCTAACTGGCCCAATTCCTGCATCCATAGGAAACCTCGGCAACTTAACTATCTTAGCAATTTTTGAGAATAATTTCTATGGATCAATCTCTTCAACTTTAGGAAACTTGACCAAGCTCACCTTATTAGATGTGCAGCTAAACCAATTGAGTGGCCCCATCCCACCAGAAATAGGAAAGCTCAAACTGCTATTCAAACTAGGATTGTTTGTAAACAATCTCAATGGCTCCATTCCCGGAGAATTCAAGAATCTTACAAATTTGCAAAATTTAGGGGTGTCTAGCAACATTTTGTCATGCTATCTTCCCCAAGACATTTGCACTGGTGGGTTACTTGTAAATTTTACAGCACATGAGAATTATTTCATTGGCTCCATTCCGAAAAGCTTCAGAAATTGTTCCACTTCATACAGGGTGAGGCTTGACAAAAACCAGTTATTAGGAAACATTTCCGAAGACCTTGGAGTTTATCCACACTTGAACTACATTGATTTGAGCTATAACAATTTCTATGGGGAATTTTATCAGAAGTGGGGGCAGTGCCAACGTCTACAAAGCTTGAAAATCTCCAACAACAGAATTTCCGGAGGAATACCTTCTTAGCTTGGGGAGTCGCTTCAGCTATGAGTACTTGACCTCTCCTCGAGTTATCTAATTGGAACTATCCCAAAGGAATTGGGGAGGCTAGTGTCACTGTTCGACCTTAACCTGGGTGGTAATAAACTTTCAGGCAGTGTTCCATTGGAAATTGGAAGACTATCCAATCTAGAGCAACTTAACTTGGCAGCAAACAATCTCAGTGGATACATTCCCAAGCAATTAGCACAAATGGATTGAATGAGAGTCTTCCTTCTGAGATTAGCAACGTAGAATATCTTCAGGTTCTTGATCTTAGTCATAATTGTTAGCTAGATAGCTGGTAGTTAGTTGAATTAATGAGGTTGGCTTGACTTTGGGAGGCTGCTGCTGCAATCTCCAGGATTAGGAGCTCAAGGTTTAGGAACTCAAGACTAGCTGCAATCTACCTACTTGTAATTAATATTGAGCTTGGTTAGCAAGCCTGCGTCTTGTATAAATTCTGCTGTAAGTAATACAAAGAAATCAAGTTTAAGAAACCAGAAAAACATTATGTTATTCTCTCCATATTTTCCAGATTTTAACAACAATTTACTCAGAGGAGAGATACCACCAGAGACTGGAAAAATTAGAAGCACTGAATCTCTCTGGTTCATTCCCATCCACTTTTGATAATATGTTTCACTTGACTGCTATTGACATATCGGCTATACCCAGTTTTTTAAATTTTTTACGAAACCGTAGTGCCACACGGCTATACTATTTCGCACGTGGGCGGCTAGCCGCTCTGCGGCTGACTTTTTTTTTTAGTGAACCGTATAGCCGACCGGCTATATTCGATTATTTTCTAATTTGTTTTAAAAAGTAGTATAGCCGACTGTCTTTAATAATTAGTATAGTCGTATAGCCGTGCGGCTATACTACGATTTATTTTTTTAAAACCGTATAGCCCAACGGCTACACTTATTTTTGACACGTAGCTCCTAATCACTAGAGGGTCCTCTTTTTTATAAAAAAAAGGGTTGAGCCACACGGCTATACGCCGTGTTTTTATTTTATTTTAAATAGACTTGTTTAGACACATGGTGCGTAATCTCTGGGGTCCTTTTAAAAAAAATATATATATATATATAAAATAGTATCGCCGAGCGGCTATACGCAATCTTTTTTTTATTTTTTTTAAACATATAGCCGCCCGGCTATACTATTTTACACGTCGGAGGTGCAGTACGGCTGCTATTTTTTTATTTATTAAAAATAGTAAATAGTATAGCAGCCTATTCTCAATTATTTTCTATTTTTTTTAAGGAAAAAAAATAGTATATCCGGGCGGCCGTACTAGGTTTTTTTAAATTTTCTTTAATAAATAGTATAGATGAACGGCTACAGTCTTTTATATATATATATATATTTATGTACATATGTAATTTTCAATAATACATTTGTGTTCTATACACATCTCACGTTTTTTATTTTTTTATTTAAAAAAAACAAACTTAAAATAGTCGTATTGTACATATACATATGTATTTCTAATGTTTTATACACGTACTTTTTACAAAATTTTTAGTAAGGCACGCAAAATTTATGTATTATATAAATAATTCTCACACATTATTGAATAAGAATAATATATGTACTTTGGATATATTGAAATTAGCAAATTTATATTTATAAAGTACAAACTAATGCAACTAGGTCTTTTTATTATAAATTAAAGAGTTATTTAAATAGTATAGCCGTGCGGCTATACTACGATCTTTTTAAAAAAATAGGATAGCCGAGCGGCTATACTGTTTTACACGTGGCGCCTAATCGGTGGAGGGTTCTGTGTTTCAAAAAAGTTCAGCCGCACGGCTATACGCTGTGTTTTAAATATTTTTTTTTAAAAATAGACTTGTTTTGACACGTGGCGCCTACAACCAATTGTAGGGTCATCTTCCCAGCATCAGAGCTTTCAACGAGGCTCCAATCAAAGCTTTAGAGAGTAATAAAGGATTGTGTGGTAATGCCACAGGTCTGAAGGCATGCCAATCTACAACAAGAAATAGGAAAAAGAGTAAAAATAAGATCATTTTGATTGCAGCCATCACCATACTGTAAGGGAATCACAGGAAATGTCAAGAGGAGCACAAACGGAAAATCTATTTGATATATGGAGCTATGATGGGAAATTGGTTTATGAGGACATCATTGAAGCTACAGAGGAATTTAATTCTAAGCATTGTGTAGGAGCAGGGGGGCATGCAAGTGTTTATAAAGCGCAGCTGCAAACAGGCCAGATTGCTGCAGTGAAGAAACTTCACACGCTACAGGAGGGTGGAATAACAATTCTAAGGCTTTCGAGAGTGAGATTCGAGCTCTCTCAGAAATCAGCCATCGCAACATTGTGAAGCTCTATGGTTTTTGTGCACATCAACGCCACTCATTCTTCGTTTACCAGTTCCTAGAAGGAGGTTGCTTAGAAAGGGTACTAAGGGATGACAGAGAAGCAACTATGTTTGAATGGACTGCAAGGATAAACCTTGTCAAAAGTGTGGCTGACGCTTTATCCTATATGCACCACGATTGCTTGCCTCCAATTGTTCATCGAGACATATCAAGCAAGAACATCTTGCTGGATTTAGAGCATGTTGCTTACATCTCTGATTTTGGCACAGCTAGAATCATGAAGTCTGACTCTTCCAATTGGACTTACATTTGCAGGCACATTTGGATACACTACTCCAGGTTATTTCCAGTTGGTATAGCTTTGACACTGTCCATAATATATACGGCTGGCTTCATCTTTGAATATTTTGTTACCAAATAAGAGATTAATTTGTCTCATAGTTAGCTTCTTGCATTGAATAATATGAATATTGCCCTCTCATTGCTTTTTGGGTTTTCAGAGTTTGCATATACAATGGTAGTGAATGAGAAATGTGATGTTTATAGCTTCGGAGTGTTAGCTTTAGAAGTGATCATGGGAAGGCGTCCAGGAGATCTCCTGATCTTCGTTCTCTCCTAGACAACACCAATTGCGCTGGATACACCGCTGAGGGACGTGCTGGACCAAAGGCTTTCACCTCCTAGAGATCAAGTTGCAGAGAAACTGGTGCTTGTTGTGAAGCTTGCATTTTCACGCTTGCAAAACAAACCACAATCTCGGCCAACCATGCAACAGGTCTCCCAGGAGCTATAAATTCCAAAGATATCTTTACCACTCACAATTGACAAAATTACCTTGAGACAGCTGGTTAACCAAGCTTGATTTCACCCTTGTCTTACTGTATCATAATTTATCTCAAGAACTTGAAAGGCCAAAGTTGTTGATATATTCAGAAATAAAAAAAACTTTTAGCTGTCAGTGATTTCGATGGTTTTACCATTTCTTAATTCAAAGCAAGGAGAGAAATAATGTTATTTTTCTTTACCCCTGTAAATTGGGTAATATCTTAACACAATTTGGCTTTGGCTTCATCGTGAAAGGGAAAAGAAAGAAAAAGGAAAAGAAAATATAGATGGTTGAAAAAATTTGGTAACCCCAATTCAACCTTTGACTGAAGATGGCTATCATGTTTTCCGTACAGAGTTTGATGAATTGCAATTAGCACATGTTTGGGGCCAGTAGATATGATAAAAATCTCATGTGTTGGACTAATCCCCCTAAATCCTGGCTTAATCACTAAAGCAAGTCATATCATATTGGCTTTACCTGGAAAGGACGCAAAGGAGTGACTGTGGAAGGCATCATGTGCATCCCATCATATCAAGCTAACAATAATTTACTGACATAGACAATGACTTTCAAGAAATTAATTGGCTAGAGTTTCAAAAGAGAAGACAAAGGTGTACCTTCAGAGTTGAGGCATGTCCATGGATGGCTAATTTGAGCTCAATAGAGACATGTTCCAAATGTGCATATATATATATATATATATATATATCTTTTTAAAATGTTTTAAAATAATTTTAGTATCGTGTAACTTATTATTTTTACTAGTCATTTGTTCTTATTTACGTTTTTATACATAATAGCTTAAAGGGTTGTTTTCGTGTTACCAAAACCTCACACAGCATCATCCGTTACTTTTGCTAATCCCTAAAACCATGACACGTTTTCAGATGGGTGTGATGGTCGATTTAGGTCAGATAAAAGAGTCGTGACTCGTGCATGTTGAATGTGCAAAGAGTCAAACTTTCAACTTTCAAGAACCTTGAAACTCCTATTGGAGAAAGAAACGTAAGAACCTGCATCCTCTTTTCACACTCTGGAAAGAGGTTGGATGGTGCAAGTAATGCTTACTTTTCTTGTAAGATAGAGAGAGAGAGAGAGAGAGAGAAGAATATGGGTAGAATACTAGAATTTGGCAACTAATTTGACAAAAGGTCAAAGGTCAACTGACAAATTCTAAAAGGATGCAATGGCTCAATGGGGAGGCTGCGTTGCCTCATCCACTGGCTTCAACTCTCCATTTTTAAATTTGGAGCCTTGGATTTCTCTGTTTGTACTGACACGCCAAACACACATTTTTTCAAAGTCACCAAAAGATTTGGCGTCTACCTCAGGTCTTCCAAGGACAACTTGATCTGTTTAATGTTCACACTTAGCTCAAAATTCATAGGCATGAACCTATGCTACTTAAAAGTTTAAACAATCAAATATGGATGCTAGCTGCCCCTTTACTCGATAAGGAGATGCTCTTCCTTCCTGCGAATTACAATTTTGAAACAAATGCAAAATAATTCATCAAAAATACAAAAAGAAAAACTTCTGTTGACAGAAATATAAGAGCTGCTATTTACCTAATAAGGAGGGAAGTATTTTCCATAAAAAAATATGTCTTATTTGTCTTACTTGTAATAAAACAATGATAAAGTCCATGACTGAAGAACATGGAATTTCAATCATATCCTTGGCTACGAGGGGGCCTGTATGGAGCCTGCACTGTGTGCAAGTCATATTGAGCCAAATTTAAGTACCACACTCTTCCTCATGACCAAACCGACTACTTTTGGCAGATGGGTTTCTGGTGCCATCTCTTGATTTGCAGTAACCAAGACATATTCACAGCTTAAAACCATGGCATCCCAAGAAGAGAAACCACTTTCTGCTAATGCTGCTGCTTCACAGCATTCACTTCAAGTCATCCTAATGGCTATTATTCTCATGTTGGTTTCTTCTTGTTTAGCACCTTCAGCTTCAGCTGCAGGACAGGAAACAGAGGCTCTCCTGAATTGGAAGGCTAGCCTTGACAACACAAGCCTGTCTCTCTTGTCTTCATGGGTTGGAAACAGCACTTGCAATTGGGATGGGATTGGTTGCAACAATATTGGAAGCATCACTCATATAAACCTCACTGGTTCTGGTTTAAGAGGTACACTTCATTCATTCAGTTTCTCATCTTTCCCCAGTCTCCTAAGCCTTAACTTGAGCCATAACTCAATTTCTGGAACAATCCCATCAGAAATAGGTTTTCTGAAAAGTCTTCAAATCCTTGATCTTTCTGAAAATAACCTTAATGGGTCCATTCCCCATGAAGTTGGTTTATTGGGAAACTTAACCATTCTTTCTCTTCATAACAATGAACTTTCTGGAAATATCCCTCTGGAAATATGGATGCTGAATTCACTCAGTGTGATTCATATAGAGAAAAACAGTCTCACAGGTTCAATTCCAGAATCAATTGGAAACCTGTCAAACTTAACTGTTCTAGCTCTCCATCGCAACAATTTCTCTGGCTCAATTCCTTCAAGTATAGGAAACCTGACTAGGCTGAAGGAGTTGTACCTGATGGGTAATCAATTAACTGGAACCATTCCAATTGAAGTAGGAAAGCTTCAGTTTCTTACCCTTCTAGGGTTGGTAGATAACAGACTAAATGGTTCCATTCCTTTAGAATTGAGTAATCTTAAATTTTGAAGAACCTGTGGCTGAGTGGCAACAACTTGTCTGGTAATATTCCCCCAGATTTATGCAGTGGTGGATTACTTGAAATGTTTACAGCACATAACAATCAGTTGACAGGCCTCATGCCTAACAGCTTGAGAAACTGCAACAGCTTAGTTAGATTAAGGCTTGAAAGAAACCAGCTAACAGGAAACATAAATGAAGAATTTGGCATTTATCCGAAATTAGCTTATGTCGACCTCAGTTATAACAGATTCTATGGAGAACTTTCTGAAAACTGGGGAGAATGTCAAAACTTACAAAGCTTGAAGCTCAGCAACAACAGAATTTCCGGAAGAGTTCCTCAGTTTGAGGGATCAATTCAGCTGCATATACTTGACCTCTCTTCGAATAATCTCACTGGGACAATCCCAAGGGAACTAGGGAGGTTGACATCCCTGTTCAACCTTAACCTGGGTGATAATAATCTCACTGGGACAATCCCACCAGAAATTGGAATGTTAACCAATCTACAACAACTTAACTTAGCAGCCAATGATTTCAATGGACCAATTCCGGAACAATTAGATGGGTGCAGAGAGTTACTGAACTTGAATTTGAGCAAAAATAAATTCAGTGAGAACATTCCTCTTCAGATGGGAAGCATGCAAACTCTTCAAGTTCTTGATCTTAGTCAAAATTCCCTGATGAGGGAAATACCGCCACAGCTTGGACAATTGGTAAAGTTGGAAGCATTGAATCTCTCCCATAATGAGCTCTCTGGTTCGATCCCATATACCTTTGATAATATGTTGAGCTTGACAGTTATTGACCTATCCTTCAATCATTTGGAGGGTCCTCTTCCCAACAACAAAGCATTCCTTGAGGCTTCAGCTGTAGCTTTTGAGAATAACACAGGCCTGTGTGGTAATGCCACTGGTTTGCACGCTTGCCCGTCTGAAACAAGAGGAGGGAAAAAGGGCAGCAAATCAGTTGTATTCATCATAGTCTTTGTTTTAGCCATCCTCTTTTTTGCATTTGTAGTATTTGGGATTCTTTGGGTGCGTCGCTATTCGCAAGAAGCACAAAATGAAAACCAATTTGCAGTTTGGAGCTATGATGGAAGATTGGAGTATGAAGACATTATTGAAGCTACAGAGGAATTCAACTCCAAATATTGTGTAGGAGTGGGAGGGAATGCAAGTGTTTATAAAGCTGAACTGCAAACAGGTCGGATTGTTGCAGTAAAGAAACTTCACATTGTACAAGATAGTGGAGTAGCAAATTTCAAGGCTTTTGAGAGTGAGGTTCGTACTCTTTCAGAAATTCGTCACCGCAACATATTGAAGCTCTATGGTTTTTGTTCACATCCACAACACCCTCTTTTGGTTTACGATTTCATAGAAGGGGGAAGCCTGGAAAAAATATTGACCGACGAAAACCATGCCATTAAGTTTGGATGGATTGAGAGAGTGAATGTTGTCAAAGATGTGGCTAATGCATTATCTTATATGCATCATGATTGTTCACCTGCAATATTGCATCGAGACATATCGAGCAAGAACATCTTGCTGGACTTAGAGTATAGGGCTTATGTCTCGGATTTTGGTACAGCTAAGCTCTTGAAGGCAGAAACTTCGAATTGGACTTCGTTTGCAGGCACATTTGGATACAGTGCTCCAGGTACTTATTTCCTGCTTGTCTTCTGTCTATAATACATGGCCTGCTGCATATTTCAGAAATATGATGGATAGGCTTTTACTCATCATGAATTGATCTTTGTTTTGCAGAGTTGGCATACACAATGGAAACGAATGAGAAATGTGATGTTTATAGTTTTGGAGTGGTAGCATTAGAAGTGATCATGGGAAAGCATCCTGGAGATCTCATATCCTATTTTTTGTCACTCTCATTAACATCAACAGCCCAACCTATACAACTCAAGGACGTTTTGGACCCCCGCCTCTCACCTCCTGGAAATCATGTTGTTGAAAAGGTGGTCGTTGTTCTAAAACTTGCATTTGCATGCTTGCGAACAAATCCACAATCTCGACCAACCATGCAACAAATTTCCAATGAGTTGTTATTTTGAAGGATTCCTCTGCCAAAGAAATTAGAAAAGATTAGCTGATGATTCTTGATTAGGATCTGGGGTAGCTTCTTTCAATGTAAATCTGTGTATGATTTATCCAAATCAAATTACACCCCCTCTTCCGCACATGTTTAATGTCTCTAATAGTAGCTCTCAGGAACCTTGGGTTCAAAGTCAAATCTATTTTTGATGCCATGACTGTCATACTATCATACTGATGAATTTTTTTTCACATGTAACAATAATACATTGTAGGCATTCGAAGTTCATGTCAGCCTATTGTTTGTTATTACTTGTCTGGAATATGAATTGAAATACAGTCTTCACATCTAGTAGGATGAGACACTGATTCAATCAAAAGCTAACTTGGGGGCATAAATCTTTGATTATGTGAGTTTTCCTGGTTACTGATAAAGTGATGAGCTGCAAGAACTTTTGGTTGTTGTGCTATTCAAAATAACTTTGGGGTAATTTTGATAGGCATCCCATGGGAAGGGAATGGGAGGGGATCCATGGTTACAGGCTCATCAGGACAGAGCAAAGACCAATCGTAAAGAGTAACAACAAAATGCACGAATATGAGGATATTCAACTTGGCCAGTTCGTACCCTGCACACACTCTTGGCCCTCCACCAAATGCAAGAAACACATACGGTGGAACAGACTCATCGAACCGACTTGGATTGAAACTCAGAGGATCTTGAAAATATTCTGAATTGTAATGTGTTCCATATGTTGTCCACAAAACCTGAATAAAATAAACCACTAAAAATTAGTCCAAACCCTGTAAGTATAAACCTGCATAAAATTGTAGTGTGGCCAAAGCAGAACACATATGTACCTTCCATCCTCTGGGAATGGTGAAGCCTTCATATTCAATGTCAGCAATGGCTTTCCTGAAAGAGCCAAATATAGGAGGGAAGAGCCGCATGCTTTCACGAGCAACCTGCCAGGTATACTTCATCTTCTTTGTGTCATCCAATGTCAGATTTTCACCTGGTCTTTTGCTTCTCATTATCTCAGCATGTTCTGATGGGAAATGAAATGAAACTCACTGATAAGCTTGTTGAATGCGGAGTTTCTCGGATAACAGATTAAACTTATTTTTGCTGTTAGATGAACTTGGACTGCATGAAAGATTATATACCTTTAAGTAGGAGACTATGGCAATAAGGATTCTGAGCCAGCATTTTGAATGTCATGGCAATGGCAAAGGAAGTAGTATCATGAGCTGCAAAAACTAGCAAAACCACATTATCAACAACCTCCTCTTTGGTAATTTCTCCTCGAATCATCCCAGTCACCAATTGAGACAGTAACATCCCTCCCTGCTCCTCTTGTTCTTCTAGCTTGCCTTCCATTTGCATCCTCTTCTCTCTTACTACTTCAACCAGCATTTTCTCTATCGTCTTCCTTGCTTTCTTTGCTCTCCAAAACCTGGACCCAGGAATCATAACTGGTGCTGCAAAAACCCCTTCCAAAACTCTCTCAAAGGTTTCCAACATCTCTGCCTCCACTTTGATCCCCAACAAGCATTCAAACACTACGGTAAACGTCAAGATTTTCGTCAAACGATATAGGCTAATCTTGTCCTGGCCTTTCCATTTCGTGTCCAAATGCAGCTGCACAGAGTTGCATATTTTGGGCACTAAAGTCTCAAGCCCTGCCTGGCCAAGGCTTGAGCCTATATGCCTGCGAAGGCAGCGGTGCCTCTCTCCTTGTTTTTCCATGATGGAGTCCTTCCCCATCAGCTGAACCGACGCGGAAGGCCACGAGCTCACCACCAACTTGAACTCATTGGACAACAGGAACTTATTAGCATTGGCTCCATTTACAATCACAGTTGGTGATCCCATGAGATGTGTTGAGAAGATTTTGCCATATTTCGTAATCCGGGGTTGTACAAAATCGTCAAACAAACTGTTTTTACGTTGAGCTTTGTAGAACTCCATGGTCTGGCCTATCCAAGGAAGCCCCATTTCCCCAGGTGGCAGATTTTGCTTGTTTGTGTTACAGTGTTTCTTGTGCTTCAAGAAAATGATGATAAAGACCATTGCTGCCAAAATGCATAAGAAACAAAAACAAAGATGGCTAATTTCATTAGCCATTGATGATTTGATATTGTTGATGGACTCAAAAAGCTCGAATTTCACAGTTCAAATAATAATAATGTAGTATCAGGTGAGCAGATTGTTGTTTGCTTTATAGAAGGAAAAACCAGAAAGTCAAACCCCTGTTGACTTCTGAAAAGTCAACCAATCAAGAAGTCCTGACCGTCCCACATATTTCTAGTGGGTATGAAAGCAGTGACCACAGACCCTGCATGTGCATTTGAGCTAAGGATCAAAAGTCCACCGCCCCAGAGAATGACACATAATCAAAGATCACCATATAATGTTGCATAAAAATGTATATCTAGAAGAAGCATACAATCTCTTGCTGCCGACCAGTCAAATATGCTTAAATTTTTAATCACAAAAGAAATCCCAAAAGATCTGGTTAGGCTGCTGATACCTTACAATCTCTCTCTCTCTCTCTCTCTCTCTCTCTCTCTCTCTCTCATAAAAGATTAACACATGATGAAAACCGTGGAATCTTTTCCATCTCGCCTCATTGCTGATTTCAACAATAACAGAAGAGACCTTGGAACCATGCCATGCCATATATGTGTATGTTGCTATAATGGATAAATATGGGGGTAAACCAATGCTAAGAAACGCAGTATATATAAAATATATATCATCCTGCAAAGGGCATGCCTCGTGCATAAATTAACCAACAGCCATGTTAGGGACCACAATTTGTGGATCTATGTGTGGAATATTATTCATCATTCCTAAAGATAAGGTTCATATATATATATTTATGATACAAAGCTCATGCCCAGGGGTAGAGTCAAAAGACTTTTTCTGAAGGGACCAAGAAGTTCAAATATATTTAAAAAGTGTGTAGAGCTACATGTAGGTTGGGACGTTCAAGTCCACCCTATGTCTACATGTGGCTCTGTCGCTGAGATAAGTAATTAGTCAATTGTATATGGGTATGTATGTCTTCTATGGATTGTAGCCATAGTGTCATACATTTAGTACATGGTTGAGTACATAATCTTCTTCCAGCACCAAAAATCTAGCAAAGCAAGCACCGTCCATCCTATGCACATATCACACATGTTTTAAGGAGATGCAAAGCCAGACATTGAAGTTTACTTTGAGAGGATGTCAGTTGTAGCAGTTAATGGTGCAGTTGTAGCAGTAAATTCACATCTCTATAGCAAAAACAATTTGGGGACCTGTGTGTGAGCATTGATAAGATTTGCAGCCAGTCTCTCTCTGTTAGGAAATTCCACAGAAGCAGCGGTGGAACTTGTCATGCTAGAGAGACAATGAAACTCCCTCCCTCTCTACCCAAGAAAAGGAAATGGATCTTTTAATGGGGTTCCCAGGAAAAAGGTCTCTGGATCAAGAAAACTGATTTTACAGCAAACATGGCATAAGCAGATGGCTTCAAAAATTAGTCTTTGAATTTAGAGCTATGATTAATCTTGGATTAATTAATATTATAAACCATTGTTCTTTTGCTCATTGAAGTTAGACCAGGCTAATTAATATTCTTTGTAGACATTTTCACTTATCATCATATTTTTGTATAATTATTGCACCAAATTCTTGAAAAATTTTATGAGATTAATGCTTTCAACTGCCACCAAATCCAAAACCATATTTTTAAATTCATCAGTGGCTAGCTAGCTTGTAGCTCCATAGGCCTCCTTGCCATCCATCACTGCGGAATTTTACTTACTGTTTCACTGTGACCTTCTCCAATGTGTGACAACTCATGAACCAACTCTGGCACGGCCATTAGCCAACCTGTCTCTTACACAGCCATAAAACTTTGGTTGAATGACATACATCTCTCTCTCTCTCTCTCTCTCTCTCTCTCTCTCTCTCTCTCTTTCATATGCTTCAAATTTATGGTCAGAGGGGTTTGAAACTTGAAAGTGATTCAATTACGAACCTCAAAAAACAATGCCCTTCTTTGCTGTCTTCTTTACTCTCCTCCTAACACTTTTGTTCAATCTCACCTACCTCTCTGTCAAACTCATTAAGTTTGACACAGAACCCACTTCATGGATCAGCATCTCTTGGCCCATCTCTCTCTCTTTCTACCAGGTGTTGGGGTCCTTCCTTATGCTTTTATGTCTGATAAAAGTTTTATGTTCATATACAGAATTTTGAGTCATTTGCCATCTTTTATACATACCATATCTCTAACATATTTGTTCTAGCTACAATTTCCATCTGCAATGCGCATAGCTTGTTACAAATTTATATGGAGACCAAAATGGGGAATTTTTCATGACAGATTTCATGAAACCATGACCAATTCTTCAAAATTTGATACCCGTCAAAGGTTGGTTGGTTCGGTTTCAATTCCCTACCCAAACAACCACAAAAGATCTTCTTCATACATGGTTTGGTTCATTTCCAACCCACAAAGATGTAGAAGCTGAAGATGCTAGAGAGGAGATGGATGCTAGCCGTACTTGAAAATTTTATACAATTAAGGCTGAGAAATCTTCATATGGCCCATCACAATTTACACAAATATATGGGTTGGCTCCACTAGCTCAGGGCTCTACATCTAGCATACAGGCATATCTTGGACAGGGGATTGAAATAACTTCGTGTACCATATTGTAATTAATTTCTAAATAATCTCATATCTAACACAATATTCCATTTAGGTTGAATAGGGACCAGGACATCTAATCCTAGTCCAAATTTTAATACAAAGACATAATGACAGGATAGTCAAGGTTTGGATTGGTTTTGAGACAAACTTAAATTGGGTTCATGCTTATTCTGGGGTTATTGTCTTGGATCTCAGAGCAAGATGGAGTTCACAAACTTATGATTGAAAAAATTTGGTTTGCCACCTGTCCACAGCCACTAGTGGTGTCTCATTCATATTGAAGGCTGAAGCTTGCAAACAGCCAGTTGAAGGCAGATCATGCATTGGTTTCCATACATTATCCCAACGCACAAGGCTGGGGAGGGAAGATTTGTCCTTTCTTGGCACATTTTATATATCATGCTTTCTAAACTTGAAAGGTATTTGCTTCCAAGCAGAGGCTTCATCAAGAAATTAAAAAAACAATTAGCTCCCTAATCCCATTTATCCAGGTCAGAACCAATGACAAGCAATATTATATGTCAACACCCATATTAGCCCATGCCACATGATTCAATCAACTTCATAAGTAATGCAGAACATAAATTATATGAGAGAGAGAGAAAGAGGGGGGGGGGGGGGGGGGGGAGGGAAGACCTTTCATTTGATTTTATGTGGTTTGTGTCTCAAAGCTACTTCAAAACTTGATACCATTATTGTAAAAACACAAGAGTAAATAGGATGATAAATGCACCTGCAGCACATCAACTAACTACAGCACTCCTTCACCTGCTAATATTAACTTCTCTACATCTACCCTATATATTTCACCTCTTCCTCCTGGAATCAATCCATCCTTCACTTCTGCTTCCTCCTTTCCTCAGTGTATTCTAAGAAGAAAAAAATGGGCAGAGTGAGAAGCAGAGTTGCCTCTTTGTTCATATGGACTTTGGTTGCTGGGATGATATCCCAGAACTTGGTCATCCCTGTCATGTCCTCCACTGTTGAAGGCCAGAAGACCTACTACTCTCCAGACCCACATTCAGGAAGCCCCCCTGGAGGTCTCTCTGTCTCTCTCTCTTCTTCACAGAACACACATTATTTCTGTTTTTTTCTTCTTCTTTTTTTCTTTCCGTTTCTGGTCTTTACACGTGCATTGTTTATCTGTTTAACACACACATTTTGTCTGTACTCTATATATTTTTGTCCTTCAAGATTGATATTCTTGCAAAGTTGGTTGTTTCAGTTACCAGTTTAAAATATTACACTACAAGAACAAAATGCTACTTTTCTTACCTAAATATGTGAGTTCATCACAGTAAACAAACATGTTTTGGGTTCAAATTGTAAAATATGGTTTATATCACAAACATCTAGCTAGCATATAGCAGAAACTATGTCATAGCATGCATTAGGCTGATGATCAAGTCAGTAATATTGTAATATCTAACACGTCTTTTATTAATGCAGGTTCACACAGTACTCCTTCCGATCCACCATCACATGGTGGTGGCTCTCACAGACCCCCCTCTCATGGAAGCCACCACCCAACACCATCATCACCACCTTCCAACTGTGGCACCCCACCATATCACAACCCAACTCCATCGCATGACCCTGGAACTCCATCCGAGCCATCAACACCCTCAACTCCTCCAAGTGGTGGTGGCTACTATAACTCTCCACCAACTTCAGGAGGCTACAGCCCCCCACCAACACCAGACGTTTTAACCCCTCCCACACCAGACGTTTTAACCCCTCCCACACCAGACATTGTTAGCCCCCCAATCCCATACATTGGAACCCCACCAACTGACCCAAACACTCCTAGCATTCCTACACCCCCTTTTCTTCCTGATCCCAACTCTCCACCGTTTACATGCATGTAAGTTCCAATTAATCACAAAACTGATCAGATATATACATATATGGTTATATTGTTCGGGTCATTGAAATACAATGCGGAGTGAACTCACAAGGGATCCCTCAACTGAAGCTCTGTGTGTGTATATATAACTTCAATGCCATCTCTAAGTCACAAAATTATTACCATGTTTTGCAGCTACTGGAGGAACCATCCCACAGTGATATGGGGTCTGTTAGGCTGGTGGGGAACTTTGGGCCATGCATTTGGAGTGAATAGCCTTCCAGGGTTTGGCTCAAGCACCATGAGCTTGCAGCAAGCGCTTTCCAATACACATACTGATGGGCTTGGTGAACTCTACAGACAAGGAACTGCTGCCTTGCTGAATTCCATGGTTGATAACAGGTTCCATTTCACAACCAAGCAAGTCAGGGACAGCTTTGTGGGAGCTCTGGGATCAAACAAAGCTGCAGCATCTCAAGCCCGTGTGTTCAAGCTGGCCAATGAAGGAAAACTCAAGCCTAGAGCCTGATCTCAATCACATCATCATTTGCTTTCATTTCATTTCACAGTTTATCATGACTACGAGTTCTTTACCTATATCTAAGACTATTTCAGAGTGTGTTTTGTTCTAGAAATTTGTGTTCCTTAGTGCCCAATTATATTTAAAATGCCACAGCATTTTAAGATGTATACTGGGTTTACATTAATTTAGTGCTTAGCTTATGTTGTTTTAGTTTTAAATAAGATTCGAGATTTCATTGAACCATATCTCATGCAGCATATATGTCCAGCATAAAAGAAGCAACAGTAATGCAACCACCAAAAAATCCCAAATTTTAGACACTTAATTAATGTGAAAGTAACATAAAAATTAAAACCATTGTACTATCTTTACAGGTCATATTGCATGATCGCAGGGTGCAAAGTTATTATAATAAAAGGTCAGTTCGTGCCACTGGTCTTGTAAATCGAGTGCATTAAATTTTCTAGCATGGCAGTTGCATGTTGCAGAAAAGCAAAAAATACAAGGCCCACCGTCTTAAATCTTCAATATTGACTATCTCTACATTGCAAATCAGTAGAAAAATGTAAACACAAGGACAGACATTATACAAACAAAAATAAACTTTCATGAGCTAGGCGAATGACAAAGACAATGTGGTAGATAATTGAAATTGAGTTGAAGGCATGCCCCAGACAAACTCAATTAGGAAAACACAGCCCAATTTCTTAAATGTACTTAATAGTACAATCAAGCATTAAACATAATAATAAATGGATACCAACCTAACCAACAAAAATAAAATATAGGAAAAATATTTAAACAACTTTTTAAAGAAATTAGTGAGATTGAGAAATAATGGTAATTATAATTCAAACAACTTTTTTGGACGGGATGAGAAAATTTATGTGAAAGTAAGCATCTTCAGTACTTGAGATGATTGAATCTGTCAATCTAATGACCACAACTGCGTTCGCATACAATATGAATTTGCTCTGTAGAAAAACTCTTGTATGAAAAGGGATGGGATGAGACACTGAGTAAAGAGGGGGCGACAGATAAGTCTACAATTTAAAATTTGTAGCAATGATTTTATGATAGCAGTTGAATGTTCATCCATTGTCCAACCTAGAATGTGTTTGTAGGTTAGTTTTTAATCTTAGGGGACAAGGCAACTTGCCATCTTCTATTTACTTAAAGCATTGTGCTTCTGATATTTGTCTTGTGCAACCCACAGATGTCTGTCCCAAGATGCACCTATTCACATTGCCTACTGGTAAGCTTCAAAAGACCTTTTGACGCCTCATTATATAAACATGGACACGATGATACAACGTTATACATGTTCCCTCAGTACAACAAGCATTAATTGCAACATGCACCTCAAAATTTTCAAGGCAACAATTTCCTAAAAATCAACACTCAGAAAATATAAAAGTAAATATGAGATAAGATGAATGTTAGTATGTTAGTTTCAGGTAAATATACCAAATGCAAGGCCAAAATGAAAAGAGTAAGCTTAAAAAGAGCTCAGTTCTCCATGAAGAACAAGAAACGGATGGTGTCTCTGTCTCTGTCTAAGAAATGAAAATGTTGGAACCCATGCAAAGATCATTGAACAGTAAACTACTTTTGTAATTCTTTCTTACTTCAACATCATGTGAATAGGAAGATTGGTTTACAATTGAATTCTTTCCTTTTTAGGGACAGAAAGTTTACCTAACATCTGATTTACATCCATCATATACTCTTGAGCATGCACCCTTCAAGCTTAACTAGTACTTCAGCCAGCTCAATACAGCTTTTTCTTCAAGGAGAGCCAATTGATTTCTGAATGATGCAAAAGAACAATTCTATATGTGTTTTTCAAATCCATTCCCTCAAAATGGAGAGTGAAATACATTTAAATTACTTCAGATTCTGGGCTGGATCCACCAAACTGGTCAAGGCAGAGGAAGGGAGAATTTGACAAGCAGTTACCTCATATGAGATTCAAACCATATAAACATCCTGTCAGAGTGCAAGCTAGTCATTTCATGGTATGCAAATGCCAGATTTAACTCCTCCTGAATGTAATGGGCCAGATGCTTGTCTGTGAAAATAATTTTACTCTCTCTGACAACTTCTTTCCAACGTGTTCTACGCCCATCATTCTTCATATATCCATTCTCATCGATAAAACCCTTGTGCAGGAAGAGTTCAAATAGCTTAGCAGAAACAGACAGATCAAGACCTGGGATTCTATCAGCTAAGAGATGTGGCGACAAGGGGAACTCCTTGCATTCAATCTCTGCAACAGCAACCCCTTTATTTCTTAAAATTTCCATATACTCATCTATCTTTTGCTTTCTTAATATATCCTTCGGCATGTGCATGAAAAGGGTAGGGGGATAGCTCTCTTTTATATCCATTTTATCAAACTTCCCTTCAGCAATCATAATTGTAATACTAGTGAACTTCAACACGGTGGCAAGCACAGAAACAAAGTATCCCCCGGAAGAGGCCCCCATAGCAACAAGAGGAAGCTTTTCAAGCTTGTTCTTCTTAACCCACCATTTGATAATATCTTTAACAATAATTATCTCTTCCCCAAGAGTCCAGCATATCCCTGCACTTGATATAGTAAGGACAGCAAACTTTCGAGCAAGAGCATGAAGAGCAATTAGTCTTTCTTCTGGCAAACCAATGCAGTTAGGACAGTGAGTAGACTTGTCCCAAAAGTGAGCAGCTCTACCATTGCAACCATGAGCAAGAAAAAGAACTGCTTTAGGCGAATCTGGTATTTGCCATATTACATCAGTTCCGTTTCGAAACTCTAAGGTTGGTGAAAGTTGCACCAGTGACTTAAAGCTATGCCACTTTTCCTTTGGAAGTTCAGCTAATGAACTGGGCTTTTGATCATTGTTGCCAACTGACAATATGAAAATGAGAAGAAACACTGTAACAGACACTACCACAAGTCCAGCCAAACGGTTTTGAGGCCCATTCCACGCCTTCGATCTGTTTCCGCGGTTCAACATTACTGAAAACAAAATTTAGCAAAAACATTGGCTGAGAATATATACGAAATCCATTGTAATTGAAATTTCTTTTTCCATAAACCCCATTTAGTTACTGAGGATACTAGATTAAATTTTTTTAGTCCCATCTTGTTGATCTTGATTTAACTGTTCAATACCTGAGAATACAAAGACTGCAATAACCTGAGCCAAACTCAAAAATCCAGCATCAAAGCATTTTCAACAAATGTAAAATTTAAATTTCACAACAGAAAAAGTCTCAATTTGGGGACTTCTGCCAGACAAAATCTCTAGGCTTGATAAAACTTTTCAATGGTTATGCAATGCTCGTATTTACATAACCATTTTATGAACATTTACAACCTGTGTCCAAGTTTTCTGTCAACTCTGAAATATCCCATCCATTTTGTAAAGCCAGAAAGGTATAATCTAGGATATCTAATTGATTGCATACACATTTCAGAATAATCTAGCCTAACACCGCAGCGGATTTAATAATCACTTCTAAGCATATCAAAGGTACAATCTTTGAGAAGGAATTGCTACCTTTTAACCTTGGCTGGTAAGAAATGCAGGGCAAAACAGAGAACTTTGTTTTGAATCGAGCCGAGCATACAACAGTTAACATACAATTTTTTTCTAAAACTTTATTTTCCTATGCTTTCTCGGAAACCAAACAATTTATACGAAAATGCACTAATTCAGAATGCAAACAGCTTAAAAATACCTGTACGAACTCTGGATCCAGTTTTGGAAGTGAGCTGTTAGATTGCTGAGCTCTGAGAATTTGCTGCGGTTTCTTCAGTTGCAGTCGCCATGCTGTAGAAGACGCCGTTAATACATGCGCGTTACTGAATGTGCACAATCTTAGCCCAGTTTTCAATGGATTTGAAAGGGGTTTTGGGCCCGGCCAGCTTGAGCTCAGCCCATGACGGCCCGGGATCGTTTCAATTAAACTTTTATTCAAACTATATCATTTAAAATTAAATTACTACTATTAAGAAAAACATATCTGGAATGACTCTTCTAAGTAATGCTTAAGAAATTTCCAAGTGTAGTCAGACACCATGGTACTATTTAGTGTGCTTTTTTATTTGTTTACTTTCTTATAAGAAGGCGAGAGTCGAACTCTTGTTGTAAGTATGAGGATATAATTTTAGTGAAATTATGATCTCAAATTCTAAAACATTAAGCTTAATTAGAGAAGAAGAGGTTTTGGAAGTTAAACCGCAAAAACTCATTACATTTAGCTATCCATACGAAGGCTGTATCAGTCTGGCATGAGACATGGAGTACCATGAGCCAAATTCTAGGAATCGTGAAAGGGGTAATTGGCTTCTTGTTGATCCTTTTTTGTGGAGAGGCAACGTGATGTTACTAATTAACTTATATTATAATACATGAATTTAAATAACATCACATAACGATATAACTGTCACAACCAAATATTTATTTTTCTCAAAACAAGCAAGGGTCATTGTGGGCAATATACAAATAGGTCGATGATTCTTTTTTCTTTATTTTCCCAAAGTTAATAAGGGGGTTCTCATACATACTGTCAAAGTATCATGAAATTTCAAACATGACATCACTGATCTGTAAGTCAATACCATTTTCTACTAAATTAGACCATATTGGGTGATTCAAACTCAAGAAAATGAGGAATCCAAGGGCAACCCGAATTGAACATAAAAGGGTTTTTTGAATGCTGATGGGTCCCTTTCTGCGTGACACGTACTAGGCTTAGGCTATATTAATTTACCACTACTGCTATGATTGGATGAGTGAATTTAATAGAGTATATTATAATTATGAATTTAGGTGTGTGGGTCTCTCTCACTCGTAAATCACAAACAACAATCTTAGACCATCTCCAACTACGGGGTGAAAACTGAAGAGTTAACATTTTAGTTCAAATTCCATTTCCAACCCACGTATTTGAACGGGAAAATTTAGGCCATGCAATATCTTTGGTGGAATTTCAGTTTGAATATTGCATGGATTTGTAATTTTATGGAGCCCAACATGCCAGCAATCAAGGCCACGTAAAGGAAATACATAGCTTGCCCTACGTTGCAGCAAATTGTTGCCCACTCCTTTTCTAGCTCCTAACGAGCGGCTGAAGGAAATGCAAGAGTCGTTGACTTGAGGGTGATGTTTCAATTTTTCTTTCTAAAAATTCCAAAGGCTGTATATGATCAATTGTCAGGATCATTTTTACGCAATCTCAGTTGGAAAATTTCACATTCAACTGCTGAATTAAATCCAACGTTGAAAATAATTTTTATAGTTAATTCAAATCAGATCTAATTCCAAATAATTTTGTAATTGTCATGTATCTTAATTGTAATTTTCGTTTATTTTAATATGTTTTTATTTTTAAGTGAAAATATTTATGTTTTGAATTTTGGATTTTTTTAGGTTAAAATGTTCATAAAATTAAATCATGAATGTTGAAACAAAAATAATGTCAAGAAAAATTAACACCAAAACAAAAATGAAGGTTAATCATTTTAAAACAATTTAATAAAGTTGTGAACTCAAATTATGAGTCTACATAGTTGGAGGAAAAAGCAATTTGAGTCCAGACAATATATGAATAGTTGTATTTTGGAGGGTAGAATTTTGAGTTTAGCTTCAGCATGGTTTGAGATGGTCTTACGAGGACTTAAATTAAGTGGCCCAACCATCCTCAACTCTTCTTTTTTTGGTAAATACCACGAGAAATCCCCACACTTAAAGGGTGGGATTAATCCTCGCTCGGGATTTGGCTTGACCTTGGCCACAAATTGTTTCCAATGGATTTCGAACCCCTGCCATTGAGGCACTAGGTAATTTGTCAACTAGAGATGGCAATTGCCTACGAGTACTGCTATTTCTACCCACTTGTCTTATTTTCTCACCCACCTTATCTTTCCACCCACAACATTAATTTTAAAAAATACAATCTTATTTTTCCACCCACTATTATTCCTAAAATACCCTAACCCTATTTCAGTGTTTTCTGAATACACGGAATGCATACCAGCTATGCCAACTCTCTCTCTTGACAACCGAGAAAACCACCATGAACGACACCTATCTCCTCTGACTCAGAAAAAATTAGGACCCACTCGGATCAAAACCAACACGAACTCTTTTCACTTTCTCTTTCCACATCATCACAATTCTTGGGTGGAATAGCATATTTGACATGCAGATTGAGAACTTTTTATCCCTCTATTTCATTGCTTTGTTTTTGCCTCTCTGAAATTTATATCTTCAACCTTCATAGAGACCACAACCCTTGCCGAAAAAGACCAGAAAATTTATCAGAGAATTGAGAGGCACTATAGATCTAGAGATTGCGACCAACAAGATATCATTGTGCAGCTTTGATAATGATTATAAAAAAATAAAAAATAAATAAAAAAAGTGAAGAGAGAGAAGATGAGACTTTCTTAATTTGTTTGGTTCAATTTTCTTTTAGTGTTATTAATTATTGAAATGTGAAAATTTTTTGTTGGCCGGTTTTGCCGAGGGGAAAAAAATGTACGCTTTCTTCTTTAATTTTTTCTTGGGAGTTTCATTAAAACATCCAAAATGGGGGTTGAAATTATAAAAAAAACCCAAGCACTATTTAAACATATAAACACACCCAAAACCCATCATTACACACACTCAAAACCCATTTATAAACACACTCAAAAAGTTGACTTTGGGGTTGATTTTGAGTGTGTTTCTATGTTTAAATAGTGCTTGGATTTTTTTATAAATACATGTTTAGGATTGGGTTTATTTATAAATTTGTATTTTTTCTTCTTCTTTTTGTCAAACCCTAGAATAGAGGGATATGTTAGTTGGGTTTTTTTTTCCTTTAGTCCTTAGAAGTCATTTCACAAATAGGTAAATTATCTTTAAAATTTTGAAGATAAGGTGGGTGGGGAAATAAGACAAGGGGGTGTAAATAGCAGCACTCTTTACCAACCGCACCACACCTTGTGGTTATCCTCAACTCTTCTTTTGCCCGAATATAAAATTCATTAAAGAAAGCAAGATGGCCACAACACAAAAAACATAAAGTCCCAAACCTAAATTGGGTAGTACAACCGACCAAAGACAATAAACCTAACAATTGTTCTATATGAACCAACCACCATATATCACATTTTCATTTGATACAAGCGATATTGAAGAGGGGAATCGAATCTAAGACCTCAGGTATATGAGTAAATACTCTTCTCAAATACATGGGTAATAGTTGTAACGATACAAATCCCTTCCCATCACCATTTTACACCTTTTATATATATATATATATATATATAAATAAAAGGATTGGGTTTGAGTAGGTAGAAGAAATTTGATTGTATTGGGTATTAGGTAATTTTTGGTTTGGCCAAAAATGGAGTATGATGTTGCCTACCCTGCTCTTAGGGTAGGACCGCCCCTGGTAGGTTGGGTTTGAGTATGCAAAAGAAATTTGATTGTATTGGGCATTAGGTAATTTTTGGTTTGGCAAAAAATGGAGTAGGCGGCTGCCTACCCTGCCCTGAGGGTAAGACCGCCCATGATAAAAACAATATTATATATGGAGAAGAGGAATTTAAGGCAGAACCACGTATTCATAGATAAACCCTTTTAACCACTTGAACTACAAATCAATTATTAATTAAATATTAATCAATTATAAAAATAAAATTGAACTAAGAAATGTGTAACATTGCAATTCAAGGCATATTTTGCCATGTCAAAAAAAGAAAAAAGGCTCTATCACTTTATATTGGCATAAGACATGGAATATGAAAATTGAAGATCAGAAGCATGCTCAAAAGCAAAACATCAGCAAAAAGGGACATCCACAATGTGAAATTGGCTAATTCATTTGTGATCAGGATTGAATTGCCCAATTCTACAGACGTTGACAATGACATTTGAACCTTTTGAGAGATGGTACATCTCTCAGTTACTGAATCAACCTCATAGGTCTAGTTAATTGGAGCATTCTTACGGGTGGTCAAATCATGTTGGTTGTTTTGGAAGAGTAATTTTACAGTTGCCTTTTTCATATTCCTTAACTGCCATCATCTTTCTACAATGGTAGTTGGATTGATATATATATCTTTGCTCATAAACATTTTTCTAGAAGCTGGTTGTAATTTTCATTAAAAATTCAAGTGCTTCGTGAAAAAGTATTTGGTATTGTTTTTTAAAAGCATTTGTATGACTCGTAAGCATGTTTTAAAGTTTTTTTATTTTATCAAAACCTATCAGAAACGCCTTTAGTTGTCAGTGTTTGCAATCCGAATTTGGAAAGTGATTTTTCTCTCACTCATGCAAGTCATCATCCTGATCATTGGAAAATTGCTTCAATATTTGTTGATGGTATGAAAAGTTTCCATGTCTTCTTTTTCTTATGGGAATGTGGGTCATGTCTATTGGGGGAGAAAGGGTTTGGGGATTCTCTCTTTAACTTTTCAGGCCCAAATGGTCATCCCTTCCCTTCCCAACTCTTTGTTGTTTCGACAGCAGAGGTAAATAGTAGCTGCGGAGAGTATCTTCAGATGCATTAAAACAAAATGTCGGGTTCGGCAAAACTTAGCTTTCTCTCACTGGAAAAAGAAAAGACCATTCATGAGAAAAAGCTTGCCATTTTTGCCTGTAATGCAGCAGGTGATCCTCTCCCCAACTCCCACCCAGACCATACCCCATAGCCCCATCTTGATATCCCAGCCGCCTCTAGCACACAACCCCATCTTCCCCAACCAACCCCACCAGGAGCACACCCTTCTTCAGAACCATTTGGAAATTGGAACTATTTGATTGATGGGTAAAGCAAAGGTCCCTGTTTTTCTTCCTTCTCTCACAGACAACCACAATGGTTCACTTGAATGAACAAAATATTTCAGGACTTTTAATTATTCCAAACCTGTGGCTCAAACCCAAGCAAAGTGCCCAAACTTCAGAACTTCATAAATTTATTTCTTAGATTTCTCCAAACACAGACCTCCCTGTTAAAGTTGTAAGAACAAAACTTAATTTAAATTTCCTTCTAATTATCATGGCAACAACAAACAAAAAAAAACCCATTGAAGGACGGTTTGCATGGCCTTCTTGTTAGTCTCCATGGAAGCAACGTGTAGAACCCACTAGTTTTCGTGGATAATTTGGTTTAAATTTGTTGAATCTGGGAGAGAACGAAGAGCTTGGACCTTGGTTCTTCTTGAATAATTCAGTCGATAGCAGCTATGGGGTTTGTGACTATGTGAGGGTGTGAAGATGGAGAATGACTTTCATGCAAAGGGATAGCACTTTTTGTTATTTTTGGCCAATGACACAATGACATGTGAGATAATTTTTTCACGTATCATTGTGTTATTGGCCGAAAATAGCAAAACAATATTATCCTTGTTATAAGTAAGTGTTTTTTGGTGAAAATGAGGAGAGAATGAAAAACATTTTTTTAATGAAAAACATTTTTTTAATGAAAAAAATAGTGAAATTTGCTAAAATAACCTTCTTCTTCTTCTTCTTTCTTCTTTTTTTTTCTTCACAACTTCTATTCTTAAATAGACCCCCTTGCATTAAAGAAGCACTATAGGAACAAAGAGACATTGTATGAAGTTGTGAAGAATGATTATTTTAGCACAAAACCCAAGCAAAAATATATAATGTTTTTACACATGGCATTTACATGTCATGTACTTCGATCAAAATAATGGGTCTCACACATGCCACATCATTGTAGTCAATAGATTATTTAACGGAGTTAATGGTAAGAGGCAAAATGAGAGACAAAACATTGGTGGGTCACTTTAAGTTTCAGGGGCAATATGAAATTTGACCATAGTTTCAAAGACAATGTGAGATTTGACCATAACTTCTGAGAGCATTAGAGTATTAAACCTAATACACATAAGGCTTAAAAGAAGATACAACCCCTTTGCAGATCTTATTGATTTATGCACACAACATAGATGTTTTGTTAGCTGTGTTTTTTAAAAATAAAAAATTCTAAACGTTTTATGTTCATGTTTGATGATCAAGATAGATGGAAAGGTAACTTGTCATGAAGGCATGTGTAGTTTTATTTCCTTCAGTCCCAAAAAAACTTGTGTGTGATTGCTTCGTCCAAGTTACTAATTTATTCAAATTATAACACACAATTGGGTTGAATTTATACACAATTGGGTTGAAAAATTATTCCACGTGTCATTGCACTATTGGCCGAAGATAGCAAAAAGTGTTATCCATGTTACATCAAAGTCTCTCTCCTTAAAATGACAGGTGCCTCAATTTAACAAGTCTAATTATACTTGACACATACTAATTTGTTTGTCGATGAGCAAAAAAAAACTATTGTGGTACAAGAAATTGCAAGGTTTAGTGGAATTTATACTTCTGTTAACCTCACGATAGAGCAGTTAAATTTTTATATTAATGAGGAATCCCGAGCCTCTACATTTACGTATTGTGCATTTACTTGCATTTAGTTACATCTCAGCCATCCTAATAATCTAACTACTTAAGACATGCCCCGTCATCAAGCTTGGAATTTCTTTTTTAACTAACATTAACAATTATGCCATCAGTTTCGTGCCCTTGAGCGTCTTTACATGGCGGCATGAACATATTTCTCCTGTTGTTCGTCGTACATCCTTCTCCATTCTTTTTATCAATGGAAGTTCAATGAAATATCTCCCATGATTGCAAGAATTTCAACTCCAGTCAAGTAAAACTTTTTTTTTTCATTGCACGTATTTTCTCCCCTTCCTCTTTTGATTGAAATATATCAAAACATGATTATTTTTTTCTCGTCATTGGAGGAAGAAGAAGGGACTCTAATTAAAGTTCAAACTCAGGAATCATATAGACTTTCATGTGCATCACTCTTTCTTCCCCAAAAGGTGCAGAAAAAAATATAAGTGCACTGAAAAAGAAAAATAAATAAATTTTGACCTGATTGGAATTGAAGATTTTTGCAACCATTTTCCATTGTATACAAAGGCTGGAGAAAGATTTATGAGAAACATAGTAAACGCAGATACAGACATTGAAGGCACGAAGATTGAAAAAAAAGGAAGCTCAGGAAAGTTAACGTAAACTCAACGTTAATTTAGGGGAAAACAAATTAACTAAAAGCAGTTTGATGATGTGGCATCTTTTTAAGTTGTTAGATCATTCGAATGACTGAGATGTAGTGAAATGTGAGTAAATGTACAATACGTACATATAGAGGCTCGAAATCCATTGATGAGCATAATCATTGAAAGTAACTTATATGAAACGAATAGATAACGCTTCTTTTTTTTTTATCTCTTTCATCACAAGAAAACTTACACTCACAAGTCATAATGCCTAAATTCTATTGTAAAGATTCACTTTCATCTTTAAAAAAAGGTGAATCATAACTCTAAATTTTAGCCAAAAACCTAGGCTCATTGTCTTCTGTATGAAATTAGGTTGCAGCTTGCATCCAATGGCTACCCACCCCTAAATAGATCATGGCTGAGCACTACTAAGTGGCTCCCTTTGTGACACCACAACTTTGGTAAGTCATTTAACACACTTACCAAATTTTTGTTACGGGTCTCGATCTTACTCATAAAGTCACAGACAATGACGTGGCTTCAAATCGGTGCCCCAACCGTACACTATATCGCTACCTACTTCCCCATCAAAAAACACATCAAATATTCCAACATTTTAAAACAAGAAAAGCAAATACAAAATACAAAATACAAAAATAAAAATAAAAAATTCAATTCTTGTGATGCGTATTTATAAATACCCCACCGTACCAGTCTTCCCTCCTCACACTCTCTCATATATCCTTTTCTCTTTCCCAGTCTTTTCTCTTCTTCGTTCTTCTTCCCCCCTGTCTTAAATTCACCAGAAGATAGAAGGCTGCAAATTGAGCTCAAGATCCAGTCCAACCCAGAACTTGTAAGTAGTAAAGTTTCTATCTTTCTATGCTATCTGCGATTGAAGTTCATTTAATTTACTTAACCACATGTCTGAATAGCTGTTAATCAAGGAATTAACTCCTCAATGTAGACCCAGATCTCCTGCTAATACATGAAAGCATTTGGCTTTAAGCATGTTTTATTGGGTTTACGCTAGTGAAATCAATGTGGATTGTGCTTTGTTTGCTTTGTGAGTGTCAGTTTTTTTGGAAAATGTTGTCATTTGTTTAGGGGTACGATCTGGGTCAGTCTGATGCTGCAATTTTCATGGATCCGGCTAAATGGTACTTTGGATGCTTCGCATTGTTGGGGTCTGGTTGCTTCTTTGAAAAATTAAGTTTAGAAAAATGAAATGCTTGTTTCTTTTTGAAAACAAAGTCAGGAAAAGCAAAATGGGATTGTGTTGATAGGTTAGGAAATAATTTCTTTGCTATAAATTGTTCGCACTAGCCTGCTTATTTTTTTCATAAAAATATCTCATTGCCTATACTCTGCTGTCATCTCTTTTATTTATTTATTTATTTATGGATAGCTACTCTGCTGTTATCGTAATTAGGTGGATGTTCAGTTCTTTTATAATTATTAGATGTCTTTTTCAGCTTATTTTGGTTCACATTTTACATGAAAACGTGAACATCAGATGGAGAGTTTTTTCTCTTAGATATTTTTTTAGGCTGATTGGAGAGAAATGCTAAAATTTTGATAGTCAAGGATTAGGTGTACAGTGACATTTGCAAACAAAACAAACGTACTTTTGTAACACTTTTTTTTTCCTGGAAATACTAATGCAGCAATTGACCTTAAACCTAGTGTTGAAGTTTATTTTGTCCGTGAATTTGTAGTATTATTTCTGTTTGTTTCTTTTAATTATGCTAGTAAGCAATATATTACCTTTTTCCCCTGCATTTGTTGGAATACTTTCTTTAAGTTGAAGTTTTAGGATTCTGAGTCAAATTCTGTATGCTGGATTATGCAGAATTCTTTGAGATATGGCTACTGTGTATAAACCGAAGAACATCCTGATTACTGGAGCTGCTGGCTTCATTGCATCCCATGTTTGCAACCGGCTTATCCGGAACTACCCTGAGTACAAGATTGTGGTCCTTGACAAGCTTGATTACTGTTCAAATTTGAAGAACCTTCATCCCTCAAGGTCATCATCCAACTTTAAGTTTATCAAGGGAGACATTGGCAGTGCTGACCTTGTCAACTTCATCCTTCTCACCGAGTCCATTGATACAATAATGCACTTTGCAGCCCAGACCCATGTCGACAATTCTTTTGGTAACAGCTTTGAGTTCACCAGAAACAACATCTATGGTACGCATGTTCTTCTAGAAGCATGCAAAGTCACTGGTCAAATCAAAAGATTCATTCATGTAAGCACAGATGAAGTCTATGGAGAGACAGATGAAGATGCTGTGGTGGGAAATCATGAGGCTTCTCAGCTTCTTCCGACAAACCCCTACTCTGCAACTAAAGCAGGAGCAGAGATGCTTGTTATGGCATATGGGCGTTCATATGGATTGCCTGTCATAACTACCAGAGGAAACAATGTTTATGGCCCCAATCAGTTCCCTGAAAAGATGATTCCAAAATTCATTCTCTTGGCTATGAAAGGGAAGCCTCTTCCAATTCATGGTGATGGATCAAATGTCAGGAGTTACCTCTATTGTGAGGACGTAGCAGAGGCATTTGAAGTCATTCTGCACAAGGGTGAGGTAGGCCATGTGTACAACATTGGGACAAAGAAAGAGAGGAGGGTGGTTGATGTGGCTAAGGAAATTTGCCAACTCTTCTCTTTGAACCCAGATACTCAAATAAAATTTGTCGAAAACAGGCCGTTTAATGATCAAAGATATTTCTTGGATGACCAGAAGCTGAAAAACTTGGGATGGTCTGAAAGGACTTCGTGGGAGGAGGGTTTGAGGAAGACGATGGACTGGTATGTCAAGAATCCCGAATGGTGGGGAGATGTTTCTGGGGCACTGCTTCCTCATCCAAAAATGCTCATGGTTCCCGGGATTGAAAGAAAATTTGATGGTACTGATACTGGCGCTTCTGCCTTCTCTTTGTCAACCAACATGTTTGTTCCACCTCCAAAGAACAATCCATCTACTCAGAAGCCATCTTTGAAGTTTTTGATTTATGGTAAAACGGGGTGGATTGGAGGCCTTCTTGGGAAGATTTGTGAGAAGCAGGGGATACCCTATGAGTATGGACAAGGGCGTCTTCAGGAACGGTCACAGCTCTTGGCTGATATTCAGAGCGTTAAACCAACCCATGTTTTCAATGCTGCTGGAGTGACTGGGAGGCCCAATGTGGATTGGTGTGAATCTCATAAACCAGAAACAATTCGGACCAATGTTGTCGGTACATTAACCTTGGCTGATGTGTGCAGAGATCACAACCTCCTGATGATTAATTATGCTACTGGTTGTATCTTCGAGTATGATGCTGCCCATCCATCAAGATCAGGAATCGGGTTCAAAGAGGAAGACACACCCAATTTCACTGGCTCATTTTATTCCAAAACCAAAGCCATGGTATCTTTCTCAACTATCCATATCTATTACTGTTATAATTTTGAAAAGAAACTTCAGACTATCTGCCAACTGATATCTCTCTTTCCCATTTTTGTGGCAGGTTGAAGAGCTTTTGAAGGAATACGACAATGTTTGCACTCTTAGAGTCCGGATGCCAATATCATCTGATCTCAGCAATCCCCGCAACTTCATCACGAAGATCTCACGGTACGACAAAGTGGTTGACATTCCAAACAGCATGACCATCTTGGATGAGCTTCTACCCATTTCAGTTGAGATGGCCAAGAGGAACTTGAGGGGCTTATGGAACTTCACAAACCCTGGCGTCGTGAGTCACAATGAGATTCTGGAGATGTACAAGAAGTACATTGACCCCAGTTTCAAGTGGACTAACTTTACACTTGAAGAACAAGCCAAGGTTATTGTTGCACCAAGAAGTAACAATGAGATGGATGCATCTAAGTTGAAGAAAGAGTTCCCTGAATTGCTTCCAATCAAGGAATCACTGATTAAATACGTCTTTGAACCAAACAAGAAGGCATTTTCTGGCTGAGCAGCAAATCAAGTGTTTCATGAAGTAGACCTCAATACCAATTCATGCATATTTTATTTATTTATTTTATTCTGGGAAATAGAGTTATTTTCATGTGGTGATTATTGTCATGATCCATCTGTCTCATCCCATTGGTTCAATTTGTTTCTGTAATAGCTATAAGTTTGCTTCACAAGTTGGTACTGTAGGTTCTAGTTTGGATAAGGAGCTTTGGAATTGCTTCAGAATATTTAAATTTTAAAAGGTCTTCTGTAAGTTGTGGCATATTGTAATTTCGGATATGTAATAAAGAACATGTAATTTTGAATAATTTATTCATACAAGTTTATCTATTTCTATCTATGGACCATTAAATTACATGATGTCTGTATCAAAAACAAAAGAAGACATGATCTCATTTAAATATGTTATGTGGGACCATTATTCGAACTTACTTTGAAGCTTGATCGATACAAAATTTTCTTCCTACGCACAAGACTTGATTGATGAATCAGTTTTTATAAAAAACTTGGAATTCTCTATTAAAAAAATAATAATTTCAATACAAAATTTTCTTCCTACGCACAAGACTTGATTGATGAATCAGTTTTTATAAAAAAACTTGGAATTCTCTATTAAAAAATAATAATAATAATAAAAAGGGTACACACGGACCTTGTGGTGATGCGGATGTAAAAAAAGTTACGAATTTTCTGATTCTTTTGTTTGGTGGTGGGGACGGAAGGGACTCTTTAAAAAAAAAAAAAAAAAAAAAAAAAAACTCCTTGTTTGAACAAAAAAAGAAGCAAAATATCCCTATAATTGCTGAGGTAGGTTTTTTTTTTTTTTTTTTTTTTTTGAAACGGGGCTAACGCCCAACAAAGAAATTAAACAATGGCTCGAGGCTTACAGACTCCAAGTAGATCTTCACTTAGAAAGGACCTAATACTATCAGGAGGGTCCTGAAAAGTTGACAGACCCAACTAAGACATGAACCCAATTCAGCTAGTTTATTAGCTACCATGTTGCACTCACGATATACATGATGAATAGAACAAATCCAGTTTTTGTTTATATAGTCCTTGCATCCCCACAACATAGTAGCAAGATGGTGAAGGTCTTCCACATTTTTGTTAAGCAGGTGTACCGCGGTCGCTGAGTCAGACTCAAGCACAACTGCACTGCAACCTATATCCCAAGAAAGTTTCAGTCCAAGATAGATGCCCCATAACTCAGCTTCCAAGACTTGTCCTACACCAAGATTGACAGCAAAGCCTCTCATCCATTGCCCAGAACTATCTCTTAGTACACCCCCAGCAGCAATGCGTCCATCCTCACCTTTTCTGCACCCGTCAGTATTGATTTTAATCACTCCTTCATTCGGATATTGCCAAGAGAGCGCAGTGAGAGAGCGGGTGGGTTTTCTAGTTTTTTCAATATTGGCTTGTGTCCAATCTGTAGCAGCCATAAGAATGATATGTCTAGGGTTGTTGGGAAACACAAACCCCTGATCAAAAATATTTTTGTTCCTCCATTTTTAAAGAAACCAACAAGTGAAAGCAAACATGGTTGACCACTCCACTCCATAAGCCAAAATTGTAGAGTTGTGTAAATTTTTTGCAACCCAAGTATGAAGATCAACAGCCTGCAGCAAACTCAGATTCATAGGCATAAGGGACTGATGCCAAACTGAAATTGCCACTGGGCAATTCTGTACAATATGAGCTGCATTCTCCATTGGGGCACCACAAATATCACAATTGGCAGTCATGGTCATCTTCCTTTTAACTCTTTGATCATTTGTTAAGAGTTTATCTTGTTGCAGCAACCAAAGGAAATATTTAATTTTGGGGGGAGCCTTAATGTTCCATATAAAAGCCCAGCTAACATCCATACTCGACGACTTTTGACAATTAGCCATATATGCTTATTTAACACTGAACGAGCCATTGGTAGTATGCTTCCAAATAGGAATATCTGGTTTGCAACTTAATCTAGCAAGTACACACGTAATATGACCTACCATCTCAAGTGGTAAATCTTCCTTTAGCTTTCCCAGGTCCCAAGTGCCATGAGACAGATAGTCATGAACTTTCAATTGTAATTTATCTTGAGGCGCCCTCCCAAACTGACTTATCAATGACCCATCACCAACCCAATTATCTGTCCAAAAGGAAGTGTGCAGCCCCTCTCCCACTCTAATTTTTATCCCTTTTTTCAAAATATCTGCACCATGTTCAATAGCACGCCATGTAGGAGAAGGATGCAAGTGCTTTGCTCTTTCATTGCAAAAAATATTAGAAGCATTACCTTGTAGGTATTTCTGAATTAGAGCATTTGACTAAAGGCTCTCCTTGTGTTGCAATAATCTCCATCCCACCTTGGCCAACATAGATTGGTTTATAAGATCAGTTTGCTTAAGACCAAGACCGCCTTTCTTCTTGCTTTTACAAACTGTGTCCCACTTCACAAGGTGGGCCTTCGAAACATCATCACTACTCCCCCATAAAAAAATTCCTATTTATTTTATCCAATTCCTCACAGGTACTAGCAAGGAGCCGAACCGTTTGCATAGTGTACAAAGGAATGGAAGCAGTCACTGATTGAATTAAAGTTGCTTTGCCAGGCAAGCTAAGCAACTTGCCTTTCCAAGCAGTAAGCTTTTGCTGCACTTTATCCACCACACTTCTATAAGTAGCCTTATTTATTCTTGAATGAATTAATGGGACCCCCAGATATTTCCCAAGGTTCGAAGTCAAAGGAGATTCACAAATACTACTAATCTCTGCAGCCAGACTATTTGGAACATTTGGGGAACGGAAGATTTGGGACTTCTCAAAACTCACGACTTGACTAGAAGCTTGGCAAAATTTATCAAGACATCTCTTCATCACTCGTGCCTGTCGCGTGCTAGCTTCTGCAAACAGGAGTAAATCATCCGCAAAACAAAGGTGGGAAATCTTAGGACTAGTTCTAGAGATACTAACTGCTCGCCATGCCTTTTTTTCAACAGCCTCGGTAATTAGATGGGATAATTTCTCCAAACACAGCACAAACAAATAAGGGGAGAGGGGGTCACCTTGTCTCAATCCTCTTTCCGGAGCAAAGGAAGAAGTAGCTTCACCATTCAAATTTACTTGAAAGTGAACCGTGGTAACACATTGCATAATAATCTTGATTGTAACTGCTGAGAGTTTAATTTCTCTAAGCACAAATTCCAAAAACCCCAATTAACTCTGTCATAAGCCTTAGAAAGATCAATTTTCCAAGCAACAAACCCTTTCTTCCCTTTGGAGTGTCTAAATTTATGAAGGAGCTCATGAGCTAGAACAATGTTGTCAGAGATTAGTCTTCCAAGGATGAAACTAGCCTGATTAGGACTTATCAAAGTTTTAAGTAGAGGTCTTAGCCTACTTACCAAAATCTTTGAAATGGTCTTGTAGAGGGTGTTACACAAACTAATTGGCCTCATTTGTGCCATCGACAGTGGGCTAGTCACCTTTGGGACTAGAACAATTAAAGTCCTAGTGAGATCATATGGAATTTCCCCAATAGTAAGAACTTGCTTTACCAACTCACACACCTCAGTACAGTTAATTTTTTTTTCCCTAATCCAAAACCACGTGGTTTCAGTCAGGGATTTAAAAAATAATAATAATGCAAGCGCGCATTGTGCACAGCGAAAAGCACAACAAAGGAGGGTTCAAAGAGGACTTCTGTCAAACAGGTGGCGTGCACAGCTGCCTAAGCGAAAGGGCAACATTCGGGCACCTGCCACGCTTGGTTCGGCAAGGAGAGGTGCAGTTGCACCTCCTTGAGCCTCTATAGATCCAATTCTGACTACTATCTCTTTTTGTTTATAATGGCATCCGCACGTATATATGAATCAAGATTAGAGAACATACAAAAAACCATAAATTTTGACACACTTTCTCAACCATTAAATGATGAGTAATCCAAAGATTAGAAATGAATCTGGCATTATTATTTTTATTTTAAAAAACATGTTCATTTATTACTTTTTGGAAACATAACTCCACCCTCAAGACCCAAAAAAATAGTGAAACATAACTACACACAATTTTCGAGATTCCTCTCTCCCTTAACACAACCATTCCATTCATCTCTAGCTACCCTTTAGCTCGCTGTTTTGGTTTTTTTAGTCTGACCCAGCACCATTTTCATTTGAACCAGCGATGATCCTCGACTGATCATTCTCCAGAAATGGCACAGCGAATTCCCAAGGCAAAAAGTTGGGCAGGCATGAACTTATGCCATTAATAACTCTCCATCCCTTCAATTCAAATATTAAGGAAACAAACTAAAAATCAATGGAGGAAGAAAAAAAACATAGACTATTGATCTGCAGAACATTGATCTAAGACTATACAAAGACAGACTATTGTTGTGATGATTTACAGCCATGGACGGCCGCATAAATTCATCTAACGGGTAGCTAGCTAGAGATGAATGGTAGTTTTGAGGAAGAGAGGAAAAAAATAGATATTAGTGTAAAATATTTAAGTCCATCCCAACCAATAATCATCACAACAATAAATTCATCACATAGGACACAACTTTGTTAGTGTTATAGTTTATTTGTATTACATGTTTATTTGTTGCTTCGTTGCCTTATGTTGTGATATATCTTGGATGATGGTGAGTGAAATGAATGAGTCACTTTTTTTTCTTCTTGGGATTGATTCTAGAGTAATAGAATATTAAATGTTTCGGTTTGAACATTATGCTTGACTGGTTATTTACTATGCATATTTTAATTATTGAAGCTTACTCCTTTGTTTGCCTTTTTGAAAGCATTGAGTGTCAGCATTGGCTTTAACTTTGTACGTACCTGGATGATCAGATGTTTATGTATATCTCTCTCTCTCTCTCTCTCTGTGGGAATTTATGGTATTCTTGGATGATCATATGCTTGTTTGATAAATTTGATTTGTTCTATTTTGGGACTGTAAATATTAATTAGCGTTGTAATGGTGATGGTGGGAAAACAGGTTCTGGATATCGCATAGTTTTTGCCAGTGTAGGCTTTTCTTCATTTATTTTTTCTTTTGGCTCTCCACGAGGGTTCATTTGGCTATATACATCTTGATGGATAAGGAGAACAACGCTACTGGTGATCGTGAAGAGGCTTCACAGTATGCACTTGCTGTGCCTTGAAGAAGACATGGAAGAAGATGCCAAGGATGATGAAGAGGATGAAGAAGACGGGGAAGCGGACGAAGACAATGAGGATGAGAATACTTTCAGTTTCAAAGATGGGGTTAATCCTTTGGAATTTGTGGAAGACGATGCTTTTGGTGACCAAGTTAATGAGCAGTTTGTGGGCATGGATTATGAGGCTCTAGTTGAAAGAAAGAGAAAAGCACTTGAGGATAGTCGGCCTGAAGGTTCTGTTAAGAAGGCCAGGCATGAGGATGTTACTGGAGCAAGCATGGAGGAAATAATGGAGGCCATGAATTATGGTATGCAATGGAGAATAAGGAAGCCCAAGAAAAAAGGTAGACGGAAAGGATCAAAGAAGAAACTTACTCCTGATATTACTCGAAGGCTTGGTGAAGCTACTCTTCACTACGTACATGGACATTATGAAGAGGCCATACCCTTCTTGGCAGAAATTGTTAAGCTGGCACCAGATTTGCCCGAGACGTATCATACACTTGGACTTGGCCATGATAATCTTGGTAATGAATTGAAAGCCTTGAATTGCTTCACAATTGCTGCACTTTTAGCACCAAAAAATCCAGCTCTTTGGGAACTGCTCTTTGGCTGGTTCAATAGACGAGGCAACACTCATAAAGCCATTTATTGCCTTTCAAGAGCAATATCAGCAGATCCTAAAAATATTGATCTGAAATTGGGTCGTGCGTCACTCTATGTTAATTAAGCTTGGAGATTATCATAAAGCTGCTACATCGTATGAACAGATAGTACAAGCTTGTCCTGATGATAATGTTGAAGCACTCAAGACAGTGACAAACCTGTTGGGCAGTTACCAGTCCTGACCAGTAACGGGTGGTTTAAAGCCAATGAATGCTAGCTTTTAATTGTTTCTGCTGTTATGATATTATTAGGTTGTAAATACATTCCCGTTATGTAGTAACTGAAAGGTTTACATTCATATACCCTGTGTATAAATAGATTGTAATATATGTTTTTGGAATACAAGAAAACTAAGATTCTTTCATGGTATCAGAGCAACACAGAGTCTAACGACTTCGTTGTTTTTTTTCCTCCTCTCTTCATGTCTTCTTCTGCTGCTTCGAGCTCTTCTGTCCTCGTGGCGTCCTCCTCTACCATCTCCAATTTTTTGACTATCAAACTTGATCGCACCAATTTCCCTCTCTGGCGTGCACAGATCGTTCATTTGCTTCGCAGTCGTAATCTTCTCTCTTTTATTGATGGTTCTAGCACCTGTCCTGCTGCCTTTCTGACTGATGCTGAAGGCAAACTCACTAAATCTGTTAATCCTGCGTATGAAGACTGGATCCAGCAAGACCAACAAGTTCTTTCTTGGTTGAATTCTTCTCTTTCTTCCACTGTCTTGTCTACTGTTGCTCTGTCGACTTCTGCTTGTACTACCTGGGTTTCATTGGAAAAACACTACACTTCTCAGTCGCACAATCATATTTTTCAGCTCCGCAGTGATCTTATGCGGACTACTCGTGGTGACCTTTCCATTGCAGCCTATCTTGACAAGGTCAATGCTCTCACTGATACTCTTGCGTTGTCTGGTTCTCCTTTCAACGATGATGATCTTGTCGCCATTATTATGAATAACGTTGGGCCCATGTATGAAACTACTGTTGCTTCTGCTCAAGCTCGTGACACTCCCATCACCTATGCTGCATTGAAGGCTCTTCTCTTAAGTGCAGAACGCCGTCTCCAATCTCTACCACCTCCGGGTGACACTGGTTCTACCATTCTTGCTGCCACTCGTGGTCATGGTGGTTTCCATGATCGTGGTTCCTTTTCCCCCCACAGCGGCCGCGGTTTTTCTCGTGGTTCCGGTTCTTCTTCAGGTTTTTCTCCTAGCTTTGGTCGCTGCTTGTCTTCTCATGCGCCTGGTCTTCTTGGTGCTGCTCCTGGTGGTTCTGTTGGTGCTTCTTCATCAGCGCCTCCCAATTTTGCTGCTCCCGGTCGTGTGCAATGTCAAATCTGCACCCATTATGGTCACTCTGCTATTGATTGCTTCAACCGTCTCAATCTTTACTATGAAGGCTGAGTCCCAGCTCAGCGTCTTACTGCTTATGCTTCTCAATCTTCTACCGGTATTGCTGCTTCCCCTGGCGGTTCTTACTCTTCTCAATGGCTTACTGATTTCGATGTCAACTCTCATATCACCAATGATTTGAGTCAGTTTCTCATCCTCGGGAGTACCGGGGAACTGATAACGTTAATGGCGTGCTTGGTGGTACAGGTTTGGGAATTCTCCAAGTTGGCACATCCTATGTTTTCTTCTCCTTCTTCTACCTATTCTTTATCTCACACCCTTTACTGTCTTAATGCTTATGCTAATATTCTCTCTGTTCATCAATTTTCCAAAGATAACCACTGTTATTTCACCTTTTATCCTGATTTCTTTCGTGTACAGGATTTGGAGACAGGGAAGATCCTTTTCCAAGGGCAAAGTGATAATGGCCTCTATCCTTTTCCGGTTCCTTCATCTTCCAAGTTGTCCAATGGTGTCTATGCATGTTTAGGTGTTAAGGTGGCGGATGACGTTTGGCATTCACGGCTTGGTCATCCTTATTCCAAAGATGTTTTCAATTATTGAGTTTCGCATCATAATTTGCCTCTTCAAGGCTCTCTTTCTCATTCTTTTTGTCAGTTATGTCCTTTGGGCAAAAGTAGAAAATTACCTTTTAAATTATCCAACTATATTGCCTTGTCTCCCTTAGAATTAATACATTCAGATGTTTGGACTTCTCCCTCTTTATCTTTTCTGGTTTTCGTTATTATGTTTTATTTATTGATGATTTTTCTCGCTACACATGGCTTTATCCCCTAAAACTAAAATCTGATGTCTTTGCTACTTTTGTTCAATTCAAAACCTTGGTCGAGAACATGTTCAATACTAAAATTAAGATAGTTCAGACTGATGGGGGTGGTGAATATAAAAATAAAAATTTCAATCATTTTTCAATACCCATGGCATTCACCATCAATTTTCTTGGCCCCATTACCCCGAACAAAATGGTTTGGCGGAACGTAAACATCGTCATCTAGTTGAAACTGGGCTAACTCTTTTGGCGCATGCCTCTATGCCTCTGTCATATTGGGCTGAGGTTTTTCATACTGCTGCTTACCTTATTAATCGTTTGTCCACTCGTGTGCTTCAAAATGTTTCTCCTTATTACAGGTTATTTGATAAGATTCCACAATATGATTTCTTTAAAGTTTTTGGTTGTGCTTGTTTTCCATATTTACGTCCATATAATCAACATAAGCTTTAATTTCGTTCCAAACAGTGTGTTTTCTTAAGGTATTCTTTCAATAACCATGGCTATCGTTGTCTTGATTTGCATACTGGTCGTGTTTTTCTATCTAGGCATGTTGTTTTTTATGAACATTGTTTTCCATTTAAAGATTGTTGAGGCCCAAAAAAGTCCATATGGTTGGGCCCAAATAAGTTTTCGGTCCAATACGATATTGTATTAAGAAAAGTCACATATCGGAGTACACGAAGGCTCGTCATATACAAGTCATAGTCCACGTGCCATGCTAAATAAATAATTTGTCATGCCAAGGATTGAAATAATATTATAAAATACAAGTCCATGCTAAACTAAGCACCGTGTCCCTCTTCAAGGACGATAAAATTGAAGCACGTCAAGTGACATGCCACGCCAAGCAAGGAATTATTATTCCGCACCCCATCACGCCACAAGCTTAAGTGGGCCCCAAGCCACTTAAATACCCGGGGCTTGCTTAAGTGAGTTGTGGTATGAATGGTAATAAATCAACATTAGGCCCATTAATGGGCTGAGAAATGGAAAGTCTCGGGTTGCTTGGGAGTCTCGGGACTCAAGCCCATTTCTTAGGCCTAAATATGTGGGTGAGCACAAAAGAGGAAAAAATAGCCCAATAGCCCAATCAAAATAGCATATTGACTCAACCAAAAAGCCCAACGTTTAATAAAAATAGCCCACTTACTTAATGAACCACCTTGGCCCATGCAATTGCCACAAATGAGCCACAAAGGCCCCAGCACCTGGCTGGAAGAACAAAAGCCACGAAGAGGAGGTCTGAAGGTTCATTAAACAAAGCTGTTAGGAGGTTCCAACACATGGGGGGAGCAAGTTTCAAAGCCAAAAACATTCGAAGAACCAAGGGATATTAGCATGTAAGCTACCAGGAAGAGGAGCACCCTTCAAACCAGCATGTACACCTATTTGCTTTCCTTCATCAGATATGGCCAAGGAATGACGAAGGAAAGAAGAAGAAAAATAGCTAAGAATGGAGCCTTCCACTAAACAGCTGCAGGAAATAAGGCATTGAGCTCCCAAAATTCCTGATTTTGTGCAAATAGATAGAGGAAATTTCACCAAGATAGAAAAAGTCAAGATATGAGAGAAGAGAGGAAGGAAAAGCTTGGCCAAGTTAGGAAGAAACCATTAGGGTTTCTTGGGAAGAGATGGTTTCCAACGGTTATAAAATGAGGCCTCTTCTACCCAACATGACCAACCCACATCCAAAGAGCAAGCTTCCTCTCTTACTTGCAAAACCCAGCAATTTCATACACTATTCACCCTTCTTCCCCATTTTTTCTCTTCTGGCAGACCACTTTCACATCTGACAGAATTTTTGTCAAGCTGCCGGAAGAACATTATTCTTTCTTTCTCTCTTCTCAGCCAAATCTTCTTGCAAACCTTTTCTTTCTTACCTTAACACTCCCCTTTTTCCCCAAGAAATCATAATTTCCTCTTCAGTGCTAAACTCACATTGATTTTGCTTCCATGACACAAGCCTCTCATGCCAAGCTAGAAAATTTATCTATAAGCATTAAGAAATCATTTGTAAGTTGCTGTTGTTTCAGTTGGTGAAGGTAACCAAGATGCTTCTTAAGGCTCTATTGCCATTTTGAAGCATTTTTGGGGCTTCATTTTCGAACTCAGACACATGGGACAATTTCATCAATCTGCCCTTTACAGCAGTTCATCCCATTTACAGCCGCCGGAAGAAAAAGTCCCCTACAAAGATACCATCATCATTTCTCCTTTGGCCGCTCGCTCTCCAAGTCCACCTAAGGTCACGATTGAAATTGGGCCTCCTTCTCCATCACCACCTCTTTCTCCTCCTCCACAACCTGCTGCTTCTCCTCCTCCTTTGCAGACTTACGGTCGTGATTCCCACCGCAATGTTTTAACCTTTCCCTCCCCTGCTGCAACGGAAGGAAATATAGTCAGGCCCAAAAGTCTGAACACTGGCGCAAGGCCATGGTCGACGAATTTAATGCTTTACAGAGAGCTGGCACTTGGACTCTGGTTCCTTCCACGCCTACTATGAATATACTACCCAACAAATGGGTCTTTCGTATCAGACACGCTCTAATGGGTCCATTAAACAGTTTAAAGCCTGTTTAGTGGCCAATGGTTTTCATCAACAAGAGGGTCTGGATTATGTCGAGACCTTCAGCCCTGTGGTCAATCACTCAACCATTCGTCTTAACTTAGCCATCGATGTTCATTTTGGGTGGTCCATTCGCCAGCTTGATGTCCAAAATGCTTTTCTCCATGGTTCTCTCACTGAGGATGTTTACATGAAGCAACATGTTAGGTTTCTTGATTCACAATATCCTACACATGTTTGTAAGCTCAACCGTTCGTTATATGGGCTCAAACAGGCTCCGCGCACCTGGTTTCAATGTTTTTCTACTCATCTTGAGCATTGGGCTTTGTTGCTTCCAAGGCCGATTCCTCCTTATTCATGTACTTTCATGGGTCTATTACTATCTACTTGTTGATTTATGTTGATGACATTTTAGTTACAGGCAATAGTGAGTCGCACATTACTCAACTCATTCTCGATTTGGGCCGTCAATTTTCTATGAAAGATCTTAGTCCCTTGCATTACTTCTTGGGCATGGAAGTGGTACGAACCTCCACAGGCTTGCATTTATCTCAGTCCAAATATATACTAGATCTCTTGACACACATGAAGATGTTAGACTGCAAACCCTTGCCCACTCCTGCTGTTGGTGGTCGCAGATTAAGTTTGCATGATGGTGACCCATTATCTGATGTCTCTGAGTACCGTAGTGTGGTTGGGGCTCTTCAATATCTTACTTACACACGTCCAGACATTGCCTTTTCTGTTAATCAAGTCTGCCAATTTATGCACACGCCCACGACAACTCATTGGGCTGCCATCAAACGGATTATTCGTTATCTCAAGTCTACCTCTGATCATGGTCTTGTATATAAGCCTGGTGCGTTACGTCTTACTGCATATGCTGATGCTGACTATGTCGGTGATCCAGATGATCGTCGCTCTACAGGAGGGTATTGTATCTATCTTGGTAATAAACTTGTTTCCTGGAGCTCCAAGAAACAACGGGGTGTTTCACGCTCCAGTACGGAGGCCGAATACCGCCAATTAGCTTATACTGTTGCTACCTTGTCTTAGGTACGTTCGTTGTTTCATGATCTTCGTATTCCCATTCCTCCTCCACGTTTGTGGTGTGATAATGTCAGTGCAATCTCCCTTACTTCCAATCCCGTATTTCAGTCCCGCAGTCGTCATATTGAGGTTGATTACCACTATATGTTCGGGAGAAAGCCATTCGCAAGGAGCTTGAAATTGGTTACATTTCATCTACGGATCAGCTTGCTGATCTTCTAACCAAGGGTCTTTCCACTCTTTGGTTTCGCTACTTACTCTCCAAGCTTCCCGTTCTTTGTCGTCTGCTCAGCTTGCAGGGGCGTGATAAACCTGTTGGGCAGTTACCACAGTCCTGACCAGTAACGGGTGGTTTAAAGCCAATGAATGCTAGCATGTAATTGTTTCTGCTGTTATGATATTATTAGGTTGTAAATACATTTCCGTTATGTAGTAACTGAAAGGTTTACATTCATATACCCTGTGTATAAATAGATTGTAATATCTGTTTTTGGAATACAAGAAAACTAAGATTCTTTCACACAGGAGCTGTGATGTATGACAGAAGTGGTCAGCATGAGCATTCTATTCATATTCTGGAGGCTTATCTCAGAGATCATCCAACCGAAACTGATCCTAGTGTCATTGATCTGCTAGCTTCCATACTTACGGAAAATAACGCACATAATGAAGCAATTTGGCATATTGAGCATGCACAACTCGTATTCTGTTCAAATAAAGAGATGCCTTTGACAATGAAAATTAACGCAGGAATCTGCCATGCTTACCTTGGAAATATGGAGAAGGCAGAAACTCTCTTTAGTGCTCTTGAACAGCGGAGTGCAGATCATGCTGACTTGATTGCTAAATTCGCAGACTCATTTATGAGTCTTGGGCATTATAGTTCTGCATGGAAGTATTATTTAATGTTGAAAGGAAACACCAAATATAATAAAGGCTTTTTACATATGAAATTGCTCGATGTCATTTGTCCTTGAATGACAGAGTACAGGAAATTTTGTGGTTCTATGAAGCTGTAAAGACACTTGAAGATAATATTGAGACCCGATTAACAATGGCTTCTATTCTTCTTGAGGAAGCCAGAGAAGATGAAGCCATTTTGTTGCTATCTCCTCCCAAAAATCTAGATCGCTTTGAAGCCCAAACAAATAAATCAGAACCATGGTGGTGTAATGGAAAACTGAAACTGAAGCTTTGCTACATTTACATAGCTAAAGGGATGCTCAAGGAATTTGTGGATGCAATCTATCCTTTGGTACATGAGTCGTTACGCATCGAATCACTTCAGCAGAAGGTGAAAGTGAAAAAGAGGCACACAAAAAGTGTTCTGTTAGAAAGAGCGAAAGTCCTGGATGATCACCAAACAGATAACCTATTATGCAGATCTAGACCAGTAGCTCCTGCATCAGATCTGCTGAAAGCTACCAGAGCGAAGAAGTTGCTTCAAAACAAGGCAAAAGTAAAGGAAGAAATGAGAGCTGAGGCAATGGCTGCTGGAGTTGACTGGCAAAGTGATGATTCAGGTGATGATCCTCCAGAAGAAATACACCAAGAACCTCCCCTGCCAGATCTTCTCAAGGATAAAGAGAATCATGGCCTTATAATATATTTGTGCAAGTCACTGGCTTCATTGCATATAGATATTGCGAAGCATGGGAGATTATAAATCTTGCTTTGAAATCAACTCGCAACATGTGTTCTGTTGCGGAGGGACTCCGATCTCCTGGAGCTCAAATTGCATCCTGAGCATGGGGTTGACTGTGTAAAATGCAGACCAGCATCCATACAGCAATGCTGCCTGGAACTGCTGTTACAAAGTAATTACCAGATTAGATGACTGGTATGCGAGGCATTATAAGTTTCTACGTGTAAGCGAGACAAACTCAAAGACTGTGCACCTCCGAGTATCATTTCTGGGCATCATTTTACTAAAAAGAGCCGTCATCAAGATGCTGCGAGAGAATACCTTCAAGCTTATAAATTATTGCCAGAGAATCCCCTGATTAATCTGTGTGTCGGTACTGCCTTAATCAACTTGGCCCTTGGACACAGACTTCAGAATAGGCACCAGTGTGTTGCACAAGGCTTAGCATTCCTCTACAAAAATTTGCAGCTTTGTGAATTCAGCCAAGAGTCTTTTTTCAACATAGCCAGGGCATACCATCACGTCGGTCTTGTGACGCTGGCAGCTTGGCACTATGACAAAGTTCTTGCAATGCATGTGAAGGATTACCCCATCCCAAAACTTCCCCATGAAAAGCCAGAGTCTGTTGAAAATCGATTACCGGGTTACTGTGACCTTCGCAGAGAAGCAGCTTTTAATTTGCATCTTATATACAAAAAGAGTGGAGCAGTTGATCTTGCTCGACAGGTCTTGAGAGATCACTGCACTTTCTGAGTAAGCAACTGATATTAAAACATCAAAATCCAGTTACTCCTTTATATCTGTACTTATTAAGTATATGGTTGATTCTCAAATAAATAACAGGAAATCTTTTTCTTTGTTGCGGATAATCATGTTCCTGATCTCAGATATTGTGACTGAATCGAATGAAAGGGTGGCCTCCTACTCCCTAGTCTGGTTCTCTCGAAAATGCTGATTATTGTTTGTATCAACAGTTCATTTTGGCCTAATACAGCTAAAGAAAGCGAGGGAAACGCTAAAGAGAAAGGCTTGTGATAAACTCAGCAATTTGCCTATCACATTATTGAAAGCCAGTACTAAATCCTTTTTTCTAATCAGATGCTAAAGCCCTAATGTAAGTTCAAAACAAGGGCCAACTTGTTTTTTTCAACACTTCACGAAAGTAATATACATCACACACAAATGGTGAAGCACTTGATCAAGTCTTTTAATAGATAACAAACCAGGTTCTAAGCATTGTTTCAAACCGTTTGGATGAAAATTTAGAAATACAAACGGTTGAGATTTAGAGCTTGTAAGTAAATGGTATGAATATAAATGCTACAAATTTTTTTGAACCATTAATGAGATGAATTTTTGGTTGAATAGGTGATATAGATTGATGCTATAATGACAGTAAAACAATACAAAGGTATATGTAGTAATGTTTCTTGATAATGTTTTCGTGCATTATCGCTATTTTGAAGTGTCAATCATAGTACTTTTTTATTATCTTGGTCAATCGTTCACGATTTCTATCATATATTTCACACCTACTCACATGGTCAATTAATCGTAATGTTACTCCGATCATGATCAGTCATTTCACAAGTACTCGCATAGGCGATTAAGCGCACGTAACTCTATAACTGTGAGCTTATATACTTCTTGTGGGATAGAATGCATTGTTGTTTCTAAAGAGTTTAGCAACATTTCATTTTTCCTTTTATGCAGAAGGGGGGATGGATGTTTGTTAGTGATGAGTAAGTAGCTGTGGTTTTTAGTGCTACTTACGAAAGAGTAATATGAGCTTTAGAGCGTATTCTTAACTTTGTTTATGTTTTGTATTTGTTGTTCTCTAGTTTGTGATGGATAAGTGAAGATGTGTTGTGTTTTTAGACTTATGATTGCATAATTGCATGAAAAACCTTCTAACTTATGAATTTAAATGTTGCATTTACATCTAAAATTTTAGCTAATTTCTTCTCTCTGTAGCTAATTTTGAAACGTTGGAGTCTTGATTTCGGACAGGGTGTACCTATACCATTGAGGTGCTAAGCCTCCCAGGGTTCATCAGGCTGGGTCTGCATTTTTTTTGGTTGAATAGGTTTTGACCGTAAAACATACAGACGTATATGTAGTAATGTTTCTTGATAATGTTTTCGTCTATGATCATTATTTTAGAGTGCCAATAACAGTTATTTTTTATTATATTTATGATCATATATGAATTTTGCTATAGTCAATCGTTCTCGTTCGTGATTTTTATCATATATTTCACACCTATATGAATTTTGCATGGATTAACGTAAGAGCAAGTCCACCCTTGCTTCAAAATCGGGCAAAAGGAAGTCCAGGGGGGAAGGAAGCAGCTCCAGCGTGCAAGGGTCAGCCCTGGCAAGAGCTGGGTCCCACGAGCCCAGGCAAGCCCACGGGCAAATTCAGCCCGAGCTGCTGACAGGACAAACTGATGCAATGCTGACGTCAGCAACCTAAAAAAATGAAAAAAAAATACAAAAAAAAGGAAAAAAAATACAAAAATTCCAAAAAAATTTAAATAAATACCTAGGCATATTCTTTATTTCCCACACCAAAAACTATATACAAATTCATCTCCTCATATCTCATATGAATAGTATTTGCTTTAGACTTGCCCTAGACTTAGCTCTCATGAGTGAAACCACAAATGCAAAGGCTGACACTATTCATGTAAATAGTGGCAGCCCTTACTTGCCCTTGCTTTAGACCTAACCCTTGTGAGTGGAAGTGTTCTAATCATAGTGATTTAGTCATTTCACAAGCGTAACTCTAGTGTTCATTCATTTCACAAGTGCTTTTAAGCAAACTAGAATCCCTGGCCGATGTGACTTTTCTCATCATCTGTCTCAAAGACTCTCTTTAACTACTGACATAAGAAAACTAGAATCATGCCGCGTGTATATCTGTGGATATCACTTTGATCCAAGAGGGGCCCCAAATTGCATGTTACCAGGCTCAAGTTTGTGGAAGACACAAACTTTGTGGGCCCAATGACACTGTGAGAGGTACACATACACCATCTGACTCCTTGATTTTAGCAAGAGAATTAGCTCAAAGTCCATGTGCGTTCAGAGCCAACCTGAGCCCGTACGGTCACATCAGCTCTTGCCCTAAATTGTAGGTCCCGATTTCATGTGCTGATTAAGCTTCTGGTTCCTCAAAATTGGGGCATACATATCATTTCAACCAAGATTTTATAAGGTGAGGTGTCAAATGAGAAATAACGTGCCCAAAATATTAATTAGAAGAAAGAAAATGAATCTTTTGGTATGAGATTCTAGTAGAAAAATGTCACGATCGAGGAGAAAAATGTATCATACTTCACTGTCGATGGTTTGGATCTTTGTGCTCATACCCGGAAAATGGGAGGTTGAGCGTTTGCAATTAGGTTAGTTTATATATATTGTTTATACCATATATGATCGGTCATATTCCTCAACATGTGGAATACAAGACTTACAAAAGAACTCATAAAGCTCAAATAATGCACTGAGGCCCATAAAACGACCATCGATAAGGAAAGCCTTTGGCAACACAACCTGTTGATCTGACCCAAAAAGACGCCTGTTTTATTAGGCTGGACAAAAGGACATGTGGCAGTTTCCCAAACAATGAGGTAACTGTTTCATTCGGCTACTTAGCTCATACTCTATCCAAATTGCTATTCACTCTGCTTTTAAGCTAACTTAAGCATCAGAGAGCCTTCGACCGGTGCCCAAGGTCTTCTCATAGCTCTTTGTCTTGCAAATTCTCCTCATCTACCAAATAGCCCAAGGAGGCAGAAGGTGATGCAACATCTCTAAGTTGGGCCCAAAAGTGCTCGACTATTTTTGTGCATCAACATATATGATTGATGTAGTCTTCTTAAACTAGGATGCTTAGCCCCTTTTCTCTCTCTCTACTAACCCTAGGAAACCAGCCGCCTCTTTCTCAATAAGGGGAAGGAAGAGGTCATTGCCTCTCCTCCCCTCTGCTATCCTATTTACTATAATCTCAACCCTCTATTTTCTCCTCATCTCTCCTCTCTCTTCCCTCTACCATTCTCAACACTCCAACATTCTCACCATTTCCTCCCTCTTTGCTTTCTTTGGTGATTTCTTTCCACTATTGAGGGTGGATTTGAGACTATATATCTTATTTTAATTATGTGTCCCAAATTCTCCTTCAACCTCTCTCTAAATCCAATTTTGTCCAAGCATCTTTCATCTACCCCTTGGATTCCTTTTCTCCCTCTTCGATGTGGCCTCTCCTACGGGGTATAGAAGCTAATCCAAAATGCGATCTCCCGTCCCCATCGGAAGGTGTATATAGCTCTTACTCTGGTGCTTGCACCACCACCTTCCACTCGCTTGATTCTTTGGGCTTCGGGTTTTCAACTCCCTTGGTCTTGCTTTGATTGGTTGTTGTATTCTCTGTGGGGCATAGGCGAGTTCAAACTTGGTGGAGTTGGTGATTCATGGGTGGATGTCATTGAGTTGATATGGCTTTGTGGTTTATGGAACTTCTAGTCTTGGTGGCAGATTTGTGGGTCTTTTGTGTGCAGCTATACTGTTTTGTGCGGTGGTGATGTCTCCTTTCACTTTTTGCCGAGGTGATGCGCTCCCTATTCTCTTGTCAACGGTGGCGGCTTTTGTGTGCTTAGGCTAGGGTTTGCCAAAATTCTAGTTTTGGGTATGAACTGGGCTGTATGCTTATTTTTAGGCTCTGATTGTATTTGGGGTGGGCCACTGGACTATGTGTGTTGTTTTTTTTTTTTTTTTTTTTTTTTTTTTTTTTTTTTTTTTTTGTTGGATGTGGACAAACTTTGTTCTAGACTTGGTTTGAGTTTAGATGTTCTTTCCCAGTTGTGTTATGGTTTTATTGTGCCATTGGTTTGTGCTTTGTACACTTGCCTATTTGGCATTTTAATGAAATGAGATATGATTTCGACCGAAAAAAGATGTAGTCTTCTTAGTTTCATTCAAAAATTCTTTGTGCAAGATGTTCGTCCTTTGTTAAAAATGAATTGATACTGGTGATAATGTATCGATAATATCTTGATAATATCTTGATACGTTTTGTTATTGACATGTCATTGATAATGATATTGACGCCTTATCGATATAAAATCGACAATACAATTAGGCTTTTTTTCACGATTGACAATAATCTATCTTAGTTTTAAATTTCTTAAAATAAGATATTGTCATGGACTCCACCTCCCTACTATATTCACGCACTCGAGATTCTTTATTTGATTCGGCCTCCCAATATACAGCTTGTAGAAAGGACGGACATTCAACTTCTTTTGCTGGTTTTGCTTTTTGAGGGAAGAGACGGAGCGTTAATCACTCATGTCTAAAGAGAATCCAATTGTAACATTGTTCAAGTCAAAACTTGTTGTACCTTTGCACAAGCAGTAGCCTAATTTTTTTTAAACTATACGTTAATGTTGTCACATCATGCTTATGTGATTGAATAAGTTCTAAGAAAAGTAAAACCAATCACACCCGAAAAACTACAAATGGATTTTTTGTTCTTCAAGTAACTTCTCAATTGTGAAAAAGGAAGGTTTGGCTTCTTTTGACCTAAGTTGTGAGGCATCGCAATCTAGCTCTCTAAGTCTTAAAGTATGGATTTACCTTTCCTTCAACTTTATAGGGAGATGCTAATGGAAACAATGGGGCCTTTGTCTGGTTGAAAAGAGAGAGCTGTCAAAACACCAAAACTTCGAAAAGCTATATTCAACCCATGCAAGTTTTCACTTTGAAGTGATCCTTAAGAAACACTCAGCTTTTCTCTCTCAAAAAAAGCACCCTGCTTTCAAATATTATTCTAACAAGGGCACGTAACTATTAATTTATAAGTACTTCATAATCTTTTTTTTTCTTTTTTTTTCTTTTTTTTTTTGCTAAAAATATATATAACATTAAAAATCACATGCAAGGAGGAGCATTATTACTGGCTTTAGAATTAAAAGTTATCGTTTTCCCAACTCCAATTAATTTAACAATTGAATGTGTAACAATTGCTCTCCAAGAAAAAGTTATGAATTTGAATCCTAATAACCGTGAATTTACTATATTATCGTATAAAAAATAAAAATAAAAAGTTTACGCATCGATAATTGAATTTGTAACAATAATTTAAAGGTCATCTCATACATTCATTAAATATTCGTTGGACCATCCGTGTATAAGTACACCCTTTTGTGTTTATAAATGTCTTGTTCAATCATTTTTCAGATGTTTTGTTAATTTAAGAAACGGGTTTGAATCTATAAAATAATGTTGACCAAGTCGCACAAAATTAATGAGGACTTCCCAATTTTCACGGCAAGTCAGGGAAGACATTTCTCCATGCCTTGTCATGCTCATGATTGATGTGGAAATTGAACAATTTGTCATTTGTTACCAATTGTTACTGGCTAGATAACAACTAATGGTAACGGTGTCTAATTCAATGAAAAAGACTTTGATTTGTAGGCTCGTCATTTTAAGTTCGAAGTTCGAATCTCCATGGTGGTATTGTTTTTTGCTTTTTTATTTTCATTTTTTTAATGAAAAACCCCCTCTTCTATAATTTAGACTATCACTTGTACTTAAAATAATAATAATAATAACTAATAATTAATTAATAGCATCTATCTGGCATTAATTTACAGATAAAAATGAAATAATCACAAAAGACAAGGGTTGGTGACATCGCATTAATAAAGCAGTTGGTAGTTAAAATTGCAATGTATGATGGCATATATAGTCTCACATGCAGAATCACATGGATGGGATACAAATTTATTGGTACAAATGAATGACCAATATTGACTAACTTTGGCATTTAAGTAATAAGACTCATAACTTTGGAATTCAAAGCTATGCGAGCATCTTAAATAGTAGTAGTAAATTAAATTTTTTAAATTAAAGTTTGTTGACTTATGTGGTAATTTGAAAATATTTATTTGCTACTTGAATAATTTTTGCTCCAATAGACTCTTCAATTTAATTAATGCAACATCATGAAAAAAAAATGAAAAATATAAAAACTTGTGAAAAATGTCTATGTATTTATTATCTTAAAAGAACAAATGCACGTTTTTAATATTTTCAAGGTAAATTTTGTTTTTTCAAAGTAAATTAAATGTTTTGAAGAGCCAAAGTTAATTTATCAGTCCTTAAGAGAGAGAAATATGTCGCAACTTTGATGATTGAGTTTAACAAAATTATTGGAGAGATTTTTTTATGATGTACTCACTTAACACTTAACTAATAGTGATGGATGATAATTTGGATGTTGAATTGAGAATTATCTCCGGAGAGAAAAAGTCCATATCAGTTTGATGGCTACTTAATTGTCAATGTTTGTCACATCAAAGCAAAACCGATCAAATATTGCAATTAAATCCGTCCAATTTCAGAGTAACGCTCATCTCCTCTCACTTGGCAAATTGGCAATTGAAGTGATGCCAAGTGATGTAACCCCTCTACGTAATTAACAGTGCCATGATATAACATGCGCACAAGATTTCTTACATTCGAATCCATCTCCCGTATATGTATGAAAGAACATGACATAACACTCGCACAAGAGGTCCTACGTTCGAGTCCCTCTCCTATATATGTATTAAAGAAAAATACGCATTAAAAAAGGAATAATAGAAATAATAATAATAATAAATAAAACAGTTGTCGGCACAAATACTGAGTGACGCTCGCAAAGCCTTAAAAAGAAAAAAAAGAGAGCGAGGGACAAATAAGTAGTGACGCTCGCAGTCTGTCGGTGATATTAGCGAAAAGCCAAGATCAAAATCCGTAATTAAGTTCCAAAACCGAGGGCCAAACGAACCCATCTAACTAATTAGCTCTCGCTCTCTCTCCTATAAAATTCCCTCTCTTTCCCGCGGCTTTCAACGCGGCTTTGCTTTTGGCCTTTCCCCTTCTCTCTCTTTTTTATTTTTTTACTTTAATTTTAAAGTTCCAAATTAAAAAGAAAGAGAATTTTTGCGAGGAAAATTTATAAATAAAAAGAGCGTGATCTGATTGAGTTTTGCGTCTCCCGAAAACAGAAAGAGAGAAAAAAAAACTCTGCATCATCTCTCTGGCCTTCTTCGACTAATTCCAGTCCGTGACCTCCCTCCAAATCCCAAACCCCAAATCCCATTCGCATTTCGAGTTTTCGATCTCACTCGCGCTCTGTGCGGTCAGATCTCGCCGGAGCTCGAATGAGCTCGAGACTGTTCTGCACTCTCTAGCCCGATCATCCGCCGTCGTATTAATGAAGCTGCAGAGAAGAGAGAGTTGCTCTGCTTCTTGCTTTGGAGGAAGATGAAGTTCTACATATCCACGACGGGTATAAAGAGGCTGACGATATCGAGCGCCGGAGCCAGCAAGGCTTCTCCGGCGACTCGGAGGATTTCCGGCCGGACGGTGTTGCCGTTGGTGCTGGTGCTCGCTCTAATTTTGCCCTTCCTTTTCGTCCGAATTGCTTTCATTGTCCTTGAATCTGCCACTGCTTGCTCTTCCACGCTTGGTAACAACTCAAACTCTGTCTCTCTCTCTCTCTAGCTTTTTTCTTTTCTTTTTAATTTTCTGAAAGTTTTTAGGTTAAAAGATAATTAAATATGTATAATATATTGATTTGAGATATTTTTAAAATTATCTGAAAAAGATTTTGGAGTGCTGTGCTAACTAAAACGCAGCTGTTGGCTATTGTTACATTAGTTTGTCTTTTCAATTCCAATTTCAAAGCCAAGCATAATAATAAACAAAAAGCTGTTCTGTTCTGATTTCTGATGGTGAACCAGGCTTTTTGCTTCCAAGTTCTGTATCTCAATAATACTTTGAATGTACCTTGAATTCTGTTCTATTCCCCATCTTTCAAGAATTATTTCCGACTTTAATTACTTGGGAATTTTGTTGTTTTGTGTTTGGTAATGCAGACTGTATAGGATGGAGGTTTTTCAGCGGGAGCGACGAATCTATGGTAAGTGCTAAATGCTCCCACTACTCTGTTTACTAAATACCATTTTCATTTTTCAGCTTATTTTGCACCGAAAAAGAAAAAAAAAAACAAAGATTTTTGTCCAACTTTATTTAGAGCATATAGCCCCAGTACCACATATACGGAGAATCACTTTCATATAATTATTTTTAATAATTTTAATTAATTTTATAGAGAATCGCATAAAAGTTTTTATTTTTTTTATTTTTTCAGAATTACTCAAAATTACTGAAAATTATTATATAAAGAAGCATGTGCGAGATCTTTTCGTAAGAATACATGTATTAGTAAACATGTACGCATTATCTGCTAGAATTTAATAAAAGTTGTTTATATTTGGCTTAATTGATTCCTAATTGATATATGGTATTTAATGTTAGACGATAGAGTAGGTGATATCATTTTCGTACTAGGAAATTACGTAGAATAGCAGTCAATGGATAAGCACATATGGGGGTGTGTCGGTATTTGCCTCACTCCCCATCAGTTGCTTTCGTGGACACGTGGCCAGTTGTATGCAATCATATTATTCTCGTCCACTTGATCTTAATAATAAAAAAATGCAATAATTGGCCTAACCTCTATTTCCAAACCAGAACTATTTTGACTGCTTCCACTACATCATCAATCCATAACTTTGAGTGGAACTGTCAATCTGTTTTTTTTTTTTTTTTTTTCTTCTTTTTTTTTTTTTCTCCAACCTCCAACAACGCGTTTAGTGGGATCAAACATCAGACGGCTGTGATTTAATCTTTTAATGGGTTATTTTTTCTACGTGGGTGATGCATGTAAATGTACCGCAATGAAGCTCAGAGAGGAGTTGACAAGAGCACTGCTGGAAGCAAAGGATGGTAAGGTCGATAATAATGAGCAAGGGATAGAGTCTTTCAACCAGCTTGTGCAGGAGATGACGTTGAAGCAACAAGATGTCAAAGCGTTCGCTTTCAAAACAAAGGCTATGGTAAAACTCTCACTCACTTTCACTACGCTTTATCTTTATCTTTTCATTTATTGCTATTAGCCAGCGGTTAGTTTTGTTTCTTTTTCCATCATCACTTTTGGTATGTACTGGTAGGGATGATGGTGATGCCACCATTTCTATTGTCTAGTGCATCATTTCGGGTTGGCAAAAGTTGGTCTAAAACTTTTAAACTCCACCTACCCAACTGGCTTATCTATTGGAATTGGTCTTGGGTCTGGTTAAATCTCCAACATCGGTCTACCCTCTAATTTAATTTAGTTTGTTTTTATTTATTAATTTTGTTATTTCTGGGGCTGTTGCTTTGCTACTATAATTATGTTAAGGAGACTCCTTGTTTCGTATGGTATTGGATTAGTTTTGGAAGCTCACGGGTCAATATGAAGGAAAAAAAGAGTCCAAAACCAGTAAACCAGTTTGTAGAAACCTTAAGCTACCTGCTTCCAGTTTCAATTCAAAACAATTTCCATTTCTCTTTGTTTCGTTTAGTGACTGGAATACAATTCTAAACTTCTTTAGACCCACTTATCTACAATTTCAGAGATTTATTTGTCCTAAATGAAAATTGCGTGTTGCATGCCACAAAATTTCCATTGCCAACTGGCCCAACAACTATCTCTGCCTACAATGTTCTTTGGCTGTTTGTTCAAGCAAATAAAAAGTTTCTCTGACAGTAGCGGGCAGAATACACATTTGTGGTCCTAGTGTAGTTGCCCAAGGTGTCATTTTCTATTGAAAATTGATTGACGATTTGTGCCATCACTATGCATGCCCCTTTTTTCTTCCGTTGCATGTTGTTTTTATGCAGAATCTTGAAGTTGAGCATCTTTCGCATAGATTGCTTTACTTCCTAGTTCCTCATACGAAACTCCCTTTAGTTTAGAGTGTGCAAGCCTTTGGGACCACAAGAACTTTGAAGGGTGGCAAAGTGATTCGATAATTGCTGTCTAAATTTTGGCCACAGATTGCTAGCTGCAGTTAGTTGGACAAAAGTGAACAGTTTTCAAGGTCTAAATTTGACATGAAGTAAAATTATGTTGAAGATTTAAGATATGCCTTTTTTCGTATTTATTGTAAATTAATCTTCAGAAAAGCCGTTTGAGATAAAAATTGTGATAACTAGCATAATATTTGTAAAAGATCAATGTGTCTTTGTCGAATAACCCATAGAAATTTGTTGAATCTCCGTCAATATACTGCTTAATTAACTGAAGAATAGTTTGTTACTTAATATGCAGCTATCAAGGATGGAACACAAGGTTCAGTCAGCCAGGCAGCGTGAGTCAATTTACTGGCATTTAGCCTCACATGGTGTGCCCAAGAGCCTACATTGTCTTTGCCTCAAATTAGCTGAAGAATATGCTGTGAATGCGATGGCTCGATCTCGCTTGCCTCCTCCTGAATATGTTTCTCGACTTTCTGATCCCTCCTTTCACCACCTTGTTCTCCTAACTGATAATGTCCTTGCAGCTTCTGTTGTTATCTCTTCTACAGTCGAAAAATCAGCCAACCCTGAAAAATTGATTTTTCACATAGTGACTGACAAGAAAACTTACACTCCAATGCATGCATGGTTTGCAATTCATTCTATTCAATCAGCAGTGGTGGAAGTTAAAGGGTTACACCAGTACGAGTGGTCTCAGGAAGTAAATGTTGCGGTCAAAGAGATGTTAGAGATCCATCGCCTGATTTGGGGAAAATATTACAAAAATTTGAAAGAAGAGGACTTTGAGTATGATGGAGAACATAAAAGATTCTTAGAAGCTCTGAGTCCCAGCTGCCTTTCCCTTATGAACCTTCTTCGAATTTATATCCCTGAGGTAATCGCTCTATTGCTTTCACAGATGGAATGGATGACATTGAATATGAATTTGTAATGATATCATCTAATTTTCATGGGCCACACAGCTGTTTCCAGATCTCAACAAGATAGTGTTCTTGGACGATGATATTGTTGTGCAACATGACATATCATCTTTGTGGGAACTCGATCTCAATGGCAATGTTGTTGGTGCAGTTGTCAATTCATGGGACGGTGACAACTGTTGCCCAGGAAGAAAATACAAGGATTACTTTAATTTTTCAGAGCCTATAATTTCATCCAACTTTGATCACAATCGTTGTGCGTGGCTGTATGGCATGAATGTCTTCGATCTTGAAGCTTGGAGGCGAGCCAATATAACAGAAACATACCATCATTGGTTAAAACTTGTAAGTATATTCTCATATGATCCAGTAATTTCTTGATTGGAAACTGCTTGTAACTTAGTGTCACTTATTTTAGGGAGACTAGTTATAAGATCCTGGAGTCATATTTGTCTGAAGTGATTTGGAATACATAAATCTTCCCTACGGGGGCAACGAAACTAATATTAAAAGAATAGGAAAACAAGACATGTCTTTCTCATAAAGCATAATAAGCAACTGATACTGATATATCTTATTTGTGTCTTACAGAGCCAGGAATCTGGGTTGACATTGTGGCGTCCAGGAATAATTCCACCTGCCTTAATTGCATTTGAGGGTCATGTGCATCATATTGACCCATTATGGCATGTCCCCGGGTTAGGTTCCCGGTCCCCAGAAGTTCCCAGAGATATATTGGAGGCTGCTTCCGTTATTCATTTCAGTGGCCCAGCAAAGCCGTGGCTTGAGATTGGCTTTCCAGAGGTACGGGGCTTATGGAATAAGCATGTAGATTCTTCAAACAAGTTTGTTAGAAAATGTAGGATCATGGGGTGAAGAGGACGAAGTTCTTTCACTCTCTCTCAGATATTCATTTTGGGACAAATCCAGAAGCAGAGTTTGGGGAACAGAGGGAAGAAGAAGGTTTTGGCTTCAGTCTCTGCACACACTCAGCTCAGCTCTGGACACTTCAGATGGTTCGTATTCATGTCCATAATAGACAGTAGACGAACGAGGGTACCATGAGATGCAAATCCATATAGCATAGAAACCTTAATGCATATAAAGGGATATAAGCTTCTTCATGGATGTATGTATCTCTCTGACATTATATTGTAAATTTACTCGGGTAAAATTGAAATTGCTTAGCTCAATGATCAAACTTGGTAGTAATTAGTCTATTCATTCTTGTTTATATTCCCTCTACTTCGTGTATTTTTCCTTTTAGACAAAAAAAGAGAGAGAGAACAATTAGTGCTGCCAATGGGATAAATAGTTCAGGTAGGGTAGGTATCTTTGTCACCAAATCCAATCACGGGTGAGGCTAGTTTGTCAAAATTGAGAATATGCCTAACTATGAAATTATAAATTCTGAAAACACTATACACCACCACAACAATAATGTATTAATGTGTGGTTGTTGGTTTCGATATCAAACAAAACAAAAGCGCTCAATTATTAGCTGATATAAATTTTTGCAAAGCATAATGCTGTTGGGCTGTATTGGCAGCTCACGCGAAGTGTTTTCTATGAAGTCAAAAAACCTATCAGCCGAGCCTTACAGACTCACCACTCACTTTCTTGTCTCCTAGGCAAACCTTATAAAATCCATTTTCCACAAATTAAAGTGAAAACTGGAAAAGCAAATTAAAGCATTATACTAGAAATAGGGTATACCAGTGATTTGCCCCCTAAACTGGTACCAAACTTTCGATTTACTCTATCCTTTTTTTTTCTCCAATTTCCCCCATGCCATCTTAATCCACAACATTTCATCCAATTTATCGTTAAATATGAGGGTAAAATAGTCATTTTGTACGTTAAAAATAAATAATAAATAAATAATAGAAAACTAAAAATTCTCTCTCTCTCTCTCTCTCTCTCTCTCTCTCTCTCTCTCTCTCTCTCACTCAGGTGGGTTGTGGGCTAGATTCTATGGGTGGGGGTGGCTCTGTTGCTGCCACTCGAGAGGAGGGGAGAGATAGTCTGGTTTAGGAGTGGATTTCAACTGGGGTTTTAGGGTTTAGGGTTGATGGGGTTGCTGAAGGAGATATAGCTGGGGGAGAGGGGGAGGGGGGGGCCGGTGTTGGCGATAGGGTTGCTGGGGGAGGGGAGTGGTGATAGGTTTGGTTCAGTGTCTTTTTCTTCTTCTTCTTTTTTTTTTTTTTGGTTGTTGTCAATTTTCCTTCTTTTTTTTTCAAATATATATATATATATATATTTTTAATGATTTAACTGAAAATTGGATGAAATGTTGAGGATTTAAACAGTAGGGGGAAATTAGCCAAAAAAAGAAGTTCATATCCTTAATTTTCTATAATAAAAAAAAAGATAGGGAGTGAATCGAAAGTTAGGTACAAGTTCAGGGAGCAAATCACTAGTATACCCAATTTAATATATTATCTTAGAGTTTGGGTACATCATAGTAGGTACGTAGTTAATGCAGAAAATTCTGATTGAACTGAGTGGTGAGAACATTGACAAGCTGGTTCTCAAACATATACATAAATTACAGTCAATTATCTGATAGATTTATGGAAAACAGATCAAAGGATAGAATGGAACATCAGACGGCACTCCGGCATTTCAACTGCATCCAAAGATCAAATATAAACAGAAACTTATGATCAGTATTTGAAAAAAAAAATCTAAGTTTAAGTTAATGAAATGGAAGATGTAAGACGGAAGAAATAAAAGATCTTACACAAGTTGGAGAGCTGTCTGGTCATGGCGAGAGTAATGGTTATTATTATTATTATTGGCCTCCAAGATTACAGGGAGGAAGTTCCTGTCGTATGACTGTGAAGGCATTGACTGATCATAAGAAGTTCCTTGAATCATATTTGTTTGCTGCTGTTGTGCCCTCTCATTTTCAGCTATCTGTATGTACCATGCATGCAACCTTAATTAATAATTCGTATCAATAAACTAAGCATCTTAAGTAGTCTAATTAATTTTTTAGTGTGGCTTAATTGCGTGGTTGAAGAGAGAGAGAGAGAGAGAGAGAGAGAGAGAGACCTTTGCTCTCAGATAATTGTTATGGTTTTGCAGCTCGATCTCCTGCACAATGTGCACATAATATTGGTTTTTCAGAACAGCAGGATTTGAGTTTCATTTTAAGAATTTGCACAAAAAGAGTAATGTATTATTGTAGAAATAATATAGTGCAATTTCATGCTAGAGAGTAGGAGAGACAAAAGTTACCCTCTTTTGCATAAATTCGATTTCAGAAAACAGCATTTCATTCTGGGGACACATTCGATCACGTCAGTTGAGATTCTGAGTGTAGATAAAAAGTGAAAAACTTCAACAAATTTCAAATAAAAGTAGGGAAGTGCACTACCTTTTTGGATCTTATTCTGCTGATCCCTTTCTCCAGTCTTCCTTCTAGGTTCTTGAGTTCCTTGATGTTCAAAGTGCTAAGAGCTTCACCCAGTATATGCCTGGAGACAACATAAATTATTTTATCATAATACATTGCAGATATTAGATGAACATATACCTTAATAAAATTATTCGTAGTTTACCTGTTTGAGTTCTGGATTTCGCGAATCTGTCTTCGTAATTTAGATGATTCCTGCTGATAAAACTGAGGCCATGCATGTTGTGATAGCGTTAGAAAAACCCATATATAAAACCAAGTTTGACAAACAACCTGTTAACTGAACTGTTTCAAACATTTTCTTAAAATGATTGGCAAGGGGGTTATACTCTATCAAACCATCCTAAATTAATCATCTAGCTATATAGGAGAAAAGAAAGCTTATTAATTTATATAAAAACTACTAGTTTAGACTGATGCTAGAAAGTTTCGGCCTAAATATGGGTTTGTAAGAAGCCAGATTATTAGGGTTTCATTCAAGAAAATATATGAAAATTTCTTGCAAGCATGCTAGAACATATCTTCTTTGGAACATACACCCTTAAAAAATAAAAATCATTGTCTAAACAGAGTTTACCTGAGTGTTAGCTTCAGAAACAGATCCACCATTCGTAGAATCAGTACATGCTTTTTTGTACCTATCAATCGTTGCTCTAACGCTGCAAAGTGAAAGAAAAAAGAGAAGAAAGTTAAAACCTTACAATCATTTTGTTTGGTAAAAAAACATTATGATTTTCAACGGAATTGCTTATCCTCAAAGGCACCCTTAATAAAATGAAGGAGAGTTCAAACTAGATATAGAAGGAATGCCACAGAATCCCAATGAACTTCAAGTTAGAATTGTTCAACATGAATTGGAAAATAAAATTCATATATAGTTACCTATGAATGTGATTTATTCAAGCATATTTGTACAGAATTATGCACTTGTGTAGCAATTAGATGCATAAATTAGTGGCGCCTAAGCATTGTTGCCCTACAAAGGGATAAGCTAGACGCCTAGAGGCCAACCATAACACATCATTTTCAGTCAAAGATAGCTGCCGCACACATCCAGAGACACCAAAAACCTATTATTGTCTTGTTCTCTTCTCTCTTTTGTGCAATAATTAGTCTCACCATGCATGATTGCAAATTTGCAGTGTAACAACAAAACAAAACAAAAAACCCCAATAATCCGTGAAGCTTTTACATATTTTCTCCATGAAACATCATCACATCCTTGTTTTCAAGCAACATAGGAGCCAAAGCAAATTTATTGGTTTAAGGATTTCTGAGGCTTGGTCGTGTGGAGAGCAATTGTGGACTTTGGTTCTTGAAGATCAAAGATTATTGCTTTTCATGAAGGTAAAATTCTTAACATCCTCATCTGTATTTTAGATGTTATTGGATCTCATAAAAGAATTGAGATTCCAATATGTGTTGTCTTCTTTCCATTAGAACCTTACCCTAGACACATACACATACACATACACACACACACAAAATCCTGGCCCTAACTAGCTAGCCCTTAGAGCTCATGAAGAGATTAGAAGCCGATCGTAACATAATCCGATGAATAAGTAAACTATACATTTTCTTCTTTTTTATGAGAGTAAATTAACTACACTAAATAGATTGTTCCAAATAATCAAGAACAGTAAATATGGATGCCCTATACACAGTATTGAATATGAACTAACATGATCTTTTGTTATGAAGTTAGTAAAAAGAAAAAGTCTCAGAATTCGGCAAAATAATCAAAAGCTCCAAAAACACACACACATCCACCCAGAGACACAAGCACCATTGGAGAGCATAACAAGAAACTGACTTTCTTTCTATGTCTTTCAGTGAATTTGTACGTAGCCCATATACGTACACCATAATAGTTTCCATTTTTAGTTGAAACTTTCTCCGCTGCTTTGGATAAAGCAAGCTTAAAGCTGTACCATCAAGGATTTTCAACTTAAACTATGGGAAAGAATATTTTTTTTCTTGCATAATTTTAAGCAGTTTTGACATATAACGTTGAAGAATAACTTATTTCAACAATATTAATAATGAACCATATTTGATCATGTCCTACTTTTCACATGCTCTCCTGAGATAAACATGTTTAACTGATATTATATGAACGAAGTCATTGTTCTTTCATTTCTTGATCTCATATTTTATGAATTCTTATAGAATTGCTGGTTTATTTCTTGGTTTTATTTATTTATTTATGCATTTCATAAATTGAGTGATTTTTAATGGGATGTAAGAATGATGAATATAGTCAACAAACAAGAGAGTTTTAGTTTTAATTAATTTATGGTTTAGGAGATATATACTCCTCTCAACTGTAAAATGACATGACCCGAACATGACATAACAGGAGTTGATTGTCAATAGTCCAATTTTCAACTTCAACAAACTTACACTAGTTTTCCTTAGGTATAATTCATCTTGATAATGTACTTTAGAAGATTATGCACCAAGCATATGCAAACACTTCCATAAATAATATTCCAACATAGCACTAACATGAAATTTCCCAATCATTGGATTTTGGTATGTATTTAGAACTACCAACTAGCTCTTAGTTTAGTGGTACTTCTCTACTCAATGTTGGAAGAGGTCTCAATTTGAAACTAACTCCCCCTTAATAGATATTTCCTAAATTAATTATACATATTATATCTTTATATAATTCTTCACCAGAAAATACAATATTAAGCATGTGAAATTCGAAATTTATAAATAAATGTTTATGTAGGGTGCATTCCTCTCTCTTTCATGGTCACAACAAGAACCTTTTTAATATTAGTTCTTTTGATATTTGTCTCATTGCACAAATCTTTAAAAAAATTCATTAATAAAATTAATACAAAAACAAAACCAGTATGATCAATTATTTTATTTAGAGAATAACACAATAAAATTACTATAACACATGAATGCATAACATCACATGACAGTACGACCGTCACACTCACAAACTCCTGATAAAATGTTTACATATTATATAAAACTTCCCAAAAATGCAATGTATTCTTAAAGGTATTAAAACCTTTTGAAGGGTCATGGTCAGACGTGGCTCCACAACAGTTAATATGGTCCTATAGTTGATGTTATACGACAGAACTGAACCAAATTAAGTATTTCACTATACTCTTGGAGACTTTGTTACCTTAATTTCGTCGAGCCAGTGATTGGTTGCCTCTGCCATGCTGGCAGAAGATCCCCAAATATGATTGGGTCGCCTCTCACAGCCTCTAATCAACACCACGTGTCAGTAGCCCATTACACAATGGGCAATACCCAGAGGAACAGTCTCATACTCACCTCGATGACCCCAAAACCCCAAAAGACCCCGTAAATATTACCAAGTCTCTGGTATTAAACAAGTGATTTTTTTTATTCAAAGATCTGAAAAGAATTTATTTCCTTTTATGTCTCTGAAATCTCAGAGACAGAGATGTCTGTTTTGGCAGCCATTTTTTGCATTTTTCTTCACATACTTTATCTTCATCATTCACCAAAAGGGTTATGCAAGCCCTCCCTCTTGTTGGCTCGTACCTCCTCCTCCATTCCTCAGTCATTTCAGACTTTAATTCATTCAAAACCTCTCTCTCTCTCTCTCTCTCTCTCTCTCTCTCTCTTCACAAGAGTCGCAGTCACTAATAACTTTTCTTGGCTCTGTAAAAACCATAAAACAATGGGTTTTTTGACACATCAAAATTTGAAGCATGTGTTTAAGACTCTTTTATGATTCTTGAGGAGATTGTTTCCACATAGATGAAAGGCACTCTATGTGTCATGACTCTCTTTTCTCTTTCTGTCCATAGATTATAATAAAAATGCTGTTTTTTCACCACATCAACTTAAAAGATAAAAAAAACGAAGTGAAGATATTGGATAAATGGTAAGAAGAGAAGATGGATTGAAGAAAAAGAATCATCATGACACAACAGCTTCTTTGTCCGGACTGATCAAGAACAGAAACATCATGTCTGACGTGACCAAAGATTCGTAAGCTGTAACTACACAGCTCACACAAGAAACCCTAGGCACATGCTTCCCCTATATATCCCAACTCCAAATTTGTTATATGTACTAAATAAAGGGTAGATTGGTCATAAATAATAACACCCACTGGATTTTGGGTTTTTGAAACCCTAAGCATAAGATCTAGACAAAACTTTAGACTATTAAGCTATGAACGTATTTTTTCAGACTTACAGCCAACTGATGAAGCATGGTTTGGCTGATTTCTAACTATAAAGGTGATGAGGTTTAGTTCAGGCAAACTGGTTAAGGTTTGAATAAGAAACATTAATTTCAGTTTTTTTCACCCCTAAGCTTCCATTTGATAGGTCCTCACTTTTACTGTCTAGCTGAGCTGACATATTACTTAGGAAAAGTCAAGACATGAAGGGAACTGGCTAATGAGAGGTGGACAGCTTTGTGAGGCAGACGTACTTTTGATGGAGTGATGGATGACATGTGGAGAGAGAGAGAGAGAGGACCTGGCTGAGTTTAACAACAATGGAGATACAAGGAAGCTGATCTATAACAGACCTGCAACTCTTGGCAACCCTAAGTTTGCTCTCATAATACACTACTACTTCTGTTTCTATCTGTTACCAACAGATCTGCAATCCAGTCAAACAAAGAACTGGCTAGAAAGATTAAAATTTCAGGTTGATAGGTGAAATATACCTCAAAGCTCATAAAGGAAAACAAACAGAAAGAAGAAAGTAAAGACTAATGGATTTTTTCTAGGGCCACTTTACTCATCAAGCTTCACCTAACTAGACACAAAATCAGAAAGAACAAGTCAATCTTAACTTCTCATAGACTCTCTCTTCATATTTGCTACAAAAAATCCAAAGAAACAATCTTTGAAAGAGAGCTCTTAGTGAGATTTCAGAACTGAATTTGAGCAACCAAAAAAAATAAACAAGTTATAGTAAAATAAAGCTATTTATTTATTTATATATAGATCATTGAGTGAACTGAAGAAAAGACTTAGAGATCAGATCAAAAGAAGGAGAAGAAGAAGAGGCTTATAGAGAGAGGTTGAAGTACTAAAACAAAAATAATTAAAGAAGAGAAAATTTGAGTGCAAACCTGTTGTTAGCATACTCATACAGGCGGCCACGGGTAGAGAAGACAATAAGAGCAACTTCAGCATCACATAGAACAGATAACTCATAGGCTTTCTTAAGCAAGCCGTTGCGGCGCTTGCAGAAGGTGACTTGTCGATTTGTAGTGTTTTCAATCCGCTTAATCTCAATCTTGCCTCTTCCAATTTTTCTTTGGGAAGAGCTCTCAGGTGCTTGATTTGGGAACTCCATTGTTGCAAAGATGGAACAAAAAAAATGGCAAAAACCCCCAAGTTGAATTTTGGTTTTTCTGTTAGCTAGCAAAGAAAAACACCACTGTCCAATTAAAAGGCATGATCAATTGTGACAACCATATTGGTAATAAGTAATAGACAAAGATTAAGCCCACCAATAGCCAATTAGTAAAGGAAACCAAAACAAAGCATATAGCTAGGGATATGCAAAAGAAGAATTACTTGTTGAGTTGAGTGATCTTTTGGTTGAAATGGCAACAGGAAGAGTTGCAGAAGTTGCAAGTGGGTTTGGTTAAGGAGATGAATATTTAAAGACAGAGAAAATAGACCTCCCAACCATCACCCAACACCCTCTATTATTTGCTTTGTAAGGATTGTCTAGAATACCAAATATGTATCGTTAGCTAGCTTTAGGTTGTTATGTAGGAATTTAGGAGTATAGGAACATATATATAAAGAGGGATGGAGAAGATTGAATTGAAGAGGAGGGTTTGGGGTGTTTTGCTTTCATGCTCCATGAACCGTCCATTTCTTCATGTATGGGGAAAAGGGGAAGGTGTGTGTGTGTGATGTTGATAAAAAGGTCTTTTGGAGAGTGACTTATTATTATGAACAGAGCTTGAATTAATGGGACCCTTTGCTATGTTGCACTCAAGAGCTTCAATTCTTAAAAAGAAAGAAAGAAAGAAAGAAAGAGGGGAAGGCCATGGTCTTTTGAAGAGAAAAAAACAAAATGAGAGGACCTCCCATGTTATTTGCTTCTTGGATTTTTGAGTTGGCCTTTTATTCTAGATTTGTTTATGACCTCACCGCTGTTGAAAGTTTTCATCTCTCTCTCTCTCTCTCTCTCTCTCTCTCTCTCTCTCTTGCATTATTAGAACATATAGTTACTTACAAGGGTAGTAGTGACGTAACAGAAGAAGACTCCCATGTGATGTCCTGTGAAGTGTTCATGACAATCCCTTATCTTTTAGTTCATTTATGGTAAGAATGGAACAGGCCCTTTGATTCATTTGTGTTACCTGAAATTTACATCAATCTGGTATATATATTGAAGCCACAAAATGTAGGTCGTCTTGAGAGAGAGATTATACATGTAATAAGAATCCATGGTCACCCAAAATTAAAAATATTACTTGTTCATGATTGAAGGAGACTGTTAAGCACCAGGAATTTCTATTATATAACTGCAGTTTTTATTCAAAATAAGTTTCTTAAACAGGGTTTTGCTCAGGAGCATCTCTCCACACACATGTTTTTGTCCAACATTCAGTTATTTTCTCCCCATTTTATTTTACCAAATACATATGTTCATCTCTCCTTCATATTTTTATCTCGTATGCCACTTCAAATTCATATCATAATGTATATAACAACTATTGGGTCTCCTGAGGTTAAACTCATGAGTTGATTAATACTCGAATTTGTTTCGTCTGTAAAATAAACATATGCATTTGACATGTTTGACATGGCCGGCAAGACTATATATCCATCTCTACAGTGCCGAATTTCGTAGGATATCATGTTATGTATCCCAAGGGACCTTAGCCCTAGCTGCCTACCTAGCTAGCTCCTATGATACGACCGTGGACCTGATCAGTAGGCATTCTATATGCTAACAGACATACATGTATGAATATATCAGATGTTTCCTCCGAGCATTAATATATAGCCACCATCCTATCCTAAAGGTGTTTCAGCCAGGCCACCAAGAAGTGAAATGTCATGACTTAGATATCATGATTTGATCAACCATATCTAAATAAATCTTTGGAAAATACTTGCCTCTTTTCTTGAAAGTAGGAACTCCTAATTTTCTTCTAAGTTTGACATGTGTGCGATGATATTCTTCTTTTTGTGTTTTTTATGAATTATTTTTGCATATGTGTCAAACTTTGATTTGCATGAAGTAGGAATGCCTCCTTCCGGATAAGAAGGGAAGCAGTGTCCTAAATCTTTTATGTATGAAAGCTCATAATAATTTCTGAGTTCTAACTTTAAGACCGGCCGCATGACAAACCACAAAAAGAGAAGAGAAAAAAGAGAGATATTATAACTTCCCATATGAAATTGTTATAGCAAAGACTTGCTCATCGAGCTGCAACAATTCAACTTTAAGTAAAAATTCCAAAGATGAGTCATGTAGAAGATTGATATTTGATGAATCATGGTAAAGACAACCAAAGATGAGTTGGATGCCGAAAGAAGAAGAAAGATTTTGGGATGTGATATAACAATTAATGGAATCCGTTTCTTTTACAGCCTTAGTGGAGAACTCTACACTTTTGCGGATCAACCACTTTTGCTATTCTGTGAATTTTCATACATCCACGGGAAACATGCACAAGTGCAACACAGCCACACACAAGCTGGGTTGAATCTTGATATTTCTCATTTTACATTGTTTTCTTGTTGAAGCTCATCTTACCTTCAACAACAAGAGCATACTAAACCATTAAATTAATTGCAATAATTATGCAAATTGCCCGAATTGTAGAAATTTTTTGACCAACTTTGAAGTCATAAGAGACCCTTCAAAAATTCTAGAAAATGTTACGTAGATTAAGGTCGCGCATGACTAAACGGAACAAAATTGACAACAGAGTGTGAAATCACAAAGGGGAAGCGTCATTTCCAGAGAGATTACATCCACAGCATCCTCCATGTCAATTTATGTGCAAGTTGTGGGCAAAAGCAAAAGTTGACGCACACAAAGCTGAATAGGATGCATTTCTAAATAAAATCACCTTTTGCTTTCTTTTGGAAGCATTGGAGACAGAGAGAAAGTGAGGGAGACCTAATCTGAAGTACAAGCCATAATTCATTGCAAAATTAATGGTATTTATATTCCATATTGTGAAGGGTTGAGGAGGGACCACAAAATGATGGTGCAATGCAACAATGATGTTCCATTTGAACTTTGGAAATGATGATGGTGAAAGAAGGCAGGTTTTCAATGCTTATACCTAATACAATAAATGCCACATACCCTCTGTCACATTCCTTCCACATAATAGGAATTGAAATGCTTGGAGTATAATCTATATGTGACAACATATACTTAAAAGGACACTAGTGATTTTTTGTTCTAATTTTGATAATTTCATGTGCACGACAGAATATTGCATATGGCCTTGGTACAAATTTATGATGTGATTGCAACTGGGTAGGGTTTGAAGTTTGAACATTTCCTAACAAATTAGGCATATCTTGCTTTAGATAAATGGGCAATGCCTAAGAGCATCTGCAATAGTTAAGATCAATGTAATTTTATTGCATGAAATTTAATTAAAACACTAAAATATCACTTGCAATTGTGATTCAGTTCTTTGCAATAGATGCAATTGTAATGGAGAGTGCTATGTGTTGAACCCTCTATTGCCATTGCAATAGACTAACCATGAGATCCACATGCCAATTAAAAATATAAAAAAATATAGCAATTAATGCATTATGCCGTTAATTCATTGAAATAGGCTAACCATGGGACCCACATGCCTTTCTTTGCCTTTATTTAAAAAATAATAATGATCCAAAATATACAAGTTTGGCATGAAATTATTATTATTTTTTAAAATATATTCAAAATTGGTCTCTTTTTAAAGATCTCTTTGAGAATATTTTAATGGTCGTACAAATTTTTAGTGTTATTAAATTTATCCATTTTATTTTATTTGAGTATGAAAAAAAAACATATAAGAAAATATAACTACTGATCTAAAGCTATTGAACTGTACCATTGCAAGTGAAAATGCAGTTCAATTCAATAGATGTTAAAATAGTACAATTGATTCAACTATTGCATTGAATTATTAAATCCCAACTCTATAATTTTTATTTTTAGTTTTTTTTAAAATGAAAGTGGTAATCTCAACTTTCAATAAACATTTAACAAAAATTAGAAACTTTGAGTAAACATGTGAAATATTTCACATCCTTAAGATTTGACGGTGCCGGCGGTGATAGTGATGACCACATCGTTATGTTTTGCTGAGGAAATGGTAGCCCAAATAATATACGGTCAACATAAAGCATTTATTCCAATTTGATGTCAGCTAAATTCTCCAACCAATCATGAAAAGGGTTGAAAAAGGTTTTGTTTCTTTTTTCGATACAACCGATATGGAGGAAGGGGGAATTAAACTTAGAACTTCTAGCGTATGAATAAATACTCTTAACCGCTTTAGCAAATCAGTTTTTGGATAGAAACCACAAGTTTTTGAAAGGTTGCTGAAACATGGGCTCATTGGGCTTAATTTCAATGGAAGGTTGCTGGGTGTCTTCTGTCAAACTTCATGAACAGAGACCACTTGTTTTTGAAATGCAGCTTTTGTCGCATGCTGCTGCCTACGAGTACTTGAGGGCTGTCAGCTTACCTACTATCCTCAAAGTTGGGAGACAGATTTTTAGTGCCCTAGGAATCTCTAAAACAAAGCTTTCTTCATGGTTTTTTTCTCAAGCTATTAGAATTAGAGTTTCTTTTATTGTTTTTTTTTCTTTTTGTAGACCAGGTTTTGGTTGAGCTTTACTTTCTGTTGTTTTTTGGCTCTGCTTTTGAATTTGTACTGTTGTTAATCTTTGATTGAATATATTCTTACCCATAAACTAGGTAAACATACCACAATCTGTTCACTTTTTCCCTTTCTTTTGGCTTTAAACAGAAAGCGACCAAGTTCCAAAGTATGGACAGAATGCTTTTCAAAAAAGCCCATTTCTTCCATCAGAACTTCAACTGCAACACAAGTTAAAAGGTAAAACACTAATCTGGAAGAAGAAAAAAATTACCAGAGAACTTCAATTGTATTAACATATCAGACAATGCGGTAAAATTGGGTAGTAACTGCGCACAGAAAGTATCTGAGAGAAGGAACTTTATCATGTGAATAACCTGCGAAATTGTAAACCTTTCATCCACACTAAACATGGCATGATTAGAAAGAAAATCTACAAGAAAATTGATCAAAGATTCTCCACAAGTAAATCTTCCGATTCAAATAA